ATTTCACCACACTGCTGCCAGAATCTGTCATAATTATATCTGATTTGCTCTGTTATTCAATGTGGCCTTTTGGCTCTGCTCCTGACATTACGTGAATATTAACACCTGGTGAAACACTGTGTAATAACGCCTTGTGTAAAGCCAGACAGAGCAAGAGGATCTATTGTTACTCTGATGTCCAAGTGCTTTTTGGCTTCATTCAGAAGCTCTAAATTGTCACATTGAGCTGGAGTAATCATCTGCAATGAAATAAATATAGGATGTGTCTCACAACTACCAGTCAGCTAATGATTATGAAAATTACACGTGGTGTTTGGCTAGCTTTGGTATCATTTGAGAACAAAGGGAGATTTCAAGGAACGGATATAAATGTTGCTGAAACCACCTGGAAATAAAAAATAGAAGACTTCATCGCATTACAAAGACTGCGTGCAGTTGAGAGCATGTAAGTATTCATCCACGGCAAAATTACTTGGAAAAACTCCTCATAACAACAGAAAAAAAAACTGCAAACAAAACTAAACAAGCATTCAGACACACCAGAATACAATTATGAGGCAATCATAGCAATCAAAGCATTCAAGAGGAAAGTAAAAAGACGTGAAGTCTGTGCATCCTTCACATTACAAAGAACAGAAGAGAAAAATGGCTCTTAGATGTGAAGGATGAAAAGGAAACACACAGCTAGGCTCTCTTTTTTTATATTAATACTCTACATTAAGAGCACAAATAATGAATAATTAATCTGCCGGAAAATGTAGCATTTGTGCTTCTGGCAGGCTAATGCAATGTAAAATAAATCCCTGTGACTGTGATTATGAGTGCATACAGTATAAGTTTGATAAGTTGTGGTGACTGAGCTGCGGTTTTAGCTCTAAAAAAATGCATGTGCATGACACTTGACACACAAAGGCAAAATTACATCTCTGACGGCTTGTGCCTCAGCTCCATGTAATCAAAGGTTATCTGACAATGCAGTGTGTAATCTTCAGAGCTGTTGTGAAGTGTGGCGTGAGGAATTGGAGTGTGTTGCTCTTACAGTGTAGTGACTCAGCTCGCGTTAAATCCTGGAGAGAAGAGTGGCACTCTGGAATCCGGATGGTCCCAGCTGGAGTGTTGTTGCTGTCTGCCTGCTGACTGTCTGTCTGTCAAAACACACAGCATAGACGGCACGTCAAGTTGGTACCTGCAGCTACGCTTTCTACATGCAATCAATCATCATATTCAAATGTTGATAGTTCTCGTTCTGACTGTAAAATAAACAGATGTTTATTCATCATGAGCTGATTAGTTGTGTAAATTTGACAGATTGCTTTGTGTGATTTGCACGATAGATTAGGCTTCAAACCCTCAACATGGTGTCAGAGAACAATAACTGCTGTGTGGAATTAAGGGTGTGCAATGAGTAGCATCTAAGACAATTTTCAATTTTTGTTTTGACAATGCGCAAACTTGCATTATCAAGTTTGCCACTCATTTAACAAAAAACAATCAAACCTGATCTGAGAGTTTGCACACGTCACATAGCTCATGCTGAAAATAGAAGGCTTTATTTTTTCCAGCGATCGTCAGATGGATCTTTATCAAAGTACAAAGAAAAGTTACAACCTAAGAACTTTATGGTATTGTAGATGCAATTGGTACTGTATATGTTTAAAACATGAAACATACATCGAGAATACAGGAGAATATAGCAGTTATGAAGTGCTGTATTGTCCAAAGCCAAAGCTAGATCTGATAGAAGAAAGACTCCCCTGACTCTCACTCAATGCTTTTATTCTGAGGTGTACCAGAGAGTAATTTGGTAAATGAAGTCACTTGCATGACTTAAAACTGTTCAAGTTTAAGACCAACCCCACACACCTTTATGACACATAACGACATCACCTGTTGAAAAAAAAGTGCATAAATTTGAGTCATAATTCACATAGGTACATAATATTACTGATCAAACTGCATCAGATTATGCAGGATATATCTCCTCCTCCCCATCACTTTGAGTTTATCTTTGCTATTTTATTTTATATTTGAATATCCATTTTAAACGCAAATGAAATCATTTTCTAAAAGCTTCAACCCTGAAACCACTCCTGTGTAGGAATGGAAAAAAGTGAGGGATTCAACATATTGTCAATAACCATTTAAAAAAAAAAAATCCCAAAAATATTAGGATATTATTATTGTCAGTGTCATAAACCGCTTATGTGGAAACACCAATATGGCAAATTTGGCAAATACAGCAAATTTGGCAGATACTGCACACAGAACTAATATGGCAAATATGGTGCAAATGGTGCATACAATGGGGATTTCCAACGGATGCTACGTTGACAGCATAACGACCTGCCATGTGTATAGATGAGGGAAATTGTCCATTCTGATCATGATTTTGTTTTTGCATCTTTGTGGGTGTAGTTTGTACAACAGTTGCTCTCTCAGTAAGCACTGCCCAATCCTTTTTACCTCAACCCCTCTTGTCCTCATGTATAATTCAGGTGAAGCACATATTGAGACATAACTTTTGTTTGACAGTGAAATACACTTTCTTTGTTCTCTCTTTGTCTTCACTCCATCTGGATTAATCCCTCATCCCTCTCAGCCTTGCTCTCAGGAAAGCCTCTCAGAATAACCATGGCGAGAAGTGGTTTCAAACTTTTTTCATTGTTTTTGTCTCCATCAGAGCAAAGAGCTTTTGTTTACTTATTTAACATTTTTCCTCATTTTTTCTAGGGATCCTTTATGTAACATTTCATCCTCTGTGCAGCCCACTTTACAGCTGGGACTCACCAATGAGACAGACTCTCGTGTGAATCCATGTTTGTGTGGTACATATATTTTCAAATGTAATTTAATCGCTTCAATTTGGAGCAAGCAACTAGTATTTGAAGTGACACCAGCATCTGCATGTGCACATTTTCCTTTTATGTTTAAATCTAAAATTGAAAGTGTGTGTGCATCTGCAGGCACCGCCTCTTCACTCTCCTTTGTGTAACACTGACATATTCATATGAGACAGAAGGGAAATGCATAGAGAAATCTAATAAATCATTCATACACTTTTGGGTTGTATAATGAAAATTTGTATGATGAAATAAGTGAACAAATCACCCTCCTCCTACTCCACATCGGACTGCTCTCATGAATGTAACCTTCCCGGCACCTTTCGCTGTAGCAGAATGAAAATATTTATCCTGATACTCAAGACGAGTCTCAAACTGTGCGTGATTAGTTCAAAGATCACCGGTTGGATCACGGAATAAATTAAAAAGCTGCAGCAATCAGGACTTTCTGTAGGTGATGGACCCTGTTACCCTGTTATGAAGTGCACACAATGCAGACTCCTCTGTTTCCATGGAGACCTATTGTGATCCCCAGCACCCACTGCTCTTGCAAACATTCCTCTTTCTTTTTTCAGAGAATTACTTGTGGATAGTTGCCGGGGCTGGCATGGGGGGTCAAAGGTGATCTCATCTTCAGTGCTAACACGATGCTCAGCTCAAACAACACCGCGGCTGTCTTTTTGCTCCATGCCTGTGCAAACTGTGCCATCCCTCTCTCCTGGGCAACGAGGAGTCTGTGGAGGACTGAGCTAAATTTAGGTGCAGAAATATGTAGACCAGGTGTAATGCACATGGCCTACCTAGCCAGTTCTGTTCAACTGGGTAGTATTTCTTCAATGTTTGGCCTGTGCAAACCTTTGAAAGCTGGACCTTTTGCCCACATGCTTCATACTGGTGTCAAACTCACCCTGGCTTGAACTGTCTTGGCAGTTTGAATCTTTGTTTCCACTATTTGAACATCCATAGCAGTCCGCTAATGACACAGATTTGCACAGAAAAAGGACAAAAATGACCTCTTTTTCAGTTTGGTTAACTGCTATAAAAATGTGAGTTTTATAATTAACAGTATTCTGTAAACATGTCTCTCTGCGCGCCTGGGGCCCGGACACATTTCACTGGTTGCTCAGGAAGTTTTATCTGGGCTGAAACCCACAAGCAAAGCAAAGGGAGAAAATCTCTTTAACTTCACCCAGAAAAAAATTCATGTAGTATTCAGGCGGTGTTTGGGACTCAATTCCCAGTTGATAAAGGGAATACCAGATGGATGTATTGCAGTCACTTTTTTTGTGTGCAGAGTCATGCTCATTTATTTATGTAGGTCTAATACACAGGAGGGATCTTTATTGGGTTTCACTAAGTAAGAGCTTTTTGGATTCTATATTTCTATCCTTTCCAGAAAGCAGTGCTCCCTCACAGCTTCACACACCAAAGCCGTATTATCTCATTGTGCTCTTTTTCTGTTCCCTCCCAAACTCCCATTCACCCTGTCTATTTTGAGACCCTCCTAATATTGCTGCCGAGTTGTGCAAATAAATAAATCAGAGCGTATGTCAAAGTGACAGTCGGTTTAGCTACTTTGGATTTAAATCAAAGAGGGATGGATTTTGCAACTTGCAACCTTTGATAGAAGGAAAAAAAACTGTTTGTTCTGATATTACCTACAGTTTTCAAGCAGAGAGGCTCATCATTCTGCTGATTATGTGCTGTGACAGTGTGAGGTGGTGGAAAAAAAGGGGGGTGGGTGATATGAGATAGACTGCGAGGTAAATTATGCAGGGGAATGTGACTTTTTTGATCCACATGAGACAAGTTAACACCACAAATGAGCAGTCTGGTATTAAAAACAGGATTTATTTCTTTATCCTCTGAAGGACCCTATCATTATACACTTAATATGCAGCATAATGTGATCGGTGTCAGCCTCTAAAAGTGCTTAAACTCCCACCTGCAAAATAAAAAAGCGGAGAACATTGGTAGCTCTGGAGGATTAATTACCCTCCACTTGGCTTCACCCATTCAAACCATCAACGTCTTTGGCCTAGAATTGAAATTCACAAATGCAAATGTGGCGGCCTCTCCCACAGTGGACGGACGGTGTCCCACGCGGGCGGGGCGTGGCTTTACAGAGGGGGGGTGGGGGCACTGGCTGCACGCTGCTAAGTTTTCAAAGTGGCTCCCAAAAGCAGGAAGCGGGGACATAACCTTGGGAGAAACGCGGAGAAGTGTTGTCTCTGTGGGAACAGATCAGTGGATTTGAGTGACAGGTTGTAATTACGCAGTGGTGTTTGAACTCATGCGTCAATCCGTCTTTTCGGGCGCAGTTCAGTGTGCGAATCAGGTGTTCAATTGCGATCCCTGAGTGTTTGGAGTGAAAGTATTCATTGATTAAGCTGATGCATTGTGTCAGAGCACAAAGCCCCCGTCTGCTTCATCTAGAGCGCCCGCCCATTGGGCTTTCTGCGGAGCGATAGTGGGAGATTGATTATAGTCTCTGGGATTTTCCGTGGAGTAAGCCAGAGAGCCTGCTTGGACTGCGATTTGCTCTCCCATCATTGAGGAGGAGGAGGAAATTATTAGCCAACATCAAGGAGTTTTTTTTATCCACTCTGATTGCACATATCCAGACCCCCTGAGCACATTTCCCGTCCAGGTTTCCAATTTACGCGCAAGTCACGCCGGAGTTTTTTGTTTTTTCCCCCCCTCTTCTTTCTCATTTCTCTTCCGAGGAGGCTGGTGTGAGTGTAAATCGCCTCCGCAGTCTTGGATGCGTAGTAAACGGGGGAGTGGGTTGGGTCGCCCATACAGACGCCTGGCATACATACGTACACGTCGTCAGCGATAAAGGCAGATAGGTGAAGGTGGAAGACACCAGGGGAAGGGGGAGTCGGTCAGTGGGAAGACGCGGGACTCACCAGCGTTGGATTTGACTCTTAAAGACACGCTGCGTTTATCGCCTGGGATTCATACACCTCCTTTTTTTATTTTTGCTCTGATATATCCACGATCGGCTGTTTTCATCACCCAGCCTAAAACCTGACCACGACCAGACATCGCGTCCTCTCATCTGAAGGGAATATTGGGAAGTGAATCTGCGGGGCAACACACACAATGGCACCCGGTGCGCTCCTTCTCGCCTGTGCGCTGCTTGGTAAGACATCTAAAATCCCTCTCACAACCATGAAATGATCTCCCTTGTCCTCTGCTGCTTAGAAACAATTGTGTGTTAGAGTTAGTCACGGCGCACCTGTGTGACACATGGATATTAAACAGGTTAGTTTGGAAAGCAAGTACTAGTCATCACGAGTCAGGTGGAAGTAGGTTACATTGATAATCACTGCAATAATGACAGATGCCAGAGAACAGCTGTGTGTGTGTGTGTGTAACAGAGGGTGTGTGTGTGCTGAACTAGGTTAATGTGATATTTGGACTTAAGTCACAGATTAATACACTCGGACGTCCTACCTTTAAGGGTTGGTCATTGACACAATCTACAAGAGTCTGTGATCAAACAACACTAGTGTAAATACAGGTTTCATACACACACACGTGTCATAGACACACCTGGATGACACATCCCCAACACCTCCAGAGTATGAAGTCATCAGTGTGACACCCAGCACCAGCTTTGTTGTACAGTATAGTGTAGTCACCCTCATATGAGTGTGTGTGTTCAGCCGTCACACACATTTGCCACCTACCTGGACTTTATTAGATTTCACAGACTAATGCCAGTTCAAGCATGTTCACCTGATGACACTCAGTGACACAGAGAAAACACCCACACTAGTGAGGACTGCTGACACACACGCGTAGATACACACACACTCACTCAAACACACTAACACACACACATTGCATCCTGCCTGTGAACTGTCCCAAACAAACACCAGATGGCTTTTCTTTCTGTTCCTGGACGGGGAGGCCTGAGGGGACAGAGGAGGGAGGATGGAGATGGTGGTGTTAGGGGGGGGCAGGAGTGGGAGTGGGAGTGGGAGTTGGCCGGTCGGAGGCCCCCACTTGGCACAAGAGGATTACCAGTCTGCTGCCTTGCTTCACGTCCCCCCACCATTAGAAGTCACTTTCACTGTGATGGAGGGCTGTGAGGAATGAAAATGTGTGATTTGGTATCTCACATACAAGAGCGAACAGCCACAATGTCTTCTTCAGTGTGGGATGAAATAAGGGAGGGTTTTTCACATTATGTAATAATGATGAATCACATGTTGAAATAGGAAGCACTTCGAGGTGGTGAGAAATATTTCAGGTGTTTTGAAGAGGAAGGTTTTGTTTTTATGTGCTTGTGTTTGTGTGGATTATTGGCACCGATCACTATTCATGGCCTCCTGATGTGTTGCCAGCGTTATTGTCAGTGTTTGACTGGTAATTCAGTGAAATGGTGAAAATAAATCATGCAGAATTGACAAATTGGTTGATTGACAGAAAAATATTGGCAGACTGTCTCTCAGTATTCTCTCGTTGGAAGCAAAAACAGACAAAATCTTCAGCTCCAGCTTTATTAGTGTGAAGATTTTCACTTTTTCCATATTCATGACAGTAAACTGATTTTCTGTAGGGTTCATCTGTTGGTCACACAAAACAGACATCTGAAGATGTCACATTAGGCTTGAGGACTTTTTATAAATCAAACAACAGATCTTAAGATGAAGTGATACTGAAAATAAGTGAGAAATAGCTGGGAAAATCCAGCTTTTGCTTTTAAGCGATGCACATTTTCAATCAAGTTGCCTGACTCAGCCTTGATTCAACCCAAACAGCTTTATATACCCATGTGCCATCTTTAAGCCATCATAACACAACGGCAGGACAGGAGGCTGGTCTCATTTTGAAAAGCAGAACTGCTACATGTTTTAATGCCATGAGTCAGAGTAAATCTACTCTCTAGCCATGCATTATTTGTGCCAGTGTATTAATATCCCATCATGACAGAATGTATGGCTATATTTCGCTGTATCATTACTCGATCCTTCTCCCTGTGTGCATGTTGGAGCATCTGTGCTCCTGTATGATCAGCTGTCTGCGCCTGTGTCAGCTGCCATGTGTGTTTGCACTTGCATTTGCTTGTAAAAAAAGAGAGAGAGAGAGGAGAGGATGAAACAAAGGTGGATGACACCTGCATGTGTTACACAGAGACTGTATCAGTCATAGTTGGACCCAGAGGTGCCACTTACGCAATTCTTCAGCAGGCAAATCTTATTTATGCTGCTGAGTTTGCAACCAGGTGTGATGGAGAGAGAGAGTGCGGTTTTGTGGCACTGGGGGTACGCGATGAAAAAACATATAAAAAGAGTTGCCTGAAGGAACGAGTGTTTATTAGCTTTAGAGGCAGGATGTCTTCCTCTCCCCCACAGAGAGTGAGAAAGATGTCATGCCTTTTGTGCGGTGCCACACAGAGTGCTTTTTGGGGCTTGTGTGCGTCTGTCTTTGTAGAAGTGTGTTTGAAACAGGCAGCCTAAACCTAAAGTACCCAAGACGTCCCAGTTTATGTAACGACATTGAAATGTAATATGTGCGTGGCTTCCTGGTTTAACTGTAAAATGCCTGAGTGGTTTCCATTTGCCGGGCTGACAGGGGAGCAGCCTGCAGACACACAGGTTCAGACGAGCTGCCACTGGTTTGGTTTATCGGCTGGTCTCAGAGCGGCTACACCTTTTGTACGGAGGGGGAATCTTGAAAGCTTATGTTTGACAAGATGCACCTTCTGCCATGTGCAGTTATTCACGCCCTCATCATGATGTGATGTTTTTATTTTTATCCGGCTGCCAACTCAGGGAGATGGGTGCTGTTTTCACCCTGTTCACACTCTGTGGAAAGATGTTCTGCATTAATTTGCAAAATCCTCTATCAGATGGTTGAAAAAATAGGTTAAATATTTCATGAGGTTTGGCTGGCAGTGGGGTGTGGCAGTGGGCGTGGCCTATTATTCAAAAGAACAATGAGAGGGTGGCTGTATTTCTGTCTCTTTTGTATTGTAGAAGCATACATGCAGTGATAAAGATGTAGCTCTTCCTTTATGGATTTTCTTTTTGGTTGTCAGGATGCATAATTATGAGGTATTTATTGGTTTTTAGCTCTGCAGAATTATTAAATGTGATGTATCAATAAGTAAACTTTGTGAACTCTGATTTATACTGTTAGTTAGCTTTTAAAAGCTAAGCAGATCTACAGGCTTTATATTAGCTGTCACTGCCCTGGCGTTATGATATGTGCTTCAGTCTCCCTGTAAATGTCTGCGTAATAAAAATATGAGCGCGGTGATAAAGAGGAGTACACAGACACTAAAAGTCAGTATGAAGAATTAACCACTCTTGTCACTGATGATCTCATTTGACTATGTAGGTCATGATGAAGCATCAGTAAAAGAGGGAAACTGCTTCAAAATCAGTTAAAAAACTCCTCACAGTGCCTTTAACGGACTTGTAACAACACTGCAAAACTTTTTGCTTACACACTGACAGAAAGCAAAGCTGGCTCTCCATAATTGGCAGAATCAAACAAAGTGACAGTGCTAATGACTTGATTTGCATTCTGTACCTGGCTATTGAGACTTTTTTCCAAACTCCTGCGTTTCTAAGGACGGCCAACACTTCTAGCCACTTTAGCACAGATCGATTGTCAAGCAGTGTTGTGACACATGTCGAGAATGCTTGAGAAGTGCTCGAACACTTGAACAATCTCATTTTCCATTTCAGGCACAAAGTCATTAAAATGTCTGCATCAGGGAGTGTGAAACAAGTTTATAATTAACATTGAGAGAAATGAAAACTCTCATCTAGACGACTGTGCAAACGTCACTAATTGCCCTAGAGTCCTTTGATGCATTTAGAAGAAGTAAAAGTAAACCAGGGGAGTTTCAAGAGAAGGCATCATTATTTTCTGCACTTGTAAACTTTTATTGTTATAGGTATCTTAAGGTCAACGCACTGGCATGCCAAACTTTCTCGCCATTCAGACTTTTCAGCACCACACCTCAATCGCAGTCTGGCCTCTCCTCTGTCCTGAAAAAGCATGACAGCTGAAGCCCCCACCCCAGGATAACGGGGATTTCAGCTTCTGTGTGGCCGAGCCGTCCTTCCCCTTTTTTTTTGCTGTGCATCTTGAGTCAGCTGTTACACACTGGGAATGCTTTCCATGTGTTTGTAAGCCTCAGCTGACACGAGAGAGAGAGCGCTGTCTAGACAGTGACACCAAATGCAATAACTCACCGTCTCGCTGTTTGTGTAGCTGATTCTGAGCTATGCATATACCATAGAAAAGTTTGGTGTGTGAGCATGTGATCATCCTCAGTTGTGTTACTCATTATTTTATACCTCCAGCGCTAACAGAGGAGCTACTTCTCCTCCCTGTTAGGGGGGATAAGGGCTCTTGCAGCTGTCTGATTGCGCTGCTGTTTGCTCCCCCTTGTTATTTTCTGCGCCCGCTATGCTCTGTACTTGCGTGCGCGCTTGTTTGCATCATAAGCACCAGACCCACGTCTCTGTGTGTACACCCATGACAAGACGCCTTTTGTGCTATTGTTTTTTCATATCATAACACTGTTGACTCAACTGACAAAAACTAAACAACAAAAGAGAAGAAGAAAGACTGTCAGCTTGGCTATCATCCATCGGCTGAGCGGCTGGTTTCAGTAAATATTCATTAAAGCTGTTATGTGGAATGAAAACTCGGGCCATCTTTGGGTCACGACTGAAACAGCTTATTAGTTGGAAATCAATAAGACTGGATAAGGAGAGTCTGCTTCTTGCTACCATGGGCATGTTTTTCCTGCTTGTTGCACGAGGCGCACCTAAAGGCGAGTCAAGCCCTCGTTACTGGTGTCTACTCCCCTCAGGGCAAGCAATGGGCCTTTTAATATAGACTTCACAGCCAGCTATAGAAGCTCACACCCAACTACCACTCCAGGTTTACAACAGGCAGCCCCACTGTCCTCTGTTATCAGTTTTCCCTCCTATTGCTGGCCTCTTTAAAGGTGAGAGCAATAAAACAACTTCTCCAGCAGAGCTTTCGGAGGAGATAAAAGAGAAATTAGAGATTGGACTGACTGACATTTACTGCCAGCAGAGCAGTAAATTAAAAAATAAAGTTGGTGGTTGATAATAAAAGCTAGACTTCTTCTCGACATTTTTTTTTCTTAATGACGATCCTCCCCCTCTGACCCAGATCTGAGCCGCAGTCTCTCTCCGGTTCACACGGGGGGAGATGAGTGACTTGACTGTGTGAAGTGAAGCAAACTTCTTGTGGGAGACTTCCTGCCGGCCTGCCACAGTGAATCAGGAAAGTGACTGGAGCCAAAGCAGATTCACAGTCTGCTTTGTGTCCCCCCCAGCATCATCACCTCTGGTTAACCGTCAGGACTCTCTCCCACAGCGCAGCAGCACGGCGTGAAAGATCCTGCACATGCTCGTCACGCCTTCGAGATTGTATCTCATGTTTGATGATAACAGCACAACAACCCTGTAGCGATTCAGTTGGTAAACCGTTTAAAGGGCTCTTTTGGGTTGATTTGCATACCTCTGCTTCTCAACTCTCCTCCTCCTCCTCCTCCTCCACTAAATACCCCTTGACCTCCCTCCCCCACTCAGTGCTAACAAATACTATGCCAAAGCCGCCTCCTCTTCAAAGATCACTAATTAGAAACTGCCCTCAAGTTTGACCCAAACCAGATATTTTTATTCTCCGTACAGTGCGAGATCACATCTACACGCATGGACTGTTTAAAGCGCCCACCTCGCCTATTTAAAAAGCCGACCCAGCTCCCTCCCCCCTTGGGACACCCTTCCTCCCCCCTGCTGATGTTCAGTGTTTGTAGCGATGATGACTGTCCAGCGAGAGAACACCACTTTACTCCTCCACACACACACATATGAGCACCCACAGTGTTGTGAGCTTCTGTCTGTCAGTGCTGGTGAAAACACACTCTCCCACTCCCTGCTTGATTCCCCACCCAAGCAGATCCCACATTGGTGGGATACACACCAGGCGAGGTAACTATGGCGACGGTGCTCCCCACCTGCACACCACAAATCCATATTCAGTGGCACATGCTCAGCTCGGTGTGCACATTCAGAGGTGTGTGTGTCTACAGCACATGCATGTTTTAAAAAGCCTCTTATGCAATGATAAAGAGCACTCCACTCTCTCTACCATTACGTCCTGTTAATGCACCGCTTTTCTGCTCTACACCTTAAAACCAAAGAGAGGCGCATTTGTGTGTGTGTGTGTGTGTTTGTGTGTAATTGCTTATGAAAAAATGCACAAATTCACAAGCGCGTGTCTTTTATTGCCCGAGAGGCAAAATGACTGACAATGGTGAGAAAAAGTCTGTTTGAAGTAAGCTAATTAATAGTTAATTGGTTTCTTCTCCAATCTGCTGCTTAATTCACAAACGTGAGAACGGATAGCAAAGCTGCCAGTCACACACAAAAACTAACCACTGTACATTAAGTAGATACAGCTGTCAGGCTTAATTGTTCACAAGCTGTAGATGGATAATGACTGAAGATAGCTGGAAGTTTTTATAGCGTCACATTCATTGACAACAATTATCTCAAACATTCAGTTGGCTCTGGTGTAGCGTTTGCCCATGACAAGATATTATAAAATGCGCTTTTAACGCATAATGTGTGATTCTGAGTGAAAGTTGTGTTCAGAGTAGATGGGAAACCATAGTGCTTTGTCATGCAGACAGGGTGGGGGAGGGGTGTGTGTGTGTGTTTTGTGGGGGGTTGGTTGGGATTGGGGGGTTGGGGAGATGAGGTTAGTAGGGTAGCAGGTGTCCTCACGGAGTTAATGGATCTGAGGATGAGAGGCCCTTGATGTGCTGTAGTTGTGTTTTTGTGTGTGTGCATGTGTGTCTGTGTGCATGGACTAAATCTGAATAAATCTGTTCTCTTTTACTAACCTCTTTGTCCCTCATGTTGTTATAGCTAGAAATAAACAGGAGATGAATAGTGTAAAATGATGTTCTCCTATGAGAGTGTGAAAGACTCGGTTGAAGACACATCTTCTTTCCATTTCACACATTAATCACGTGTCGCTATGTCAATTTTCACCCTGATCTCAATCACCCACAGAATCGTAGACTTAACCAGTCTGCATATACATAATACATAATATGTCTTTCATATTGCTCAAGCTTCCCGGCAGTTGTATTGATGTCATTCATGTCATGGCTTCACACCAAGTCTAAACGTTAGCAAGAAGCACAAACCGGGGGATAAAAATTGCTCCTTTTGACAAGTGCTTCAATTCAGAGTATATATTCTGTGATCTAAGGTTGAATTTAAAAGCAGGCTGACAGAACCATTCATGAGAAAAATGAGGGAGTGTATGATTACTTTCTGTATAGTGCATTAGGTTTTCTTTATGTGCAGTTTTGATTGATCACTCACATTGTAAGTGCAGAGCTGGGGGAAATTACAGTATCAATACGAAGAAAGTAAAACAAAAGCAAAACCCTCCTTTTGTGTTGGGTCTCACTCACCCTGTCAGAACTCTAATTTGCGTAACCAGCCATTCACCATACATTATTCCGCTTATTATCTGGCTGAAACAAAATAGCGGTCTGAAAGACGGTTTAATTCAATTAAAAATGATTTTTATCAATACAGTTAAAAGAGAAGCCCGTCCATTTCAAAGGTCTGTGAGAACTTCATGGTAATGGACTCTTAATCAGCCTCCTTGTGGGACAAATTCGCATTAAACATTTCCATTGAAGATAATGTTAAATGAGGTGAGTGAGACTCTTGCAGGAATATTTATGCTGACTTATGTCCCCATTTATTCTCTCCTTCTTCCAAGGCTTTAGCAGATGACACACCTTTAAATATAAATAAGGTGAATGTCACATCTTTTTAATCGTGTTGCTACTAACACTAAAAGTTACTTTGTAGCAATCAGCCACTTAAGGATGCACCCGCAAGCTCTGCTGCTGTTGCGTAGGTTGCAGGACACGGCCTTCTGCTTTTTTTAACCGTCAGATAGTTTCAGCTCCTCAGGATGCTATGAAAGAGGATTGGGGCCACATGAAGAGAAAAAAAAAAATACAGGAAGGAGATTAAAGTCCAAATTTCAAGATTAAAGGTGAAATTTCAAGATGAAGAGGTGAAAATTATGTTAATGAAGTAGAAATTTCGAGATTAAAAATTGAAATTTCGAGATAAAAAAATTAAAATTTGAAAAAATTGAAGTCGACATAAATAATGTCAGAATTTCGATTTTTAAAATTTAGACTTCAATCTCAAAGTTTTGACTTCAATCTCAAAAAGGAAAATTAAAAAAAATCCCCTTTCTGTAATTATATTGTTTTCTCTTCTTGTGGGCCTAATCCACTTTTGTAGGATGCTCATACATCGGTGCGTGGCAACTACTGTAAATTGTCACAGTGTCAACAGGCAGAGGCAATGTGTAATCAGTTTGTTGTGTTATTAGGGGGTTTGGACCAATCAGAGTAAGAAAGTGCTTTATTTTGGCCAGTTTCTCTGCATTTGTGTGTGGTTTGAACCTAGTATGGTGCGCCTGTATGACCTGGACTATTGAATGAGGGACAAATATATATATTTTTTTTTTTACCATGGCCTTTTTCTTTTTTACCATAGAGGCAAAATTGCAGCATAACCCAGTGCCACCATCCACTCCTTCTCTTTGTCCTCCTGGTGAAGGACTATTTATACACAATACTGTTGGTAAGGAGCTGTCCTCCAATATAAAAACTGTTTTAGCCTTTAATTGGATTAATAAATCCAGATATTGCTGTAGCTAGCACTGCCATATGTGACAATTGTGCGCTAACCGAGTTAACGCTCCGCACTTGCTCTCCCTATTGACTATTACTTCTACAAAGCTAAGTGGGACAGTCATGTAATCATTCTCTGATTAAGTTTACACCTCCATACCAAGGAAAAAACAGATGAAGCTACACACAGTGTTGGGAAACAGGAGATGTACCGAGAGAAGTTTTTTTTAGCATAACTGATGAGAACTTCGAAATGATTTGAAGAAATGTTAGTTTAAAAGGTTCAGAGAAACGTTTTTTTAATCTAATCTAGCTAATTATATTTCAACTGAAAGCTTCGGATGAAACAATAAAACTCCAAAGCTGTTTTTCTGTCATGGTCAAACAGGAAGACGGAGCAGCTGAGGGTGTAGGAGGGAGGATGAAGAGGCAGCTGTTCAACAGAGGATAGATTATGATCTCCTCCACGCTGTTGACACTATCGAGAAATGCTGCCAGCTCCGGATATGGATAGGAGAAAATATGAATCAGCCCACATAAAAATCACATTTAGCTATATCTGTTCTATTGTACATAAACAGTGTAGAGGTGGGCACAGACATCTAAAATGTGCAGTAAGACATTTACACAGATGTAGAGAATTAGCTTTAAAGACCTTTTATCGCCTCCTTTCTGGTTTCTCCAGCTGTTAAAAGCAACAGCACAGGTGGGGGTCATGACTGTTGTAGCCCGGGGGGCCCATAAATTTAGTCTTGTTAGCATGGCGAGAGCAGAGGACAACATGATCCACGTGTGCGAAAAGCAGGAGTTTCTGTTTGGATCCTTAGGCTCGGGTTCATATGAGGAAAGAGGAGACGTAGATTTACTGCTGAGAGGTTCGACCACATTTGGAATAGGCTACAGCAGCGACTTCCCTCTCTCGACTCTTTAAGCTAGGTTATACCAGATAGCTGCATCTTCTTATCCTGTACACTTTTAAGAGTGGTATTGACCTTTTATATTACTCTCACTGATAGGGATGGGAATCAAGAACCAGTTCTTGTTAAGAACCAGTTCCAAATGGTTCAATCCAGTGACATCGTTTACATTTTATCTTGATTTGATTTCCTTAATGGTTCCTTTCTCGTTAGAGCCAGTCTACGCAAACGAGAACCTGTGAGAATGCAGCACAATGCATGCCAGACTTAACAATGTCCTCCTTTACCTGGACATGTCCTCTTTTTTGGGGGGCTGTCCGGCCTGTCTGAGGGAGTTCATAAAGTCCTCCAAATGTTGTATGGAAGTTTTGAGTTTGTGTACAAGGGGCTAACTGGGTTAGAAGTGTGTAAAAACACTCGACCTGGCCTGAAAAACCCTCAAAATTTTGCACGCAACTCCACCCCGTGAAGAAGTATCCTCTTTTTGGGGATCCAGAATATGGTCACCCTAATTCGACTTAGTACCGACCGAAGTAAATGCTGTACAAATAGTTTGTCATTGATTATTTTTAGACTCTCACTGAAGGTGGCATATATCTTTTTCTGTTATCGGAGACTCAACAAAATTTTGAGTTCATGATGAAAACCTGTTGTCTACTTTTTTTTAAATCAAAGAAAGGCATCGATAAGGGAATCGTTACAGAATTGAATTGATAATCAGAATCAATAATGGCATTGATATCGATAAAATCTTATCAATTCCCATCCCTACTGACTGACAAGTATAGAAGTGTCAAACAGTCTTTTTTGAGACGGACTTAATAGCTCAGAGTAAGAGTGGTAAGAGCATTAGCTAGAGATTTTACATGTTAGACAGTGGGCGTTTCATGGAGAGCTAAAGTGTGCTCTACATTCATGTACTGTACATGTACATATCTGTTTCTACACGTTTGGATCTTTCTCTGTCCCCAGGCTACGTTTCCTGCTATCCAGGGTGTTAAAAAGCATGATGGGGAGTCTTCCTCAATGCAGCTAGCTTACAACAACTCCCTCTGTGCATTTTCACCCTCCGTGTAACCGTCTTTATCTTGTAATCCCCGCATCTTAAGCAGCACTATCGCTTGGCTCTCTTTGCTTGAGCTATACAAAGGTAGAATAGAAATGTACTGTATATCCACTTCAGCTTCCCCCCTCTCTGAACGCTCGTGAACTCGCTTTTGTTCTGGCTCTGATTAGAGCTGCATTGATGTAATGGGCAGTTGTTGTAAGTATTCGTCAGCTGTCACCCTCTAATAGACGTCTGAACACTTAGTCTTCTTTTCTTTCTGTTTGTCCCCATGTTGGACTCTCACTCAGGGAGATTTGCACCTGTCTTCCTGCTGACAAGCTTCCAGCAGAAAGAGAGCTCTCTCTTGGACACTGAAAATCATTAAGCCCTTTCTTAAGCATTACCAGAAACACACAGTGTCCTTTTATAAATCCGGCTGGGGATATTGCATTTTGGCTGAAAGTTTTGAAGCTAGCAATCGGTCAGAGGTCCTTAATGACAGCCCGGCTCGACTGATTTCTACATGCACACAAAGATGATTATTATCGCTGCAGGAAGGACAAGGAGGAAAAAAAGAGCAAGAGCATGAGGCCTGAATTGTAATATTTGTTGCGGCTTGGGGCCCATCAGTCAAAGAAACAAGAATCTGGGGGAACATGAGGACAAAAGGATGTGAATCTTTATCAGCGTGTTACATGGTTTACATCAGGATGACATGCTATGATCTGTTCTACGAGTGAGTGGCTAAGTAATCATGTTTTTGCTCTAGGAAAATGTTATATGTCAAATTTCAATGATTAAGAAGAAAAGACACGATAAAGCAGACTCGGGTTCATGTTGTTGCTGAATTTGAGGAAACAGGCTTGATTCGTACCACTCTGCGCTCATATCCCCTCTAAATGTTAGCGTTTCCTTTGCATGAAAATGTCTCCTTTTTCCTCTGCTTTCATCTTCCTCCCTCCAGTTTTCCCTCATATTGGAATCTCTCTGTCTCCCTCGCACTTGTGCTCTATCTGGTAATGATGTTAACAGGGTCAAATGCTTTCAGGGGCCTTGAGGGAGACACATTTTTTTTGAGAATTGTTAACCAGCACTGAAAAGAGTGAAGATGAAGATTCCCGTATGTTCCTCATCCTCCCCCAGCGATTATTTCTCTGTCACATGTATGTTCAGCACAGAAACTAAGTATACTTTTATATTCACTTAGTTCTTTACATTTTTGTGGCGTTTAGCACCCCGGAGGTGGCTGTCATTTCCTCTTAAGCTTCCTCTCTCTTCCCTTTCTTTTGCTTTTCTTTCACAGCATAGTCCTCTGGTTTCCTCGCTGCTTACCCGCTACTGAGAATCTTCACACGATTTCAGATCTGTAGGATAAGTCTGAACGTCCCTTTGGGAGATAGGACGTTGACTCGGTCCGTGTGTCTTACGCCTGGCATGCATGATCATCATTAATGCATAATTTCACTGGCTAGTAGTTACTGGAGTTACACTCCTTTTTAACTTTCCCTGAAAGTTTTTTGAGAGGAAAAGCTGGAGTCTCTTACACACCAGCAGGGGTGAGAAGCACATCAACCGCAACTTTGGTTCAAAGCAAAAGTGAAGTGATGCCAGGACTAAAATCAGCACTATTGATGTAGTAGGTATACTGTAAAGGAAAAATTGGAGTTTCAGACATAAAGTACTTCACTGAGGTGGAAAATTTGTGTGTAAACCTCATATCACTTCAAATGGTTATATCTAAGGGAAGAGGATTTTACTACAACAAAAATGTCCTCCAAGGGCACCTTGACCTTGATGGGCGTCTGTTTTGGAGGAGTAGACTAAACAGTAAATCTTATCTAGCAGCAGCTCTTCATGTGGCACAGCCAGTACGTTTACATAGACGACACTCAAGGAAACCAAATTATTGCTTTTCTCCGGACAACTGAAGTGCATGCAAAAACCTTAGTCCGACCATAATCGGAGTTTGAGAACTCCGATTTGAGTTGGAGAACTCTAATTAAGACACCCAGATAATGCGATTGTCGTAGTATGATTGAACAATGCATGTGCACATGCAAGAAAAAAACACCAAAGAAGTGGAGTAGCGTCCACCTCATCTGCAGAAAAAGCGCATACATCATGTACGACAAAAACAACGCTGTACGATGCTCCGTCCTCTTGCTCAAAAATGCCCAGCAGCAGTTGTCTGGCATGGACCTGCTGTTGTTGTTGACAGTTGTATGGGGTCAGAAACAGCGCTGCTGAAAAGACCCATATCGCCCCCTAGTTTTGGGGAGGAGGGCACCTTCACGTCAATAATTCGATTGTCTCAGCTGCATGTATACGCGGACAAGGAGGGATGTCCGCACTGCATGTACACACACTGATTGACCGAACCTCTAGGTGGCGACATGTTGTCTTTCAGCTCGTTACTGTCAGGTCATCTCCTGGTTGACATGCTACATATCAAAATAGCCAGCAAAACGTGTTAGCAAGATGCTAACAGTATGCTACTTTTTCAGCTCTGTGCTGTTTTTTAAGTAAAGTTCGCATTTTTTAACAAAATTTCTTTATCTGTTGAGGTTTTGTTCACTACCTTGCTACCCTCCAAGCAACACATCCATGCTGTTGAACCACCGGCTTAGAGCCTGGCGTGTGAATGCTGAAGCATGCGCGATAGAGATGTATACACGAAAAAGAAAAGCAATCCCCAACCATCTTATCCAAACATGTTAATCAGACTATTAGAAATTCAATTTAGTGCGATTGCAGTCGGACTAATGCATTTTAAATATCCCGTTGTAGTCAGACTATTGCAGTAAATAAGTTTTTTAAATTTTTCTTAAGTTTTGACTCTGCCTCATATTTTCACCACACACCTCTTAAAGCGTAGAGAATCGATAGTTAGTAGTGATTACTAATTTAACAGCCTGAAACTCAGCTAAAACGTCTCTCCAGGAAGACTGACACCAGCAAGTTAACTTTAGCAAACAACTGCCTGACTGCCAAAAGACTCTGACTCTTGTGTTTGCAAGTCCTGATTGGTACATGCAGCGTGACATCATCTTTTCCTAATTAGTGTCTCACACTTCTGACTTGTGAAAAAAAAAGAGAAAATCTCTCTCAGATCTCTCTCATGTGATATAACCAAAAGTGCTCCAGTGTAAGCAGAGCATTTTGTGGTTTCAAGCAGTCCAAGCAAAATTCACTCTTAAAAAAAACTCCAAGAACATTTTCAAAGGCCTTAAGAACTGCCTTATCTACCAACACATAAAGCACTAACTGGGCACGTCTGTATATGTTCAATCCCATCAAATAGTTTTGCAATTATGAACCATTTCTTCAGCAAGCAAGTGCAGAAGTTTGTTAGAGAAGCAGATGGTGCATAAATAATACAGAGCATAATAAATATCAAGTCACTTTTGTTTTAAGGACGATGACGACGACAAACTGGCTTACAAGTTGTAGTTCTGTGCGTTACAGAGCTATCAGGCCCTTCTTGGGGGTTGATGAATTTCCATCAGTTCTGGCTGTGAATTGAGACATGGGACAGGAGCCTCCAAAATATGAGATACAGATGTGAGAAGACTTAAAATACCTGATCACAGACTCACTAAAAATGATATTTAGGCTACTTCTCCTCATCCCTCTTTGAAATGGGTATTTTATGAGTGAATTTTTGGACCACTGCAAATGTGTTTAAGGTGTTTTACATATTATTGTAAAAACTACACATTCACATAAACAACTTTGGGTGTCTATCTGCTGTACTGAGCCAAAAAATAGTTCAACCTACTTGTCATATCCTCTTTAGAGTAGCAGAGTGAGGGGTCAGGGGTGACAGGACATGGTGCCTATGTTAACGGGGATCCTGGCAGGTTGGTTCAGGGTAGAGGTGGGATTTTTTGGGCTGATTGACCAAACAGAGGTTTTTGTGAAGACCTGGGCTTTAAATGAGGTTTTGTGTTCAGTCCAGGAGGACTCACCGGTCCTGAAGTTTTGAGTCTTTTCTGTTGTCATCTTTTGCTTGGTTGATCATGTCCTGAGTTTTTTGACAAAGGACGGACTGATAATAAAGGTTTGGTTTTTAAAATGAAAAGAAAAATCCTCCTTAGATTTAGTTCTGTGTGTGTGATCCTGGTAAGCAAGCTTGATGGACAGCTCCACTGCTCCACATTAGCACATCTTCTTACTGCCATGACTGCCCTCTGTATAACTTCACCCCTGCAGTGTTTTTATTATACACCTTCTAGGTGTATAATTATCATGTGCCACAGAACGGTGATGATGCGAATGGTGGGCATGAATGCTAGTGGCCTTGCTGCTGTTTCCTCTGAGAATAAGACACTGACCACGAATGATTGGATTAGTGTTTAACCCCCCTTCCACTTAGCATAATCCTCTTTGCAGATTTCCCAGCTTATGTGTGTGTGTGTATTTACATGTATGTGAGTTAGAGGGTGTGTGAGTGTGTGTATGTACGGAGTCATTTTCTTTCACCAGCTGATGAAGAGTAAGGTCAGAGAGAGAGTTGGTCTGTGGTCATTCAGCATCATCTGGTATGAGACGTGTGCTTCCTGTGTCCGGTCAACAGTCTGTGTGGGAAGAAGCCACCGGCGGCAAAGATAAGAGATGAGACACAAGCTGGAGAGAGTAGGTGAGGGTGGGAGGAAGAGAGGGGTTTGCAGAGATGGAGATGAGTGTTAATAATAGAAAATCTGAGGCCTTGTTGAGCAAATATGGGCACTCTGCGGTCGAGGCGGCGCAGCCTGAGGTGAAGAAGTGGGCGAGGTTCCGGGCACAGGATTATCATGGAAGAGTGGTGGAATATAGAGCGATCAGTTTGAGGTCTGCAGGGTTTGGTATGTCATTGTCAGCCTTTTCTAAACAGCCTGCAGAGCGATGGGCACTTTGAAGTTTCACAGAGCTGCTTAAATCCTGCCTGAAAAGACGCAGGGAACCGCAAGGCACAGAGAAGAGACAGGAATATTTATACTGAGGGAGGGAGAGCGAAGGGGCAGGACGGAGGAGAGGATTGATGGAGGGTGAAACATGGAGGAAGGGGAGGGTAATCAGGAGTAAGAAGGAGGAGGCAGCTTGTTTTCAGGATGATGACAGGAGACAGGCGAGCAGAGGAAAGCTCTTAGCGCAACCAACACAGCGTGAGTGGCGGGCTATTTTTTTTCTAAAGATGAGTAATATGTTTCCAGCAGTGCCAGATGAGTAGCTGCAACATGAGAAGTGGTGATGCAGCAGTAGGTGCAGCGCTGACCTGATCTGAGCAGGATGTGGGTAGACTGGGTGCCGCCAGATTAGTTCACTGACATCACAGCGAGGAGAGCAGAGGCCTGAGTCAGAACGGACAATCCTTACAGAGTGTGTTACACTCTCAACCAGCTTCCTGCAACATACTCCACCTCAGGCTTTTTGGTTCAATCCTAGTTTGAAAGTCGAGGGTGGAAAGTTTCCTTGAAGTTTATTTATTGAGCTCTATTTCAACTGAGGGCTGTCACAGTATACCGGTGTTGATGGTGACTGTCTTTATTAAAATAGTAAATACTGATATACTGCTAAAAATAAGCAAATGGTTATAGGGGGAGTTCACAGCCGATGGCTGCCACACATCATAAAGTGGAGGACAGCTGAAAATGAAGCAGCAGACTGACTGTAAACTAGCTAGAAGCAGCTCCCTGAGAGGATAAGGCAAATTTAAAACTGCAATTCCCTGATATCTTTGTGAATGTTAATACAACCTCTGAAGATTACTTATATAAACTGATCATTGATACTTTCTGAGCATTTAACTGTTTTCATTCAATACCATAACTTATGATCTGCCTAAATTAGCTCATACTTCAAAATCAAAGCATAGTCAAATAAGCTTGACTGTCAGAACAATATTGTAAAAGCCTAAACAATATTTCAGAGTTAATGTAAAATATTTGATTGATACCATAGACTGTATATAACATGGTCAACTTGGTTCCGCCTTCCGCCAGTACACAATTTAGTTTTCCACTTCCTGAAACCAACATTGCGCAGTAGCATTGTATGCATATGCGAGAGTCGGGGATGGGGGGTGGTTATATTCTGTGTAATAAATTTCTAAAGTTTGTCCACAGCTCCATGGGGATTGTTGGAGGAAGCGGAATTTATGACCAATACTGACCGGCCTGTCACCAGAGTGTGCTGTTCTCAGGGTGGCTTCACCCAGCGAGGAGGCAGACGCTGTCATTCTATATCTAGTCTATGATTGATACCATACATATTTGATTGAATACTTTAAATGAACAAAATACAACAGAAAAAGTGCACAGGTAGAGGGCACAGGTATCCTAGCGGTTTAGATGTGCCCCATGTGAACAGGCAACCCCAGTGCGATTTCACCCTGTGGCGTCTTTACAGCATGTCATTCCCTCATCTCTGCCCTGTTTTCTGCTCTATTCCATCCATCTGTCAATATAGAACAAAGATAAAATAGAATAAATACATGAATAAATCTTTTTTTAAAAAGTACACAGGTAATGGAAATAACAGTAAATCAACATGCTGTTCAATCACAGTTAAATAATAACAGAGTGTGGATCAAACAGCTCCTGTATTTGGGCTCTAACTGTGTGGGAGGCCCTCAGGTTGTGGCAGACACATACTGCGCTGTGAAAGGAGCTGTCGGACCTTCATCCAGGACGACTGACAGCTTCTAAGTTTAGGAAATTTAGGTTGTGATGGCTTAATTGTTTGAAATGCAGCTCTCTGAGTAAGGAGAACTTTTCACAGTAGAGGAGAAAATGCATGTCTGTTCCTGCTTCCCCCAGTTACACATCCCACTGTTATCATCAGTTACATGAGTATAGAAAAAAGTGTCATGAATGTGTTGTTTTATGCGGCATGCCAGCATTGAAAATGTAAATTTGCTTCGTGCGAAAGTTGTGTGAAAGTTTATTAATTCAGCTACATTTCCACACAAAAACAAAAAAGAACCCTACAATTAATGAACTATTGATTATTTCTGTTGCACTTGTTTGGAAAAAAAGTTTCAGAAGAGTTGTTGTTTCATGCAGAACGCCTGCATTAAAAATGTATGAGTGCTTGTGGGAAATATTAATAAGTACAGAATTATTTAAAATACAGTCAGAGCCCCGGTTGACTCCTCTTATCATTTTAAGCCTCACACAATATTCTCTTAATATTCCTGTTGGGATGTTTCTGCTTCACTTTTTCTGTATTACAATGAGAGTTGCATCTACATTTGCTTGTTGTTTCATCTGTAAATATACAATATTTTATGATCGTCTCACAGTGACTGAGAAGCAGCTGATGAGAAGATACAAAGCAACATGGCCATTTAAAACCATTTCCTTTACCCTCAGTTCAAATGGGAAATTTAAAGGTGCTGCATTCATGAGTAGAGTTTAAGTGCTTGTTAGTCCTGAGGGGGTCTTTAGGGAGAAATCAAGCCATAAGGAGTGTTGCTTTAATCAGATTTGTCTCACTTTGCTGTGCTACTTGTGACTGCATTTAAAGCGAAAGAGTGAGACAAATCTGAGGTTTGTAAAGATTTTTTCAGCGTATTGGTAGAAATAAGTGAAAAAAAAGTAGACATAGACAACAGACTGGAGGCTCCAGGGGGAAATGGATTGAGGGAAATGAGACATAATATGAATACGATCCAAAAAAGACTCACAGAGACATGCATACTCACATACTTACACACACACCAGCGCAAATGGACCCCTACTAATATCAGTGAATGGAAGTGTAAGAGAAGTTACTATGAAAGAAGAGGGGATGTTGAAGTTAAAAAGCTGTTCTGGTGAATTATTTATGCTAAGCATTGTGCCTTAAGACATGGCAACTTACAGAGTTTTTCTCTCACACACACACATATACACAAATAGAGCGCACACACACTCCTACACAGCTGCAATCCCCAGTTGCTTGTGCAGACAGGAAACATCGTACTTGTTACTCTGTCTGGATTTGGGTGGGGGTATGTGTAGCGCTCTGTTGTCCCCGGTCCTGATGAGAGGGGTGTTTGTAGTTGTTGGCTGAATGGTGAATGCTGTGTGTGTTCGCACTGGTGTGTGTGCGTGCATGCATCCATAGGGCTAAGGCATGATTCACATATGCTGTGTGCCTAAATATAGGCTATAAAGGAACAGAAGGAACATATAGAAGGGTGATAATAAAGCTGATTTATTAGGGTTAAAATTAAAATTAGCTTTTAAATACTTACAGCCTAGAGCTCAACCAATGAATTACCACAAACATGAATGAGAAAAAAATGTTTTTTCCTCATGAACACAAGTTTAGGTTGAATTTATCCGTCTTTAGGTCCTACACTCCTAATTTATTTTAAATTAAAATAAATGACATGCTGTCTTGAATGGCTGATAACATATTTTTCCCCCTCGGGAAATTAGTTTTTGCTGTAGATTTGCAGCTCCTTACAAGGAGCAAGGATATATTCCTACAAATCTGCAAAAGCTCAGGGTAATTTAGGCTGAAACCGAGAAGCAGTTGATATTAGCTATGCTGTAGCTTTTTATTTATATGGTATGGAAGGCAACATTGAGTTTTCATTTGGACAAATAAATGCAGACATTAAGTGCACGATGGCAGTAACTATTTTTCTATTCCCCATTATGTTCTGTTGTTTTTGGAGGGTTTGCATACCATCATAATAATATTTCAGACATAAAATAACACAAACATTTTTATAAGCATTTTGTTTCAGATATAAATAAGACAAACCAAAAGGGTTTACTTTTCACCAGTGCAACCAATGTAGCAGTATTGAATACAGAGTGAAGTATTCTGTTTTGCTAGAAGATGCTGCTTAAAAAGTTGACTGCTTCCAGGGTGCTGCTGGCCAAGTGGTCTACGCATGCGCCCCATATACGGAGGTTAGGCCTTGAGCAGTCAGGCTGGGTTTGCCTCTGACCCGTGGCTCCTCTTGTGCTTATCGCCCCGTGCTCTCTCACCCCGTTTCCTACTCTTTCCACTGTTCTGTCAACTCAAATTAGAGGCAAAATAGCCCAAAAATAACTTAAAAAAAAAGAGAAATTATTGCCCGCTTCAATCCACAAAACATGCTGAAAACATAGTGTGGTGGACCAGTCGAGTGGTGACACTTTGTGATGCTTTTCTCCCTCAGTGGGCTGTAATGGTGACAGTGTTGGAATACTATCAAGTAAATAAACTTTGTGGTGCACTAGTTTTATTGAGGAGACTCTTGAATTAAGATAATAAATGCACACTGGATGGGGTTGGTGCAAGTCTCTGTATATCTGCATTGAAACTAGGGCTGGGTGAGATGGCTTCAAATCAATATCACAATATATATTGAGCAGTTCACCTTGATAACAATAAATTGATGATAACTACCCCACAAGCTGCTCACCCCCTCCCACATCAACTTCGTCTACCTCAGCCGCCACTCCAGCCTCTACAACTTCTGAACCGTCCTCCATCTCTTCACCTGTCTTTCCCTCTTTGTTACAGACTGGATTGGGTGGAGTCACGTCTCTGATGTAAGACAGCATCTTAAAGGGACATGAGACCATAGGCTACCTACACACATTCAAAACCAACTTTTATTTATTTATTTTTTTGACACTGAATACGTTGGTTATTGTTTTAAATTTTGGTATTGGTAAATTTTTGGTTTATCACCCAGCCCTAATTGAAACTGCACACTGATTTTGTGTATGCATAGTTTCTATACAAGTGCATGTCTCTCAGGTCAGGCCAAAACCACCCTGACCTGATGTGACATGAACTCCATCAGGTCTTCATGTTCCTGAAGTTGTGAGGTGGGACCTCCATGAATTGGACTTGGTTGTCCAGGCCAGCATATCCAGTAGATGCTCATTTGGACTTGAATCTAAAGTATCTAGAGAACAAGTCATTAAATGTTTCTCCAGGCACCTTTCTTCACTGCTCTATGGTCAATGTCTGAACTGGGGTCAGCACAGGGACCCTGTCTGGTTTGCACCTACAGTACCCAGCCCCAAACACAACAAACCATGACGAGAGAATCAACCTCACCTTTTACAGCTGTTTGAGCTCCAGCCGCTCTTCTGTTGCATTGGTCCACAAGATTCAGCCTTTATTCCCCACGATCACCTGTGAACTTTGAACACCCGTGATTCACCTCACCAGTTTTGCTTGAAGGCTTGGATTGGATTGGTTACTTATGAAATCTCACTGTTTCTGAACCTGCCGTTTGGGTCTGCCAAAGATTCACAGTGATTTAAATGAAGAAATACTCAGAAAAGCTTATTTAGTTTTCTCATGATATGTCCTGTAGCAACAGGAAAATGCCATATGAACATATAAAAAAAACAAGAAAAACACGAATTTAATCGGAGTGGGTTTTGAACAAAGTCGCTAATATCCTTATCCTATTAATGTTTACTACTGGTAAAAAACATGTTCAGAAGTGGTATATGAAAACCTGTAAGCAATAACATTTATTACGCTATTATTAATCACATTTATAAGTTGTTTATAAAGCCTTATTAGTTGCTTATTAACTCTTAATGTTTATTACAAGGGCCTAATATAAAGTGGTACCCCTTAAGGATCCTTAGAAAACCCCCTCTCCCTCTGTGTCACAGTCCGCTTGAAAATGAAATCATGTCCCTAATGACCTCATGTAAAGACCAGGCTCCACTTTTTAATTCTGAAATTTCTTGCTTCACTTCAGCCACCACATAAGCAGACACTGATATATTGTTGCTTAAGTTATATTGCTAGCAGGATGATGTAATATAATGCTAATAATAATTGGCGAGCTGATCCATCAGTCTGGCTTTAATCTGGAGTCGGAGCACATCTTTGCTCGGGAATCCTGAGGAGCTCTAAATATTGTAGGTGCCTGAGGCAAAACACTGCTTGTTATCCATTAGCAAAAAAATCTGCCCTCTGTTCGGCTTGACTCTCCGAGCAAGCCACGCTGACCTGTAAGTACGAGCTCACGCTGACCTCTAACCCGACTCCCAGATGTCGGCCTCTTCTGTCAGTGCTATGCAGCTGCAGTACTCTCAGTGTGGCGCTGAAGGGTTAACATGTGAGTGCGTGTAATAGCAGAGAGCGTGATTGTATGGCAGCTGTTACAAAGCGTTGCTGTGACTGTTTGAAGTGGTTAGTGATGTTCAAAAAGTGTGTGTTTGTGCGTGCACGTGCGCGTGTTTGTATTTGTGTGCACCTCAACCTCAGTAAGCCCTCTGAGGAATGCTTAGCTGCACATGTCACACTGTTTCTGTATTTCCTGGGAGATGTTGGGTGCATAAACTCGGCTAATGCTAAATATTTAAACTGCAGTTTTGTAACCCGTGTTATCTTTTTCCTCTCTGCCTGCCTTCACCCCTTCCACCCTCTGTCTCTCTTCCTCTTCTCTTTGCTCCATCTGTCTTTCTTCACTCTTCCTACCTTTGCAGCCGGTGTTGCCGTGGCTCAGAGAGTTGTAACTGTACAAAGCGGACCGCTGATCCGTGCAGAAGGCTCTCACGTGACCATCTGGTGCAACGTGACGGGGTACAAGGAGGGCGTGGAACAGGACTTCGAGTGGTCCATGTATTTGTCTTCGGTACCGGATAGGGAGATCCGCATCGTGAGCACGGCCCAGCCAAACTACGCCTACGCCGTGTACGCTCAGAGGGTGAACAGTAAAGAGATCTACGTGGAGAGGCTGAGCCGAGACTCGGCGGTGCTCCACATCACCAAAGTGCAGGCCAAGGACCAGGGTTTGTTTGAGTGTTACACACCCAACACAGATGGACGATATTTGGGATCCTACAGCGCACGCACCAACCTCACTGGTGAGTCTATAAGCACACAAACACAACTACAAACTCATAATCCCAACAGTCTACAAATGAACCACTTGTTTGTGTCACAGGTGCTAATGTAGAGTGAAATATGTGCAGTTGGAAAAGTAAAATCAGCCTTTAAACATGTGGTTACATCTCTATAAAACAACCAATCCAGGATTTTAAAGTTGGGATCTTTGCTGATGCAGCTTAAAAAGTGAAATTGATGTCTTTGCAAACACAGTTTCTATGATCTGATATCAGTTTATTTTTGTCTAAAGAATCATTTTCTTTCACCAGAAATCAAATCTTCTTCACTCCCTCATAACAGCAGCTAATACTTGTGCTCTCTGCCTGTACCAAAGTTGTAAAATGCAGTCTCCAGCAACAACTGTTTATGGATAGAGTAAGAAAGCTGATTGAAGGCATTTTATCACATGTCAAAATCAAGCTGTGCAATATGGATCTAATGGATGGTGCTGACATTTTACTCACTCTGACTCTATTTACTGTTTGGCAATATTTTTCACTGGAAAATCCCCCCAGTGAAAGAAAAATGTGCTCAGTATGGGAGGCTTCACCCTACAGAAATAGTGCTTGTGTTTCCATAAGGGCAGTTATTAAATCATAGTAAGTATATAGAAAGTCTATTTATTTTTTCCCAATGGAAATAGATTTGTGCTCAGGAATGAAGCATAGCAGTAGTTCAGTCAGGCCACGGAGTCAATATGCTCTGCCCAGCTCTCGCTCATCAGCTGATGTGGGCGGGCTATTGCCATGTCTCACAATCAGATCAGCTGATCTTATTGGGCGCTCTGTTTAAATCTTCTTCAGCTTCCCTGCCTCTGTTGCTTCCTCTGCATGCTGCTCACATCCCACCTCCCCCCCAGCTCCTCCTATCAGGTGTTCTGACTTACCAGTGACAGTATTGTCATTTATGCTTGCTCCGTACTGCTGGGGTTTTTGCACTGCTCTTCCTCCCTCAGACTCTCCAAGTTGGCACTTGGAACGGCAGGGAGGAGTGCTCTCCCTGCCTCAGGCTTTCCACGTATGAGGAATCTGGAACGGTTCCGCTCCCCCCGGACCGGCAGGCAGATCAAATATGCAACCATATAGCGCCCTCCGGATCTGATCCGCCGCCGCCATCAGAGGAGAAGCTCTCGCGATATTACTGATAGTTCTCATGAGACTGGATGAGATCTCTCTAGATCTCGCATGTTTTCCCGTGAGACATTGAATGAGATCCACTGATCGGTGTATATAAATGGCGGTGTATATAAACACTCACATCCCACAACCCTGGCCTCTCCTTTAATCAAGCTAAGAACAGTTTAACATATTGACTTTCTTTTATTTTGAAATTAAACCGGATATTTTTCTCTGAAGCCACTTGCTGCTCGTGCTTTGCTGCACTGAATGCTCCGGCGTCTGGCAAAAATAGAAGCCTTGCGTATCTGATCCGGCCACCAGAGCTGATCCACAGCAGAGCAGGATGGCGGGCGAATTCTGTGGAATGACATACATTGATTATAATGCTTGCATATTTGAGCCTCCTGGCATGTCGAAGCGGAGCAGAGCCGTTCTGGATCGTGTGGGTTTTCCCCATTATTGTTGTGTAATTGAAATGTAATAAACTTCTTTGACAAAGTGGTCCTGACTGAACTGTTTTTGGAAAAAGTTTAGGGAACATCAGAAATCATTAAAACATCTTATTGGACTATATTTACGTTTATCTGGTCTACTGACCAATCAAAGCTCTTTTACATTACATGTCATGCTCACCAATTCACATCACACTCACACTCCTATGGCAGAGGCTGCTATGTATAGAGCCCATCAGTTTCTTGGCTATCTCCACTGACACACCACTGGGTGCAGTAGACAGGGGCGGGAGGGACTAAGTGTCTTGCCTTAGGACACTTCAGTATGTGGGATTGAACCCTTGACCTTCTGATTGGGACCAACCGACTCTACCACTGAGCCACAGCCGTCCTGTAGTTGCATTAATGTTTTTAACTCTTCAAAAGGTTGGAGGTTGACCTCTGACCTTTGGATGACCCCTCTCTCACACACACACTGTAGCCTCTAATGATGTCCCTGGAATGAAGTCCCACTGTCACCTCACCTCTGTACCTAAATGGTTATAATATCGGTGTCCCAGTGTGTGATTCCATCTTGCAGCAGTATGGTGTTGTTAGAGCATGTCTTGTAAACACAGCAACACACACTCACTTGGACATGCACATACACACTGAGATGTCTCGCCCTGCTGGCTCCAACGCTACACAACACTACAGCCTTCCCTCATTACACCCCTGTCACTACCTCGGAGTGATGAATAGAGGTAGAACAAATGCCCCACCATTATGCCTCTGTGCGTTGAACATTATAGAGGAGGAGTCACAGGGGTGTAAATATCTCACTGTGTGTCTTTCAAGTATCCTGTAGCCTCCTGAAACCCATCAATTACAGAACAACAATAGAAAGAAGGGGAATCCTTGTTGTATAAATACCACCCTGCCTTAGATTTGATGTGTTTCAGATCTTGAGATGTTCAAACACTAGCTGTAACCTTTGCCCCTTTTGAAAGTGGTGTCAGAGGACGTGTCACAGCTGTTCTGACCAGAGAAAAACCAAGCCCCGTCTTTCTCTATTTTTGTCAGTCTTACAAACTCACGTACTTCCTTCCCACATCCAGTATATTCATTCCTTGCCCTGAGCTGTTTAAATCATGTACACGATATGTTTCAAACAGCAGCACTAATTACTGTTTCCTACTCCTACTCCTATCTCTCACTCCATATACAGACGTATCCAGATTTACCCAGCAGGCCCAAGCTGCTGAAGAAGCAGCTGTTATGTTTCAGATTCCTCTCCCTTCATAACTTCGTGCCTTTAAGGCTGACCTTACTCTCGGGGTCAAAGTGCAAACTAAATTCTTATTGACTGGAAACAAGTCAAGTTGCAGTTTGTTATTGGGGTCCCTGTGTATCCAAATGAGAAAAATGTTTTTTTCTGTTTCTGGTCAAGTTTGCCTAAAGAAAAGAGTCAAAGTGCATTTGATGGACCATCATTATTATTATTTTTTTAAATATGTGTATTAGAAGGTCCCCGGCAGTTGTAGTTTATCTTAGAGTAAGCAGTATGATGTGAATGTGGGTCAAGGCTCAGGAGCAGGACACTGTCAAACGGCTCTGCTGATAGTGTTCTGTATTTATAGCAAAGGGTGTGAGAGCGGAGGTGTTAGGGGACTTTGTTATCTGAACCTTTCTGTGTCTTTAACCTCTTAACCCAGTTTTCAAGGGTCAGGGGTACGCAGCAGGGTCTGGCCTGTCTTTTCTCATTTTAAAATCCCCCCCCTGACAGCTGCATGCCTCTTTGGACCGTTGTGGGCAAACAAAACCTTGCCTTTTCCCTCCCCCCCTTTCTCCTCTCATCTCTTCTCTTCCACTCTGTCATCTGTCTGTCTCCATTCATCAACCGTGGCCTCTTTCTCTAATTTGCTCTTGCTCTGTTGTATTAAAAGAGAAACCTTGAGACGTGATGCAGAGGACACAAACAAGGAGGTAATGTGGGGGAAGGAGGAAGGATACGAGATAGAAGGACAGGCTGGAGTTTGTGTGTGTGTGTGTCTGTGAGTGTGTGTGTAGGGTGTCTGGGTTAATTGTAGGACTAGAAGGCCACACGGTAATCTGTGTCCTGAGCGCTGCATTAAGAAGGCTTACTCACTCACAGGGATGTGTTTCATCCACTGTCACCTCTCTGCACAAAGAGCAGGAGGAGAGGCTTGAACATGGAACTTAATACCTGCTGCCTGAGGAGGGGAACAGTTTCTGCTTTGCACCTGATACTGTGACGCTGGGTTTCCTATAATGCAGTTTCTGTTATAGGGAATCAGACACCTCCTTTGTGGGTGTGGTTTATCACCTAGAAATCTCTTCTATTTTTTGAAAGTGTTTCTCTGCCTGTTTTTTTTACTCCCTCTGATACTAAACTCCGATAAATCAAATGAAGCACCAGCTCTCTGCAGTGCCGATACTGCCTTGGGCCGCGCCGTAATATTACACGTGTGGAAGGAATAATTAGCCACCTCTAAATCAAGCAGATGCAGGAAAATAATTATTTTTTCTACTCGGGAGAAAGGTTAGATTTGACATTTTGTTTTTCCCTTCCAAGATTTTCCGGCAACGGCAAAGTGGCTTATTTTAAGGTTGCAGATGAAACATTACCCTCGGCACCCAAAGCACCTGCAATTAATATTTTCATATTAAAAGTGAATCTTCAAGTGATTTAAAACCTCATTTTAAAATGCCTCAAACGGAATAACCTCCCAATTCTGCATTCCCCTCAGCCTCCCAGAGATTCATAATTTCTTGCACTTCACACTTTTACGGCCCACAACTGAACCGTTTTGGTTCAGTCTCAACAGTCTCATGAAGCTTGTTTCCAGCAGCTGCAGGCAGTTAAAAGTAACACTAAAATCCCACTGTACAGAACCTGCCCAGCATGAAAACAGCAGGAGAACAAGTAAGTGACTAGCTAGTGTACACTGAATTAGGCGTCAAAATAGAAAGATATTTCCCGAGGGAGTTAGCGGAGACCAAAAGTGGAGCTAAAAGTGGGGTGGATGTCCGGTTTGCGACCAGGAATGTTTAATTTCCTATTTTTGTGAGGACCTTAACTGTTCCCTGAACTTTATAATAAACTTTAAGCACATACCGCCCTAAAAAAGCTGAAAAAAAAACACAAACATGTATAATGATAGAGCTGCGTGTTTTTGTGTCTTTTTAGATCCCCTCACCCGTGTTTTCACAGCTTTTCTAAACCGGAGACTGACAAACTAAGAGGCGAAAATCAGATTTGACATGCTCATCATAATGAAGGGATATGTCTCTCAAATGTCACATTAATGCATCAGTCAAGCACTTTTTCACTGTTTTTGTGACTTTGATTGACAGTTAAGTGTTAGTGCCTCAAGGTGTGAACTACACTGTGTCTAAAGGAAACATTTAGATAAATTCAGCTTCCTTTTTGTCTTCACATAATGGGAATATAACGCGGTGGCAGTGTTGTGATATTTATTTTCAGTGCCTTGGCAACACAGTTTGGCTGACTGTGAGACAAAAGCAGAAATGAGAGAGTCCCTCTAAGTAATTTGGTTTCATTAATCAGCTTCTTTTTTCTGCTACTGAGTCATTGTGTCTTATAATCTCCAATTCTGTGCCTTTGTGCAAGAGTGGGTGTTTTGTTCCTTTCTTAGTGGTTAAGTGTTAAACAAGGTATGTGTAACACCTGAATGTTGTAAAGCTCTCAGAATTCAAAGGTCACTTGAGTTTCCCTGCGCTCACTTGGATTGGAAGTGGCTGGCGAAGCTCAGTGTGTCAAGTGTGCATCTGTGTGTGTGCATGTTAGGGGCATGTATGGCTTGTGCACGTTTGACTTCCTCCTACACATCAGATTGCAGAAGAAAAAGGACAACAGCCTGACATGGCCGTCATGGCTGTCCTTATCCTACGCACCAGCCTGTGTGCAAGTGAGTCCAACAGCTAGCAGAACAACAAGCATCTTATCGCTCTTACTTCTACCCTCCCTGTCCTAGAAAGCACCAGAGGAGTCACCATGCTGGCAGATTTTCAGAATCCAGCCTCCGCATTTGGCAGCAGTCATCCATTCCCGGTCCTGTAGTAATGTAGTAATAGAGCTGGAGATCCAAAGCCTTAGTGAATTTCAAACAAAAGCTTTTTTTTTTTTTTCCTCCTTTCTGTTATTCAATGCCAACGCGAAACAACCAGGAAGAAAACGTTGATCTTCAGATGTGTGACAGCAGAATAATTAAGGTTGGCAGAGTGTGGATTAGAAGAAAAGAAAGTGAGATGGAGAGTGTGAAAAGGCAGAAATAAGGAAATTGGAAAAGAGAGGGATGGAGGCAGAGGCGATGGCACTGGGAAAATGGGCAGCAGTGTGATTCTGAATGGAGCGTGTGACCAATAAATGATGGGCTCTTCCACTCCACTCCAATGTGATTGGTTACACCTCCCGGAGGCATTAACCACAATACAAGTGGCGCTATAGGGGTGCGTTTTAAATAGTCTCCGCCTGATGTGACTGGGAAGGTTAATGCAGTTACTAACCGCTATACAAGTTCTAAATGCAATTAGCCAGCACAAATGGAGGCGACTGGGAGACAGGCAGAAGGGAGAAAAAGGCAAGAGATGAGACCCGGGAGTTTAAATTAAACAAGAGTGAAACTCTCGGACGGCTCATTTCCAGACTAAGCCACAGCAAAACACCACATTTCTCCAGTCACATTTTCATCATATTTTGAGGCAATATTTTTTTTCTTTCTTGCATTTTTTAGTCGAGAAAATGAATAATTTCACCAGGAGAAAAAGGAGGACCATGAGCTGGAAATCTGCGAAGTTTTAGGCCAGAATATATTTATTTGGTTTTGTGTCAGAGTTTGAGAAGAAAGCAACATCAGGAGTGGATCTTTTTTGCTAGCATAGCTGAGCCTGTGCCTGGCTAAACATACATACAGAGTAAGAGTGGCTGAATCATGCTTCTGCTGAGCTCAGCGTTGTGACTCCGTGAGTGTGTGTGTGTGTGTGTGTGTGTGTCTGATTTGTGTTCCTCCCCTGCCTTTCTTTTCATGAGGGAGCCGGTGCTGCCAAGTTGCACTCCTCTACTTCACTTAATGAGATAGACCGAATGTGGAGATGTCATCTCACATTCATTTCATCTTCTCATGGGGTGACATCGAAACCCTCCACCCTCCCTCCTCTTTTTATCCCCTCTCTCCCCCTTTTTCTCTCTGGCTCATCTTCTCTCTCTCTCCTCATCTGAATCCTGCTTGCTCCATCAATCCCAAAGCTCCAGAGTGGATTCAGTCTGGTCCCTGCCTCGGCCTGGTGTTGCTCATGCAGGTATATGGTTTTGTCAATACAGCTGTTCATTGAGCTTCATCACAGGAGGAAGGCAGAAGAGTGATTGAAGCACTTCCAGAGTGAAGCAATGATTGAATAAAGACAGATGAGGGAAGGTTTGAAGAGGGAAAGATGAGGATAGGAGTCCTTGTTGGAAAGGCAATTATACAGGAGAAGTTTTATGTTAAAAATGGAAGATAAAGTCAGATCCACTGGAGGGAAAAGAGGAAAAGTGGAGGGTATATGTAGATGAATAGACAAGGGAAAGTTGTATGTCTCTGTCTGTTTGCTCTGATTGGGAGCAGAGGCCTGTGTCTGACTCCAGCATTTTATCTCCCTCGTCTCTCCTTGCTGTGACACTTCTAGCTTTCTCTGCTCCCTCTCTCCCTGGCCTTACCATCACCTCTAAGTTTCATTTACTATTACATTCCCCCTCTTTTTCCCTTTCTGTGTGTGTGTATGTAAGCACATACTGGCTGTAAGCTGTGGACCAGGCTGGACTCCAAATGGAAAGAGATTTTATCACCATGTCTGGCCTGCTATTTCCTTGCACATCTCATCTACTTTAGCAGACAGGGCTTCCTGCTCAATAACATTACTGCCACTCGGACCCGCCGTACACAGGCTCATGCATATACACGCACAGAGTAACACAAACACAGTCACAGTCACACTGTAGCAAGCTGTCAGTCAGGACAGATGTCGCACCCATAATTGAGTGTGAGAGAGACGGAGCTGTAGTGCTCCCATCGGAAGACATCCTTTCTACTGAACATCAGTGAAGAGGGCTTTAACAGCCCAGCGGATCGCTGTGGTAGACCATACATCTGCTGAAAAAAAAAAACATGCAGGGTATGAATAAAACAGTGCTGTCGAACAGGGGCAAACAGACACCTTAATACTTTGTAGTCCCAAAGGATGAGCTTGTATTCCACTGTCGGTACATGTGTAATATGGGTAGAAAATTGCAGTAAATTTCAAATTTAAGATGTTGACAATTATCCTCCACAGACCCCAGTTGGTTTTATTAAATAATGAATCAGCTGAGAAGTCACAAACAAATAAGAGGGGAGGAATTCATGAGCAGCATTTTCCCGCTGAGGAGGCTCTTTCCAATTTCCTGTTACTTGCTGAGATTTAAAAACACAGAATAGACTAATTTAGGTTGTGGGATATAACAAAATAACTAGTTTACCTTTTTAAAGTCAAAAAACATCATGGTGAGTGTCCTTATGAGTTGAAAGATTTGATTCAGATTCTTAACAAGAACAGAATCAGACATCAGTGTTATTAACAGTATGGGACTTAAAAAGAGGGCCTGGTTATAGTTTAGCCAGCTCCAAAATGGTGTTTTCCTAACAGTGGAGTGATACTAGTAACATTTGTTGAATTTAAAAAGCAGCCTGAACTTCAGCCAGATTTCCCCTGCACTTTTAGTAAGAGTAGTTTTATAAGAATGAAGGAAACCACACACGTGCAGCTCTTGCTTTTAGTCGTCAGTATCAGAGTCATGTAATGAGATAAACTGTAATAAAACAACTTATACAGTATGTGTCAAAGCATTATCACTGATAAAAGTGTTTGAGTGATTTTACAAAACATAAATTAAGCATTGCATTATTCACCTACAAACTTATTGCAATTTTAAAACTTTTTGCTTGTTTGTTACTTCTACCATTAGCCATTCAGTAGGCAAAACCAACAGATCACTGATCCATCAAAACTACTCAAAAGGATCCAGATAACAACTGATGCTCTTCCCTTTCCATCACCAGCTGTATCACTTTGATAACAGCTACTTGTGTACATTGATAGAGAGTTCAGCCATATATTACGAAATGACTTCAGCTGCAATAAGAGCGAAGAAAGTGAAATGGATTATTCCTGTCTGACATTTGTAAACTGTCACATTTATAGTTCGCAACCGAAAACGCAATTTGTTCTGCAGTGAGACTCGGCATCTGCTGGCATTCATGAGTGACTAGACACAGACTGTGTCTGTCTGAATAACACTAAATGTATTAAGGACATGGCACAACTCTAGTTTAAGAGCAGGTCATGAACTCAGTGGGCCTGTGAAGACCTCTAGTTGGAGCTGCATGGCACTTGAACCTGGTCTCTTGCTCGAAATGTTAGTGCTGAGTATGAGTGTGGAGGGCCAATTTAAGTAACCGTTTCCATAAAACATGAATCTAAATGCTCTCTTAGCCTACAGACACACTTTCAAGCATACACTCTTGCTAATTTCTCATTGTTAGCTTTATGGAAACATAAATTATGTCAGAAAGGATCTACATTTAGCTCATCGCCCACGCTACTGTGCTAGGCTAATGAGAAAGGATTTAAAATGTTAACAAATGTGTGTGTGTGAGCAAGAGAGTGTGTCTGTGTATGTGTGTTAAGTGTGTTCATGTCGGTAAAAGTGTATATGTTTATTAATGTTTATATAATGGGCTAAAGATGCACCGCTGTTCCTGGAGTTGATTTGATTAGCTTAGCTAAGCGCTAACCCTCAGGGGTCTGCTGCCTCTTCTCTGTGAGATTAACACAACACAGCCACAGTTTGAATATGAATTCAGCATGAATATGGATGTGCTAACGAGTGCTTGTGCTCACGTCGTTAAAAATTTGTGTTAGTAAACAGTGGAACTTGCTGTATAATAGCCTTCAGGACTGACGCTTGTAAGTAGGGTCTAGGACACTCAAGCTGCTGCTGCTGCTGCTGCTGCTGCTGCTTCATTGTTTGAAGTTGGCAGCTGCTTTGAAGCTGTGACAGAGCACGAAGGGGGCAGCAAGTCCTCCTGGTTCAAGCTACACATCTGATTACCCCTCTTGTTCTGACTTGGACATCACAACCCATTTACACGTGTTGGCATGTACGAGTACATGCACAGATATCGGCAGTCATGCCCTCTCTCAGAGCAGGTTTTTCAAGCTCTTACAGGCACATTTGAGATGCTGAGACAAACAGTGTTTCTGTGATTTCTGCTGCCCGTGCTAAGAAAGACAATAGGCATTGTTCAAGAGTAACTGTGACCTAACTTGTGGTTGGCAGAGACATTTCTGTTCATGCACAGCTGGCTTTGGATAAAAGCACACGAAGCTAGAGTTTGTTTAGCCATGCCAGTGTGCTATTGTTAGCAGCAAGGACAGGGGAATACTGTTAAATAGAGGTCAGGCAACATCAGAGGAACAGGTGTGACATTAAATATCTATCAGCTGAGAAAAGGCTGAATAGATGTGGAAAAAACTGTCACTTTGATATTTTTATCTTTTTTAATCAATATTGATATTTTGGAGTTTGAGTTGTGTCCATGCACCAATGAACACTTAAAAAAACTCAATGATGCATTTGTTAAATTGCTTTTTAACAGGAGCCTGAGGTGTCTTTTAAAGGTGCTTTCTGAGAAGATTACAGAACCAGTGTCTCTCCACTGCAGACAGTTTATATCCTGAAGGGCTGCAAAGAAATCTGCAGCTACTTGGTTTCTAGGAGCAGTAATGGTTTAGGGGTAAGAATTGCTTCAAAGACTGTTGTATGCTAGGTTTTATTGTAACAAATTATCCACAGAGGTTTCCTTTTCAAACATACTGACCCCTTTTAAAACCCGTGAAAACAGAAAGTTGAATCATTTTAGTTTCAAATCTTGACAAGAAATAACGTGTCGCTGACACAGGTTTTTTTTTATTTTAGTGGGGCTTCTGGCCAAGTTGGAAAAAACGTCAGAATAAAGAAAAGTTCTCATAATTTCGTGACCTTTTACTGGTGGTTTTGTGCTCCTTTGTTGCACTTGAGTTCCAGGGTGAAGAGGCTCTCTTCTATGTCCTCATCCCTCAAACTGAAAAAGTAGACTCAGTGATGTACTTTCTTTTCGTTACTAAAGAGGGCTTTTGAAGCCAAACATATTGAAAATACTGATTTAACTGTTTGATCTGGAACCAAAGAGGAGGAGCCATAAACCTCCTGCAAATAGCTACAATACAACGTTGCTGCCAGTCAGTCACTTCTTTATTCATGCAAATCTAAGCTCAACTTTTAGTCTTAGGCTGTGTCCAAAATGGTTCCCTAACCCCCTATATAGGCGACTACATGGGGGTTAGCGCCACTTTTAGGGGTGTCCGAAATCTCAGTAATCCATTCCAGTGCCCTATATAGGCGACTCAAAATTTCCCATAAAGCATTGCAAAATGTAGTGACCATCGGATGGTCACTCACCGGTGGTAGGCATCCCGTCATGCATTGCGTCATGCCATGTAGTGTCCGAAACCTCCGGTGATTGAGTCAACTATATAGTAAAATCCCATATGGGGGTTAGGGATTAGGTGATTAATTTCGGACACAGCCTTTATGTCATCAAATCAGATAAGCTTTTTAAGAGTTCAGTGGATTCACAGTGTGTAGGAATTTAGACCAAAACCATTTATCAATGAGCATTCTTGTAGATGTTCTAGGGGTTTTCTGGGCTTTTGCAGCTCCTCAAGTGGACACTCATGGAACTGCAATTTGTTGCACATCCACATTGGCTTAATTTTCCAATAACAGACGTCTCTGAATGGTCTTGGCATGCAGACACCAGTTTGAACCTACAATGACAAGTTTTTAACTGTTGATTAAACTGTCCTGAATTTCTACCCATTCCTCTTTATGACCTTCACAGCCCAACTTTACCATCACCTACAAAAAGTTAGTGTTAATGTATGCCACTGCTGCCACTGAGGATACGCTTAACAGTACTATTTAAATCATGCAGAATAACAAGAGCCTTTGTTAACATTTCCCTCTGCAAAGATTCACCATCAAATGTACGTCAAACAGTTAAGAGACAGCAGGAAATTTATATCCACTGAGAACAACACTGACATGCACAAGGCAGGAACAGAATATGGATGAGACGCATCTCTTTGTCCGGGGATGCCCCCAAAATCGACAAATTTAGTGTTTCTCATAGCATTTTCACAGATTAACATGGCACCGACTGCATCAGTATGCTAATCACAGCCCGACCATTTGCAGAGGGGAACACTGAGATTTAGTTAAAATGTCTAATGTAGTGTATTTGAATGTGGGCTGTAGCGCTGTAGCCGCGGGCTGGTTTTTCTGAGTGCTGCTGTAGCGAAAGTGAAAAGCAGACGTGGAGGTGCCTGGGAGGCTAAACTCATTTTGGTGGAGCAACACCAAGGTGAGCAAGCTGCCGACCCTCACACCTCATCTCAGGGATACGCTTCTATCTCAAATCTGTAGTGCAGAGTCTAATACACTCAAGCACACATTTAACAGCTCGAGGAAGGACTTTTGACTTTGTGCGGAGACAAACACATGCACTCAGCAACAAACAGAAGCATGACAGCGATTTCTGCTCGGATGATTGAGGGGTGACAGCAGGCGTATGTGACCACCTGTGCCCCCATGCCAGGGCGCCCATCATGGGATGTGGACAGAAGGGTGGGGTTGATCTGTTTTTATTGGTGTGTGTGTGTGAGTATAAGAGGGGTGGGTTTTAGTTGGCATATGCCTAATTCCCCTCAGTCTTGGCAGCTCAGACGGACAGTTGCTCCCTCATCTGCTGCCCTGCTGGATGGGTGCCTGGCGATTGAGCACTGCCCACCTCCCTTAGCCACACATTACACCCTAACCCCTATCCTCAAAAACACTCTCTCATTCACCAACACAACACACACACCTGCTTGTTCTCAGCACCTCTGGCCAGCTCACACACGCTCCCCCCACCTACCCCCTGCGTAGCACTGTGCCTAAGGAAGCAGTACTGTGGATCCGGTCATTTCGTGTACACAAAAGGCTTTAGATATGGCTGTAGTCCTAGATTCATGTGCCAATGTACCTTATTTAGGGGGGTGGGGGGTGGAAGTGGTCCAAGATGAGGCTTTGTACACTGATTAAAACAGAGTGATATGTTTGGTATGGTCCACACACTTACACACACACACAGACACACACACACACAGGAATGGTCAGATGGCTCAGGCTATAACTGGTTCTGTCCTCAGGGAAGTCTTTAATTGGTCACAGTGCTTTACCATCTGGGGCTTGAGCGACTGATGGAGGGAGGGATGAAGGGAGATGGCGGGAGTTCTTGTACAGGGTATGGAGGGAGAAGCAAAAAAGAGGAGGAGAGAAAGGGAGAGAGATGGAGACAGTAAGTGCAGCACAGGGAGTGAGCTTATTAGTTTTAATACTTGCACCTCCAGTGATATTTGAATCATAATATTCTTGATAAATGCTGTTTATAGTGTACAAGTGGGAAGGTGCGTTTGTGTACGAATGTGGATTATTGCACATGGTGCGCATTCACGTGTGCCTGTAGGTGGATGGGTTATTGCATGAGGGGGTGCGTGTGCGTTTCTGCGTGTGTGTGTGTACAAGTGGTAATGGCTCTTGGGTGTGTGTTTGTGCTGATGTTGGCAGATGGAGCAAAAACCCTGCACATGTGCTAACAACCTCCAGGACGGCGGTGATGAAGAAGACAAACACAGTCACAGTTGTGGCTTCTGTATGAATTTCTTTTTTCCTTGTAAGTACTGAAGGTTTGCGGTAATTCATGTCATTTTGATTCAGGAGCTGATGGGTAGAAAAGGGAGAATGCCAAAAAAGCGAATGACAGATAAAATGATTGGAAAAGAGGGTCTGAAGCTTGTGAAGATGAGAAAAGAAAAATAGAAAAGGAGGCTGATGCTGAATGGGGGGGTAGGAAGGAGTATTTCGTGTGTTTGGGCACCATGAGTAAATCTTTGATGCTTTAAAGGATTTCAGTCAACGATAGCTTTGCACACAGCTCTTCTCAAATGCTCTTAGTAAGATTTGTCTTTCATACTCCCACCTCTCTTCAGACTACCCCTCCTCACGCCTTGCCTTTTAATCTCTCGCTTACTCTCCATCTTCCCAACGCTCACTCAGGCTCATTTCCTGGCTGGGCCTCAGTGAGAGGTTGTGTCACGTTGTGTGTTTGTGTGCACGCGCTCCAAACTGCGTGTCCGTGTGTGTTTGTGCGCGTCTTAGTTAGTGTTAAATCCTCCTCTTCTGCCTTTGTGTAAACAGCGTCTCATATCTGAAAGCTTCTCCTAACCGCGGATTCCTCTCTTATCGCAACATTCAGCCTTTTAACGCCACGTCACCATTCTCCTGCTACAATAACAAAGCCCACTCCTTCACTGGCTGTCTGTCTTTCTCTTTTTTTTTTCTCCTACTTTCTTCTTTTGTTAAATCTCTCCTGCCCTGCTGGTGATGTCCAGTGAGAAAACCTGGACACGTCCAATGTAGCAAGGTGATTCAAAGAGGAGGAACTGAAAGGTAGCCTGTTTCACACGTATCTATTCAGTCTGTTTTTCAGATACAGCACTATATATCATACTCTCTTTCTTTTCATTCATTGGCTCCTCGTCTCACCACTCTTCACCAGCTTGCTGCTAACTGTTTGCCTGCACTTCAGCGAGCATGCCGGTGATTCGTAAGCGCTTTTTAAGTGAGAGCAGCACCAAACAGAGTTGAAAAGAGTTGGGGAAAAAAAAGAGCACACTTGGTGGTAATTTTCCTGGTGGCTCTGCTGTAGCTGCATGCTAAAGCTTCCACAGTGAGCACAGTGATTCACTTTACTTCCAGTTAACATGGGAAATATCCAGACAGCTTTGAGAGAGAGTATGTTAGCTAGTTATTAAATTCAAGAAGTTATTACTTTACAAACAATATTCCAAACTCTGACGGCGTAAATGCTAAATTTTAGCATGCTAACACGTAATTCCTGTCCCTGATGTTATCTTTCCTTTACTGTCCTGTCATCAGACTTCACTTTCTTTGTGTTTTATTCCCATGTTGCATTGCCAGTCTACAGATGTGTTTTATCCATAGACTGTACTGTATATAGAATGGATGCCGTCTGCCTCCTCACTGGGTGAAGCCACCATGAAAACAGAGCCCTCTAGTGACGGGCTACAGTATAGGTCATGAATCCCACCTCCTCCAGCAATCCTGATGGAGTTTTGGACAAAATTTAGACAGACACACAGAAATACAGAATGCATATAGAATATGTTTTTTTTTCCCCCCTGGTTGCAGTGTTGACATGTAGTTACTGTAAGACTGGTTTTTGCTCAAGTCCATTTTTTTCTGTGCAGCTCAGTTTTTAAAAGTTATTAGGGGGTTCATGTTTTCTATGATTGACACTAAATATATAGCCTATGGGTGTACAAAGATTGCGAAGCTAACCCGGGAGATATGCCGTTTCAGCCGAGCGTGATCACAGCGACTATTCTGCCGAATGCGTACAATGCTACTGCGCAAGTGGTGGCAAGTGTTGGTTTGAGGAAGTGGAGAAAATCCCGGAAATACCTAGAGCAATTCATCTTCAAATTTGTATAACAACGAAAGGCAGAGCCAAGATTTCCATCATATTTTTAGTCTATGGTTTTATTGTGTTTCCTCTTGAAATGTTGTGTCTGTCCTTTGAAACTTGATCAGGAAATCCAGCATCTTAGACACCAAATCCACTGGAAATGACTTGAGACCAAGAGAATAAAGCATTATATAGAAGGGAATATACTTGTATATTTTAATCCGCATGAAACTCTTTCAAACCATGTGGTAGTTGAATTATCGAGAAACTATCATGATTAAACTCTGATAGATAGTGGTGGCCTCTTCAATTTATTCTTTTTGCAAGTAAGCAGAGAAGTTAAACAGCCCCGGCCCCTCAGTTCTGTTATTAACTAACTGTTTGTGTTTTTCCAAACTAACTTTAATAAGCTGAATACCCCTCAGGACGGTGATTCACTGACCCAGTATGGCTGAGCCTACAGCTCTGGCGGAGATATTTGGGAGAAAAGCAAAGAGGAGTACCTCAGTCACTTAAACTACTGCTGTGTGTGTGTCAGAGAGCAGCTGTCCCCTCAGGCTTGAATATCTGTCTGTGTTTGTGTGTTTGTGAGGGGTGTGTATGAGACAGGCAGACGGTCCAAAACTGTCCAATTTTAATTTTCCATTGCTTCTAGCTTTAGGTATTATAAGCTATATTAGCCACAGTAGACTAGCTCTGTGTGTGTCTCTGTCTCACACAGAGAGCAGATGTTGCTCCCTTTACTAGTTTTATGAACCCTGAGGATGAAAAGAAGAGGTGTGAAATTCACCGTATTTGCATTGCAGCCATTTTCCTCCGACTTTGCGCTCAGCTGGGAAGCCGTGCCGTTACGATGTCTGAGCGCTGCTTTGTTGTGATTTGTTTTAAAAGACCTGATACGTCATTATTATTCACCCTTTCTAAATAAATGAGCAATAAGCAAATGGATAGTTCCTGTTTAACTGAAACACGAGGATTTGTCACAAAATTATACAAATAGGCTTCAACCTGGAATACAGCATTGTGACTTTATAACAGCATTACCCCAAGCTTGACATCAGAAGAAAAAGGGCCGCTGTGTTAATATGGTCAATATTGCAATTATCTGACTTACTTGAAGAGTTCATGCTGGTTAAAGAGGGATCAGCGCCGGATAAAAACGTTCCCGCTTTTGTTCTAAGACAGCCGTGAAAAAGGACGAGCTGGAGGAGGAAGGAGAGAAAAACAGCATAAGTGATAATTGGGTGCTGACAAGCAACTAGTCTGACGAAAAAGGAAATTCACTAGATAATGTGCTGGAGAGTGGGGGTGTGGGTGGAGGATGGGGGGGGGTTGAAGCTTGAGTGTGGAGAAAATTGTGAGGAGAAAAATGGGACAGAGCCTGAAGAAGAATGACAGTGTGAGGAGACAGGAGAGAGCGCTTCAGAGACCCCTTTATTAAATGAAGAGGCCCTCTCCTTTCAGTCATTGTGACCTCCGAGTTAAAGCGCAGCACACACTTACACTCACACACCCACTCTTGAGTGTGTGTTCCATTAGCAGGGGACCTTACAGCTCCAAACTGGAAATCTCATAACAGCATCTGTAAGATCTCATATCCTCTCACCCCTCTCCTCTATCCCCCCCTCATTTTTATTTTATCTCTCTCCACATTTTTGGTAGATTGGATCTTGTGTGTTATGATAGGACTGTGGGGAGGCCTCTTTGATCAGAAGGGATGGTGTGAGACATCCAGCTTATCATGCAGTATTTTAAAATCAAGCCGCAGACATTTTCTTTGTATCTTTAAACAGTTTAAACGCCAACATTGATGAGTTTTCTCAATGGGGTTATGTGACATCTATCATTTGTGATCCTGATAAGAAGCCAGCGCGCTCGTATGTATGGGGCGCATCTTCACTCTGCACACGCTGAGCGTAGAAATTGGAGGAAAATGCATCAAGCGTGTGTTTGCCCTCAACATATTTCCTCCAGAACACAGACAATCCTGAAAATCCTGGGGTTATTTTGCCAGCGTTTGCACCGCAGTCTCATAGTGGGATGACAGAAGAGAGACATGATTGACGTGACTCATGTTTTCTGACCTTATCTGAGTGTTTTCACCATCATATGACAGTGGAGTCAGACAGGAAATGGTCGTGAGGCAAGAGGTTGACAGGGAGTATAAGAGGAAATCAGCCTTTTTTCTCCCTCCGATATAAGAGAGATATTGACTCCTATCTTGTAGAGAGATCATACAACTGACTTACAAATCAAATTCATTCAACTCAAAACCATTTGCAGTATTTTTATTTGACTAAGAAATTGAATTCTACATTTCACCATATTTATGGAGATGAGAGCTGGTGCGAGGTAGTGAGAAAGTCTTAGGTTTTGTTGCTTTTGTTACATGATAAAACTTCTTTAGAGAGTGAGATGATCACTCAGATCGAGCCCTCAGCCGTCATCGATCACAACATTCAAAGACTTGAAAGGATTTTCATATTTTCCTTTCCTTTCCATAACACGAGAGCAGACATGTAAAAAGGCATGAATTATACATCGTCAGTGTCATTTTTAGTCGATAAGTGCAAATTTGAGGCTTATTTGTAAAAGGTTTGTTCATTTGATTGACTAGCTGGCTGTTATCTCTGCCATTTCTGGATTAGAGAAGCATGCTTTTGTCTCTTTTTCTGAGCTTTTAGGATAAATGTTGAATTATTGAATTTTTTTTTGACTGGAGGTCTAGAACAGCATATGACTGAATGAAAACAAAATCCCTGTGTGTTGTACTGTGAATAACACTGGAAGTCAACATGCCAAAATTTATTCAGCAAATAGAAAATCTTTGACGCCCTTTGACCTTAGCTGTGGGGAGCTGTGTTAGGAGCGATGTAAGTTTGAAAACACTTTGAGTTTGTTTTTCTTTTTTCTTTCCAATTCATAGCCATAGGAACAGAAGTTTGAGGGAGAATCTTTTCAGCTCTGTGTTTAACTTTCAGCCCAGTTATAAATATGGATCGATGAAGCGAATATTTCAGATTCTAATTCCCAGATTTACTAGCCGGACTAGCGAACTAGCTGCAGCACGTATATCCTGCTGGTGGCAGCTTTTCTGGCAAGATGACATTCTGCTTAAAATGAAGAGTATTCTTGAACTTTGATTTAATGCTTTTTTTTTTTCATGTTAAAAATATGAGATCGATGTTCTCTTTTTTCTGGAGACAGACCTGAGGCGTAATCATTCACAAAAGTGCATGACTGATCATGATGGGGTCTGTTTTTTTTTTTTTTTGTTCGGTGGAAGAGAAGCACAGATGATGGCAAATGACCGGCTAAAGTGACAAAGGTCATGTGTTGATATTTCTTCTTTGCTATGAGGGAAATTGACTAATCAATTCAGGAGGAGCCTTGAACTTGACAGTGTCACCCCATGTGGCCACTGTATGCTCAGTAGGGCTGCAACTAATGACTATTTTAGTAGTCGTCCAGTCATCGACTATTGAAACGATAAGTTGACTAATCAGATAATCATTAATTTTATTTTATTTTAACATTTTTTTTCGCCCTATCTAGGCTAAAGTGCTCCCAAACTTTGGATGTTTTTAAGTGTGTAGTTGTAGCTGTTGTATGGGACATCGGCGCCGCCATGTTTGAATACCCTATCGCTTGGCAGAGACGTTATTGCACATGTGTGACTCTTGGCAGAGATCGTAATGAAGGAGGATGCCTCACTTTAGTGGAAAAAAAGCATCTGACGACAATAGTCGCCACTGGAATCTATTGTCAACTTTTTACATTATCGATTTTTGTCGACTAATCGTTGCAGCCCGGATGCTCAGCAACATGACTTCAAACTTTGGCTTCTGGCTATATGGTTACCTAAAGCTCATCTGAATGAAGAACCTTCATTATGTTGGACACAACCAGAACTTGCACTGTTGTCTATCCATGCATAGAAAATCTGAAAGACGATAGAGAACATGTTGAGTATAATGATATAATGGTTGTAGAAAGCAATCAAAATATTAAAATATTAAAAGGTTAAATATGAAATGGTTTAAATTGGTACTATCATCTCTCTGGTATCATGAATTATTTGTTTGAGGATTTATTACATTTTGGATTCAACAAGCACAGCAGCAGTTGAGCAAAATGAAACATTACTGTACTTTTCATGAAACGTTGTCTCTTCCTGTCCTGGTTTTTATGTAGTGTGACAGTCTGTTGTGCCAAAGCTGTGGGGACCAATGTAAGAAGTGACACTTCTAACATTGTGACAAGTGACACTTTGACAGCCGTCTTATTCACTTGTAACCCCTTTTACATATTCCTTTAGTTAGTGTTGCAACAGTTGCACTTAATGCTGGCAAAGAGAGTAACTCTTTTCTTATCTTGTCCTTGATATATTTGTAAAATGTCTTATCTGTTTGAGTTTATACAGTCATACTTTTCATTAATTTTAGATATGAAAAAGATAGATGTAAAATGTAAAAACAGGGCTGTTTCTTCATCTATTTGGTTGATACCTACCTCCTTTGTACCAGTTTCAGGCATTTAAGTTTACGGTATAAAATAGTCAGTCTCGTGGTTGATGGTCTCGTTTACTTTCACGTTATATAAAGGCATCAATATGAATTTCAGTCTATGTCAAAAACTCCTCACAGAAGCTTTAAAGTGAAGGGTAATTGTCTTGGGATATTTTCAAAAGGATCTGAAAGCTCCACTTATCATTCTGGTGAACTACTCCACTTTATTTCAGCAGAAGCTCAACTGCATTTGAAATAAATGCGACTTTAAATCTCTCTGTGTAGTATATTGTGAATAAAAAACAAGATTAAAATACGCAAGTACTAGAACTGCAGAAACACATTGCCAAAATTTCAGAGGAGAGCGTCATAGTGACGAACACAACATTTTGACTTCAAAACCTAAAAAAAGATGTAATCAGCTCCCCGGGTCGACGCGTAACTTTGATGTCTGAATTACATAAAACTTAAAAAATGCAAAAACACAGAAACAGGAACATGAAGGAGTGGTGTTCTGTTCGACTCAATAAGGTGCTCGTCTTATCTAATCAAGAGTGTTGTGTTGTATTATGGATGGACCCCCTGCTGTGGACCCAGATCACTCACCGCTGCCTTCTCCTCCAGTCATCTTCCTCTTCCACTCTCGCCTTTCTTCTTTGCTAAAGAGCGATCCCACATGACTCTTTTCTGCCTCCCAGGCCTGATCCCTAACACTATTCTTTTTTTCCCCGCGTAGTACGCCGTATCCTGTCCTTATTATCACTAACAGGCTCCGGGGGATGGCGTGTAGACCTCAGTTTGTCAGAGTTTGCTTTACTGGTTGCTCACAGTGTTTTTGTTTGAAGACCCGCTTGATTTTTTTCAGTCTCCTGAGAACTTGCTCGCTCTGTATGCTATTGTTCGGCAGGTTTTTTTGTGCGAGTGTGTGTGTTTGTCGATTTAGGGTATTGAAGTAAGAGCGTCAAGTACCATAGCTATATATAGGCTACAAAAAGAATACTAATAATCCAGCTGCAGAAGTTTTTTGCACTTGCTGCACAGGAATCATGAAGCGTGTCTGTGTGCGTGCTGGGTTGCGGAAACATCAAGTGAAAGAGCGTTCTTTGTGCCTTGTGTTTTTTTCTTCTTTCCGCTTCCTTTTAGTCTTCATCCTCACCTTTTTTCTCCTTCCTCCTACCTCACCCTCCTCTGTTCCAATTTCCTCGTTGAACCACTTCATCCTTCATTCTGACTCATCAAAAGCTCTCACAGAGAAGAACAAAGCAGTGGAGGATGTGGATAGGCAAGATAATGGATAATAAGTACGACAGGAAAGACAGGTAGAGACAGTTTCTGTATTTATCGCAGTTTCTATCACTTCCTGACCCAACACGCCCACATATGTCACATCCCGGGTCAGTCAGGGACGTCTGCTTAGAGACAGCACTGGACTCACATGGAGTGGTTTTGAAGATCGCCCACTTGCCCTGTTTTCCACTCAGAAGCACTCTCACTTTCACAGAGTAATTAACAATAATTACCCCACTGGCTTTGCCAAATGGCCATTTGCTTTGCTGTAACACACATGCAAATTCAGACACTTAAGGCCACTACACATCAAAAAGCGTTACCACTTCAGCTGTGGCTGAACGTCTGCGCTGCTTGGCAGTGTAATTGTCAATGTCAGAGACTTTTCGTAGGATGTACCCTTAGACAAACAAATGATGCCAGACAGTTTTCGGCCTCAGCCTCTGTTACACAAGGACATTTTGGACAGCGATGCAGAAAGCTTAAAGGCCACTTGTAGTTCAGTCCTAGTGTGTAAAATGAAAGGTCCAAGAGAGCAGATACTCAAACAAGCTGGTTCAGGGTTGATGAGCTTTTACAGTGACTAGTAGGACAGCAAAACTCAAGCAGAATCTCCAGTTTGGGTCACAGATTAGATTAGATTAGATTAGATTAGATATAATTTTATTGATTCTACTGGGAAGGTTTCCTTAAGGACATTAAAATTCCAGCAGCATCAGTATTTATAGAAAAAAAAAGTTAAGATATTAACAAAAATAAACAAGAAAAATGAAGTATTTAGATATAAAATGTAAGATATAAAACCATGGACATTTGCACATTACTAATTCTAATACTACTGCTGCTCTACCTTCCCATCCTCTGTCCTCCTGTTCCCCTTCCTCCTCCCCAGAGAAGAGCTGTACAGTCTGATGGCATGAGGGACAAAGGAGTTTTTCAGTCTGTTGGTCCTGCACTTGAGAAGTGCAGTCTGCCACTGAACAGGCTCCTCTAGTTGATGACGGCGCTGTGCAGAGGGTGACTGGCTGGCATCGTCCATAATGTCCAGTAGTTTGCCTATTGTCCATTTCTCTGTTAATCACAGAACCGGCTTGTCTGATCAGTTTCTCCCAGCCTGGATGTGTCCCTGGTGGAAATTGGGGGTCGCTGTTATGAAAAGTTCAGTGGCTCTTTGGTTTGTTCTCTTTATATTCCTACTGACCAATTCTCCTCTACTCAAACTATTTGACATGTATCGTGATTTTTTTAGTTTGGTCAAACCCATATGGCTCTGAATGTTCTGGGTTCACTTAAGTGATCCTGTTGTACTGCCCATCTGTTTACTCAATCTGTGAGCTTCTCAGACTCTTGAACACTGCACAGCTGTTTCTAATACAGACTGGCATGACTTTTAAAGCCATTAAAATTAACCTTAACTCTGTTTTCGGTAAATAGCTAGGGAAAAATAAAAGGACTGCATTCCTTCTCATTTACAGCCAGGTGGGTACCCTCAAGCATTGAAAAGGAAATCAAACACGTACACAGTTAAGAAAATGAGCATACCCCTCAGAAGATTTTGTCCTTGTTGTTATAGTTTCAAGGGTTTCATGATGTCAGATTGAAGCTATGGCACCATAGTCATTGATTTAACCAACAGAAGACTTCATTGTGGCACTGGTCCATGGTCTGGTTTGTTCATTGATGTAGAGTTTTTGGTTTGATCTCAGTTTTTGGTCTGATCTCAGAAGTTTGGTGTGAAAGGAATTCAGCTTGGATCTAAACCCTCTGAAAGACTTTAGCACGGACTGTAAGCCAAGTCTTATCATCGAACCCTGTTACCCTACAATGTCTTAATGGCTTAAGTGAAGCAAATCCCTGCTTTCAATTTCCAAACTCATGTAAACTGTGGTAAGACGTTTGCCTTTTGGCCATGTAGCACAGCTTGTAGAGCCAGCTCACCAGCTCTTGTGCAGATTCTTGTTGACTGCTGCACTGTTTGTTATATTACATTGCTAGCGAGCATAAATGAATTCAGTATAGAAGAGCTCTATTGTGGATATTGCCATTGTTCAAACCTTTGACATCTAATCCTTTATTCTGATTTGCCAGCAGCCAGAGGCGAATGTTTGACACTTCATAAGAGAGGTTAAGCTACCATCAGACTTTCAGTGAAAAGAATTACAGAGTCAGTAACCTGCCACCTTTACACTTTACACACACATGCTGAAACAAATACAGAGAAATACAAAGAGGTGTCATCTGCGTGGGTGAACACATGTTTGTGTAAAGAGTGTGTGCTTACGTGGGTCTGAGCATTTGTAGCAGTGGTAACATCCAGAGGGCAGTGTAAATCTCTGCAGCTCCTACTGTCATCATCCTCCACCATGAGAAGACCACAACAGAGAGCTTTAAGTGTCTTCTGGTTGGATCTGCACTATCTGATGTTTTTGTTCCACATGTCAGAACAGTGTGTGCACAAACAAACACAGCTTTTTGATTTCCTGCTGCTGCTTCTTCTTCTCTTAAAAAAACTAAACAAAAAGGAAAGAAAGATTCTTTCTGCAACTTCAATAGCCACAGCTCACACTGTGGAGGGATGTGGAAAGTTTGGCTGCATGCAAAATGTACAGATCCGACTTAATAAATTATCATCTTTCTTTCCTCACGTCGTCTTTGCAAAATCTCCTTCCCTCCGTTTTTATGTCCCTGTGTCCCCCACACTTCTATCCCTGTGTGACTGGACTTAAAAGGCCAGCTTGAGGGATGACAACCGTCGCTCTCTTCACAGGGCTGAGAGTCGGAGAAGATCAGGAATGGAGCGAGATGAAAGCAGAAATTGCAGATGAGGTATAGCAGGAAGAGAGTAGTTTTAAAGATTTATAAAGGATTGACAGCTTCAGTGTCAGTCAAAAAAGCCGAATAACACCGTGTTTTTTTTTCTTCACATCCGCACATGAGAACCTCCTTCTAAAAAAAAAAAAAAATTACCTGATCCGTCAGAGGAAGGTGTCTGTATCGTCACTACTCTGAGATTCAAGAGTTCATTTAAGAGGTGAATGTGTAAAGATTACTTCAAATCCCTCATACAGTCCTTAAATTTGTCATTTACTTGATGATTATAAATAAGGATTCATTGGATAGTAGTTAATACATGCGCATATTTTTTTGCAGTGGCAAAATGACGGTGTCAAATATTTTGAATATGTTAAAACTCTGCTTGAAGGAGGCTCTAATCAACCTCAGCACACTTTCTCTTCCAGTGATGCCGGAGCTACTCGGGGAAATTAAACAGGTTTATTAAAACTTGCAGAGATATTAAAAACATCTTGCTTTTAGGGGACTATTTCTAGTTTCTTTTCACTCAGAGGTAACACTGTGGTAACACCTAGATGAGCTCAGAAGGCACTACAGCTGCACTGCTTTTGTCTTGGCAAAGTAGCTGCAACTCCTATGACCAGAATAACCCAAGTCAAGTCTGCACATGTGCTTACGAGTAACATGGACAACAGTCTGTTAACACTATGGTGACTGGTCTTGAAAAAGCTGGTCAGACCATGTTTTGAAATTTTATATGAAGAATTAGAGTTGAACATTTTTAAAATAAGAATAAATTCAAGGATTACCAAAACATCTAATGTCTTTGGTTTTATTTTAAACCAAATTAAAATGTCATGTTGCAGAGTTGTCAAAAGTGAAATGGAAGCATATAGTGGTGAACTATACATAAAAAAAGAAACACTCAGTTGAGTTTACACTGGATGATGCTACATTGAGTTTTAGCTGCACTGGATGGATTTCTTATAGGATTTGTTGACCAGAAGAAGAGTCTGGGATTTGCCTTTGAGACCAGTTTGGTCCTTATTTGGTGCACAGCTGTTACGGTAAGGTAGAATGAGTCTGTCCTGTGTCCTCACAATGATATCTATCTGTGTGTGTGTGTTTGTATTTGTTTATATGTGTGTGCCAGAGAATGCCGTATCATGCTGCTCCTAATCCTTCCCAGATTGAGGTCAGTGGGGGCTACCGGTGGATCTCAGTGTGTTTACAACCTCAGTCCGACCCTTGCTGAGATTGGCTGAGACTCAAGAGTAGGAAACCCGGTTCATTCGGAGAAATTGAAGGCAAATGTGTTGATTGACATGGCACTCAGCCAGCTGTTCTCACAAAAATAGTGGAAGTGAATCTCATCCCCTCTATGGACCCAACCCTGGGTATGCAAATAATCAGTCCTTGATGTGATGGTCTGGTTTGCTTTTGTAGGGCATAGAGAAACATCAGTATTCATTTCAGTCTGTTTCACAACCAGCTGAATTCTCCTCACAAAGGCTTTAAATGTATGTTTTTACAGTGACTGGCTGGAGTACTTTTACTCTTTACCACCCTCAGGTGGGTCCAAAGAGGGGACGGATTCACTTGCATAGCCCCACTTTCCACCCCAAAGCCAAAATATTGACCCTTCAGGGGTATGAGAGGTTTGAGATGGAATAAAATGTGGTGTTTGGAGGTGCAGCGTTATCACTGTTCCCATAAAGAACTACAAAAGTGATAAAGTTCAGAGTCTCTTACCTTTATTCACAGATCAAACATGGATTCATTACCCAGAGATCTGGTTTTAGTGTGGGGTGTGTCATTGTTTTACTGGTAGTGGTGCATTTGTTGACATAGCATTATAGGCAGTTTGCTATAACGTCATCCCAGCTCCCATTGGCTGACAATCAGTCTGTAATACATCAGATTCATCAGGCCTGATGCATCTCAGTAAACAGATTAATGTGTGGAAGTGAAGCTAATACTCTGTTCTCGATCAAAAACCTCAACTTGAGAGATAAAGTCAGCTTGACACCACTGTGAGTCAGACTTTATGACTTCCTGGAAGGCTTCAGAAATGCTCCATCAGACTTTGATTCAAAAACAAGGAGAGAAAGTCGAATGATAAAACCTTGACATCAACATCATAGGTTCTTTATTCTTCACAGTTAAGATCTGTGTAACTTAATTAGATATTATCTCACTTTATGAAGACTATGACATAAATTCTGCACTTAGTTTGTGATGGACTCAAGACTAAACCTCAGGCCTAAAGGAAAGTCTTCATAAATATAGACTTGTGGAAAGTGCGCACTGTTCTATTGTGAAGTCCTCATCTGCACGCTTCTCAAAGAACATGTGTCTAAGTCTGTACGTCTTTCAGTGTGGGTATTGGGCCATAGTGACTCCCGGCTGTGTTAGGAGGCCCTGAGCATCATGTGGGAGGGTTGCTATGACGACAGCAGGTTGTAGCGTAGGTGTGTTGTTGTGGTAACACTGTGTCTGTGTAAGGCTGGCTTTCACTCATTGTTGACTGGAGAGTCAGAGCGAGAGGAACACCGGATCCTATAGGAAGGATAGGGTTCTTCTGAGATAGAAATGATCTTTTATTCAGCCTTTGCTCTTACAGATGGAGCACATCATCACCAAAGATAAAGGCCTTGAAAAAAAGCCTTGGCAGCATGGTTGAAACCTTAATTGCATTTCTTTTATTAAAGGTATAATGATATAGATTAAGAATTTATTATTTCTATTAAAGGTTGGTGAGTCTAAGCCTGTTATAAATAAAGCATCGGAATAAAAACACCACAAGCTTACTCGGATTCCCATGTTAGTCATTTTATAATACCGCCAACAAACAAATATATCAGCAGAATATTTTTATCGCTGCCCATGACTACCAATTGCCTCCCTCGCTGCCAGGCTGTTTATCAAGCACTCAGAGTAATGGGGAAGTGGATCAGAGGGCATATTCACTCAGACCTTGTCAGTATTTCCAAGATTGCTTCAATCTCAGGAAGGAACCTGTTTATGCCTGCCTAGACTCAGTGTGTACATCTCCAGAAAGCAGTATGCCATTAGCGTGCCACTGTTTTTTGACCCACCTGATTACTCACTTTCTCTTCCTGCCACTTCAGTTTTATCATCGTTTCCCTCTCTGAGTGTCTTGTTAAACTCGGCTAACCAGATGTCAAGCTTCTTCTCCCCGCCTCCTCTATCGTTTTCCTCTGATCTCCCTGCCTTTGTTCCTCCCTGTTTGTTTCATTAGTCCTGTCTGTTTCTTTGTTCTCGCAATACCCATCGTTCAATTTTACTCATGTTTTTACACGCCACACACACACGCAGAGCCGTGTGTTCCTCGCGTGTGCACGCACTTGGGACTGTATGTACTCCAATGCATCAAATGATTTGATATTTTTTTTCCTTTCTACATCAACGTTCAGTCTTAGCAGGTGACTTGAGGAGACGAACAGACCTCAAACATGCTGATTTGTACTCTTCACAATGACAATCCCTTAAGAGGCTGAATAGCCAAACATCTTGACAAAGCACTCCACTAGCATAAACCCAAACAAAGCACTTCCATTTTCAGGCTTCTAAGACAGGCTCTCAGGCACCACATGGCAATGCAATAAAGCCTCTCCCTGCATTATTCGCTCAATTCATTTTATCCCAGCCTAGCTTAAATGCTTGACTGCTGTCCATTGTGAAAACTGACAGCTTTGTATATTCTCTATTTCCTCAGCGTTGTATGAATATGTATGGGCACATATGCAATCGCACACAATGACTATGTTTGTGAGTGTGTGGTGGTTGCACCATCCATACCCTGCAGCCTTAACCTGTGAGGTCATGCATTGTTTAATTTCAGAATAACACCCATATGCAGGAACAAAGCTAACACTCAGGATCCTGGAACAGATTTTTTAAGTATAATGAACCTTTTTTCCCTGGTGTTAAGAGTTGATACAACTGGTTTCAGTGTCTTGCATTTTTCTTACATTCATTCCCAAACTCCTTAATTTTGTTCCTTGTAGTTCAAACTAGTAACCCCCTTTTTGTTGTCCACAGCTGCTTAAATAGCATCAAAGCATTCACCATGTTCAAGACTTTCACAAAGATTTCTTAACTGGCATTTAACTCAAGAGTTTTTCATCAACTTTAGACAGTGAGTCTATGACAAAAATATGTTAAGTATGTTCTATCAATACCCTTTCTGTCTTTCTGTTGAAAACTGCTCTCAGTCCGTTTTCAAAGATGTCTTGGGATGAGTGTGGACCAAGCTGTAACCTCTAGTCTGAAGACATGAAGCTGATGCCAAAAGTTTGGTTGAGTGAGGTTGAGTTACCATTTCCAATATGGCGACCACCAACAGTAGGCTTCAAAACTCTGTATGAAGCACCAGAAACCACAAACATGCCTAGCAAGAAAGTTTATAGAGTAAAAGATAAACATGCTTGTGCTTGTTTTGAAGTTTTTTAAAGGTTATAAGACAGGTGAATCAGAGGAACAGCTGTGACTGTACCTGTTTGTGAGTAGGCTTTAGGCCTGCATCTGGTAGGTTGGCTTCAAGTGAAGTTGAGTTACCATTTCCAGTATGGTGACCACTACCAATAGGCCTCAAAACTCTGCCTTACAAACAAATGGGTGACGTCACCAACGCTGCGTCCATTCATTACACAGTCTTTGAAAAGTCAATCAGCTGCTTTGTTGAGTGACGTTATCTGTACCGAACTGTACCATACCACATGACTGGATCTGATCATTCATCTCAAAATGCATCTACACTGACCACTTGTGACTAGATCTTATCTTCCTGCTCTGTATGCAAGTAAATACTGAGTAAGAGATCAGAAATCTAAGGTCACAACAAACCCCCGCCCCCCAAAAAAGGCTGCCAATCTTGAACAAATTGATTGATGCGTGACATTTTGTTTTCTCAGGTTCAATCACTCTCTTTCTCTGTCTACTCTCATCTGTCACATGTACTTCCAGGCCCTGAGACATATCCAAAAATACTTCTTTAGCTCCTTTTATAAAGCTATACATATTTATTTCCGTCTATGTGTGCAGTGTTTCCAGCCCTCGTTTCAAAGAGATTTGATCTTGTCGTCTCAGTTGCGTCCTTGCACTTGGATGTCCCTCTTTCTCATCTCTGCTGTTCTAAACCATCTGTCTTGAAGTCTGTCCTCCTCTGTTCTCTGTTATAGATGAAAAAAAAAAAAAAAGAAACCAGTGATGAATTTACAACAGCACTTTTAACTGACTGCCTGTGTATTTAGTCTGTGATTTATGAAAGGTTTGAGAAGTTTACTGGGAGGGAGCGTGGCTGTGAGATTCTAGTGTTTGCTGAAGCAGACAATATGGGATGTAATCGGTGTGAAGGAAGTGCCTGTGGGGTCTCTGGAGGCTGAATGAGACTGAGAGAGTGCTATCAACACAGAATGACATGTGAAAGTCATATATGAAGCAGGAAATAGAGGGCAGTCACCCTTGAACAAAAAGCTTGGTTGCATTAACACCCTTTCCTCACACAGGGACTACATCAGATTTTAAAATGCTGACAGTGGAGTCTTGTTTATTTTCACCTCCACAATGCACAAAAGAAACCAAAACTAGTCCTATAATTTTAACAATTACAACAGAACTTTGTATTTTTTAAAGGAGAGATACCATAGAAATTGAGGGACAAGATAACACTATGTATAATGAAAAATTCTTACCTTTCGGCCTCCACATTTCCTGCCTCTGAGTACTCATTTCCTGTCTCCTTTCTCTCCTTTTTACCTGCAGTCATCGCTGATTCATTGACAGTATCGGCTCCAGCCCAGACTCTATCCAAAGTGGAGGGGGACACACTTCAGCTCACCTGCGAGGTGTCACGAACCACATTGCAGCACACACACTTGTCGGCAGGTTGGTACCTGCGCTCCCCTGAGGACGCCACCGCCCCGCCTCAGGAGCTGGTCACCTTGTCGAGGGACTTTGTTCTGCGCTCGGGTGGACCGTATCGACAGAGGATGGCGGCAGGAGACCTCAGGCTGGATAAAACCAGCGCTACAAGCTACAGGTTGACCATTCACAAGCTGCAGCCGGTGGACCAGGGCCTTCTGTACTGCCAGGCTGCCGAGTGGATCCAGGACCCGGATGGAAGCTGGTTTGCGCTGACACGAAAGCAGAGTGACAAGACTCAGTTACGAATTCAACCCACAGGTGAGTGAAGGGAGTGGGAAAAGAGGGGAAATAGTAGGAAGGGGAGAATCGTTTTTTACAATTCCTCTTGAAAAGTCACAGACAGGAATAACTGAAAACCAAAATATTTGATGATTCATTTACTTTCGATCGATGTTTTGGTCAACCCTCGCAGCTCCACTTCAGCATGCAACCCAGCTGAGACATTGAGTATAAATTTTAAAGATTTTTCAACACGTTTGTACAGAAACAGACAAAAGCAGCTCCTTACACCCCTTGAACCTTCAGTCCTTGAAACCAAAAAACTTTTGGCACATTAATGAAATTTCTGTCTGAAGGTATTTCACGAATCCCCGTCGATCAGTGGTGTTTCAGAAGAACTTCCTTTTGACACTTTTGTGCTTTTTGTCTTTCAATTAAAGTGAGTAAAACTCGATTTATGTAGCTCTCTTAAGAAAAGTCAGCTTAAGAGTGACTCACTAACAGATGAAAACCAACAAATACACGAAAGCAAAACTTCATACATAAATAAGTCAACGCATCAAATCAGGCAAAATAAAAAAAACATGCATAATGAAAGCAAACTTCAACACAAGACGAGGGTTGAGAGTAACATGGAGATTGTAATGAGATTTTAGATGCTTTCTGAAGCAGTTGAAAGATCCTGCTGATCTGTTCGAAATTTTAGAAAGAAGAGACTTATATATAAAGGTGTGACTGTTTCTTTTATTTCTTTGAAACAAAAGAGTGATATTAAACGAGGGCACAGATTGGAGGAGGAGGAGGAGCGGACTCTGGGATGAGGAGGTCAGAAATCTAACTCGATTCAAGGTCTGCAGTGACTCATATGTAATAAAAAGGAGTTTGGAGTTTATTTTGAACTCGAGAGGAATCTTTTATTTTATGAGAACAAAAGAAAGTGGGCTAAAATTCATGTAGAGTCTAAATGTACTGTGTGCTTCTTAATTAAAACACACAAAAACACCAATAAAAGCTGGTTCTGGTTGTCGGCTACATCTTGAACCAGCAATAAAGTTAAATGATTAAGAGATGATCGGCTGAGGTGTTAGTCCAGTAAGTGACAATAATCAAGAAATTGCAGGTTTATTAGATATTGTGTTTTCCTTCATTTAGCACCTCCATATTACTCAGAGACATTTATGAATTCATGATTTATGTGGAAGGAAATTTTATTGTAATCATGCAGTGTTTGGTTGAAGCTGTAAAATGCTAAGTTATGAATACGAAATAAGTACTCAGGTGAAAATATCAGATCAGCGTTAGCGTCATTGGACAGATTAAGACAGAGAAATATGAAATTTAAATAGGTACAAGATTACATAAGACAGTAATGTAGGCTGCAGTTTGAACATTATACGACAAAAGGGAAACTTATTCTTTCCAGTAACAACCTACACAGGTATTCAGTGACAGATCTGTCCTCTTACAGTGACAGCTGTCAGAATAAAATCACTTATAAGCTGTATTAATTATGGAAAAGGAGTTGAGAAAAATCTACTCGGTCTCTAGCAATTTTCCTTTTACATTTCAAATCCAGCTTTTTTTTTCTATTTTCACTTGAGCTGACGTGCAGCCTTGTCTGGTTACAGCACAGCGTTCCCAATCATGACGCTCTCTGAAAAACTGATATCATCAATTTGTTTTATACATATTCACTTCTGCTGCTACCAAATTTAATAAAATTAATCAGCTGCTTTGTTTTTTTCCACTTCCAGCAGCACTACCTCCATTTAAGAACAACTAAATTATCTTTTTACCCAGAGCCCAGTTTGCAATTGCTTTGTAATTTAATTTGCACATTTCCAATGCCTCTGTATTTCTGCTCTTGATCCTGTATTATTTCTGTGTGTTTGCACACAACAGTCACTCTCATGGCCTTGTAACAGGAGTTCAATTATACTAATTGAGAACCTCAAGCACAACATTCAAACATACAAGGACATGGCGTTCATCAATGTGAGAAAGCAGGTGCAAACAGTTCGGCTGTTGAAGAAACGTTCATTAATCTGCCTTACACTTCATCTAAAAAACTTTTTTTGAGAGTAAAATGAAGAAGATGTGGATGTATAAGACCCACTAGCTGCGTTTACGTGGGCACAAATAATCGTAATAAAAATGCGTCATGTAAACATGTTGATCGGGAGATTCTGATCAATTTGGCTCAATTGGACATAAATTGTATTCTGATCGAGGGGGGTGGTTTATGCCGATCGTTATTCTGAAACGCGTCCATGTAAACACTTATTCCCATCGTTGACTGTCTTTGGCTTTTTTATTGAGGTCAGTACAGGAGGTTTCATTGTTAACACTCTGACATAAAACACAACCGCAGGTGCCGTGTCTGCTCTTGTGATAACATAACAAGGCGTACATACAGCGTAATAATGTCACATCTGCACACACAAAACAACCTTTGACAGAACAGTGATTTAAGTACGCAAGGGCGCCATCTAGTGACATCATTTAACGGGTGGAGAGGTTAGCGAAATTAACAAAATTAGGCAACTTTGCGCATGTCCAAATGCTTCTTATCTGAATAAAACTTGGTGCATGTATATGCACGTTATGATCGGATCATTTGATTTTACATATATATAAACAGTGGATTCAGATTAACAGATGCCTCAAATTTTAAATCAGATCAAGAAATTTCGTACATGTAAACATGGCTATTGACTTTTGAAGACTTGTTAAGACAGGGCTTTTGATTCTGACTGTCTTTTTGGGGGGGATTGGGAAGGGCAAATATGTCTGTGACAATACTCAGATTTCTGTCCAAAAGGCGCCCAGCATTCGTGCTCCTCAGTTTTTATTTCAAAAACAAATTATGCTTTGGTGTCCACATGTCTGTATAAAAGTAAACAAAAACTTGGAGAAAGGGTAAGGATTCCAGTCTGCTCTTTTGGTCCTCCTTGTCCTTTTTGACAGACACACAGCCGAGCATGTGGGCCAGCCCCCTCTGATTACTGATCAGTATCACCCGCTAAGCTCATTAGCTTACTAAAAAGGGCTTAACTAAACCTCCACAGGCACCCCGCTTTATTTTTTGTATGTGCGTCTGTGTGTCGGGCATCATTACAAGCACATTCAAGATAATTTAAGCAGCTCCAAACAGCGTGGGAGTTTGACACGGGGAGACCTATGCTGCTCCCACATGTACAATCTCCCAGGCAACAAGTAGCCTAGAGATCAGAAGCCAGAAATGTGTTTTCAATTACTTTCTCACCAATAAATTCAGCAGGCTTGTTTTTGCTTCAACACATTAGTGCGAGAAATCGTGCCGGTTTGGTGCAGTTGCCAACTCTGAAGGAGGGGATTGTCTAATAGGGAGGAGGAAGTGACTTACCAGTTGAGAATGGGAGGGAGGATGAGTTGAGGAAGTAACAATGGTGCATGATGGAAGTATGAGGGAGACATAAAGAGCATGTTGAAGGAGAAGGCCTCATGGGCTAATGATCTAATAAGTTGTCAACCTCTGGAATTGACAGACCAGAAACAAAGACATCTTTGGGCCTTTTTCATGTGAACGTATAACCTCCCACCCGGCTCCACTCATCACACTCTCCTCACTGTATTCCACTTACACAAAGAGTCTCTTTGTATGCATCCGAGAAAGACCCAAGGAGATGGGTGATAAACTGCTTTGACATTAGCTCAATTACCGCGGCGGCACGCAGTGGCGAGCGTCTCATGCTAGTAAATCATTTCAAAGTAGAGTCATTTTGCATTTCTCCATTAAGCTTCAGATCCACTCTGGACCGATACAGCTTGATGGTGCCCCAGATAGTGCTCTGAGGACGAGAAAGAGGAGAAGTCAGATGTAAAAGAGGCTTGTCAGATGAGTTCCTTCGACATCAGGGAGGAGACAAAAGCGGCAAAGAGTTCCTTTCTTCGCGCCCTTTGTCACTTTCTCGTCTTTGTAATCTATAATGGATGGAGGTGTTGTTGCGTGACAAAGAGAATACAGCAGAGTGTGGCACGGGGTGTGAGAGCTCCAACTCCAGCACATGTAGATCCAATTTGAAATCCCCTTGTGTGCTCAGTGCATGATGAGTCCAGGACATGCACGTCTTTCAGCCGGGCTTGTAAATGCAACCTGTTCAGGTGTAAATGTGAAAGGGAGAGGGTTTTTTTTTATCGGAGAACAAGATGCTCCAACATTACAATCAAATTATAAAAGACAGAGTGGATCTCCAGACAGCACTGTCATGAGCTAATCACCAGCAGCCTCAGCACCACAGAGAGGAGCGGCGGACAGAATCCTAATGACCTTTCTCTCTTGGTTTTTAACATTTTCTTTTTCTCTCACCTCCTTTCTTTTCCTCACAATCACCCCATTTTCTGCACTCATGTCTCAACACTGTGTTTTCACTTCCTCCTCCTCCGCCCGTCTGATACTTGCTCTTAAAAACCTTTAATTTTATTTTCTCCAGACACTTTCACATGCAAGAGCTGTGAGGTTGTTGTTTTTTTTCCATCCCGCCTCTGTGCATCCTCTCAGCTAAACCCTGTCTGTAAATCTCCATCCTAACAGGGCCCCATGCTGAGTTGTGACCAAATCTTGTCAAAGCAGGTCACGGCATTTTTAGCTTTGCTCGCCTTCCTTCACCATGAATCACATCCAAATGTCATAATACAATATCCTGCTGTCCTGCTGCTTTAACGTAGGAGGAGCAGTGAAGAAATCTTCTTTTTTCTGTTGTATTTTCCCTCCACACCAATACGCCTAAACATGAACATCCCTTTGATGTCGCAAGTAATGACCATTTATTATCCTCTGTCGTCTTTTTTTCAGCTTTTTGAGAAAAACATACCATAATTAATGCACAGCTTTGTTAATTACTTTATTCTGACTGATTAATCACAGCCTTTCAATTCCTGCTTTGAATAGAGAGGGTAGAGCATTTGGATAACCACCTGTTCATGACCTATTATCACCCTGCTGCCAACCAAAAAACAAATTAACTTGATGCGACATACAGATTTCTAAAGAACTTGATTTATCTCTACAGTCTATAAAACACCTTCCTGACTATTGATTAATAGTCCTCCTGTTACTTCCTCAGATTCTTATCGGCCTCCTTGTGAGAACATCTCGACATTTCAAGTCACTGTCAAGTTGAAAAATGACTCATGATTTATCAGTTTTGACTTACATTCAGAGGAATATTTCACTCACACAAGGTGAATGTGACTTCTGCAGGCCACACTACTAAATCAGATGGCCTTTTCTCAAGGCTTCGCAGTGGAAACACTTTTAATAATAACATTTAAACATTATTGAAATCATCACCACCACTTGTGGTCTAATTTAACCTTGCAGTTACTCCGATGGCCCAGTTTTGTGCTCATTATCTCCTCTGGTCTTTAATTCAGGACCCTTGAGATCAGCCTGAGATGGACATTTTTTTTCCACAGTGTCAACAGGCAGAGGTGAAATATGCCCACCCTCTCCTCTGTGTATTGATTTAACATGAAATATGTGGTTTGGTTGTCTTTTGCTGTTGGAAAAGCTTGGCAATAATCCATCCTAACACCTTGCTCAATGTGCATTTTCCCATATATGAATTAGGGCTGTAATAGATTATTTTTCTGATATTCTGGTGATTTTTTTAAACAATGAATGGATTAATCTTTTGGTAAACACACTGCACAACAGCTTCATAAACACTCCTAGAGTCACTGTAGACGTCTTAGCATGTGTCTTTTGTCAGATACCCCAAAATCTGAGTATGGTACCAAAATAGGTGTTTTACTGGCACTCTAGATGTTCTTGTAAAAAAATAGAGTCGGCATAACTTAAATGCTTAACATCTTTGCACAAAGAAATCCCCAAACTATCCGTGAATTTTGATTTTTTTTTTAAATGAGAAATAAACTTTCAGTCAATTTTACCCTCATTTTGTCTGAGCAGCCTTCCTGTAAATCTGTAATCCAAAGAAAACAAAGACAACAAAGAGAAAAGCAGCTAATTCTGATATTAAAATTCAGTAAATCTGAAAATATGGGGCCTCTTTATTGTTTTTCGAGTCTTGTCTTCATAACTGATAGGTTGTGTTTCAGCGCGGAAAATAGATCGAGAACAAGTCCTATTTCTGAGCTGTTAGTCTCTTGATAAAACTCAGAAGCTTGTTTGTCAATATATGATATTGTTTGTGTGTTTCGAGTGTTTATGTATGTGTTAACAATATCCATCTCCCTCCCACTGTAATGTTCCCCCAGCACAACAAGCTCTATACCAACCTCTGTCTTTGAACTTTTCCACATGAGTGTGTCTCTCAGGAAGTCTGTTTAAAGTCTCTGTAATTACAGCTCCGGGCGACCACCTCACTGAGAGGCAAAGCCGTCTCTGATACATACTGTGCTCATCATCTGGAAATTAATACAGCAAATACAAACTGAGCATACAGACATAAATACACACACACAAACGCGCACAGACGTACAGACTGAGCAGCACATGCGCAGACAGCAGGGGTGATGTGGCCGGATGGATAAGCTGACACTAGCGATGTTTGCTCGGTCTGCTCTGTGCAGAAGGAGGAGGAGAGAGCCTGACTGTGTTTCAGACTGCTACAGAGAATGTTAATTAGATGTGTTTTTTATTGCAGAGGTGAAACCAAGGGGGGAAAAAGAGCAGAGCGCTCTGAAAGATCAGCGTTTTACAGGAGCAAAGCCCTGCGTGACCTCCAGCTTCTCCTGTTCCTGTTGTCTGTTCTCTGCTTTTTACTCTCACTGGTTCTTTTTAATTGCCTCCATCATTCTTGACCACCTCAAATCCCGCCTCTACCTCCTGCCATTCACGGTCATCTCTCCTTTCTTTTCTATCAACATGCAGGTTCAGCACCCCAGACTGTGGATATCGAGAGAATGCTGCATGTTTGGCATTTCAATTGCAGCCCGTATTTAGGCATCAGTCTTGTTTAGGACATCAGGAACACATTGTTTAAGTGTTACAAATCTGCTCGAAAAGATCGCTTTTACACCCACACTCCTAAATCTTGGGCTTTATTTAAAATCTGCTGCTGTATTGAAGTGTTTTATTTGTTTACTGTTGGATAAGAGTTTTTATGTTTCTAAGCTTCAGTAATGTGCAACATTCAAAGGAAGATCTCTTTTTTTGTTTTATATCACAGCACCTCTTGAAATATTTCTCTAACTTTGACGGTTCCTTTTGTTTTCCTCCTCAGATCGAGATTTCAGCATCCAGGTGAGCACGGAGCGACGGTCCTTCACGGCCGGTGAGCCGCTGGAGCTTCGCTGCACCATTGAGGCCCAGAATGTTCCAGAGCGCTTCTTCTCGGTGTCGTGGGTCTTCAGCAGCTCACCGGTGGCCGTGGTGGGCCCCAGTGCCGTGCCTGTCCTGGGCCCAGACTACATCGCCCGAGAGGCGGCCGGTCACATGACTGTGCGCAAAGAGAGCCCCAACGTGCACCTGCTCAAGCTGCAGCACCTCCGTCCCGAAGACGCAGGGAAGTACATCTGCCGAGTGACAGAGCGGGAGAAGACGCCCACGGGAGACTTCATCGACCGCAGCAAGAGGTCCAGAAACGTCCAGATCACAGTCCAGCCACTCAGTGAGTAATCATCTCTCCTCGAGGCCACCAGCTTATTTGTTCTGTCCTTCGTTGTCAATTACACCAAGAATGATGAGCTTTTCATAATAACAGCTTTATCTTCGTGTAGGCAGGATTGGGATGTCATGCTGTGCTCCTCTCCAGACTCTCCCTCTCCATCTTTCTCTTTCTCCAAGGTGGCCTCTAGGAGATAGCAGCGCAGCCTCTATTGTTAAGCGGGAGTAAGAGGGGAATGGATAATGCCACTCTTATTCCTAATATATTTTCTGTTTGAGTGGACTGCTAAGGATTGGTAATGCAGCATTATGGTCCTGCCCATTTCCTTGGCTTTAGCTGAGAGAGGTGGGGAGAGAGGGGGGTAACACTATAGCAGGATAATGGAGAGCAGAAGACTCAAGGAGGCTGAGCTAACAGCCATGAAATTAAAGCGTGGAGAGAGAAAAGAAGCAGAGAAAGGCGCCCAGCTCTCAGGGGTCCTCTAAGTGGTTCCCCAGGCTGAATTTACGTCTTCTGCGGGGGCAGACCACCTCAGCTAGGTTAAGCAGGGCAGGAGGGGGTGGGGCAGGTTCGCAGCTGATTGACGTTAATGTACAGACAAACCTTGAAGGAAACACTGCTCACAACCAGGACGGGGCAATAAAACGATCTCAATATGGGATGGCTATAAAACTATGTCAGTTATGATGATAAGCTATGGACATTTACTCTCTTCAGGAAAAAAAATCAATCAGACAGTAAAGATAGTGTCCACAGACAGTTTTGGGATTGCATCTGGAGTATTTCTTGTGTCTCTACTGGAAAAATATCATCTCAGAAGTAGATTTGTGCTCTTTAAGGGGAAGAGTAAAAACAAAGGCAAACAAAAGCAATAGTGGAAGTGAACTCTTGTTTGACTCAAAGGTGATGAAAATGCTAACGAAACATACAATACAATGTGATATGATCTATACAGTTTGATATACTTTGTTGTCCTCTTGGGCAAACTTGACAAACCAGGGTTACTTCTTTCAGACCAGGGGCGTATCCAGACTTTGTTAACTGAGGTGGCCCAGCTGGGGCACTGACTTCAGTAAGGGTGGCCTGGATATCTGTGTACGCACAAAATAAATGACATTCAGTCATCTGTGCCGTCACTGTTAACAACTAGCAACTATCATAAAGACACAATAGAGTGGTGGTGACGCATAATTTTGTAGGTTTGATTCTTTCTTTAGGAGACTTTTTTCCAAAGTCACATAAAGGCACGAGCAAAAGGAAGTGTGTTACTTTTCAATGCGAAGAAGGCTACTAGACAGCCCGAGTATGTGTTTTTTTATATAATCCCACTTATGATGATGTTTTAAAGTTTGATTTAAAAAGTTTGATGCAAATAGCCAATCATATCATAGGATCTTGAGCTGGCAACTGGGATGGCTCAATCATCTTTTCAAATCCAGCTGCTGTCATTGTTTGCTGTCTTTATATTTTTATTGTTGGGGTTTGAAGCTCTTTCCACCATCTTGGAATTAACAAGCCATTTGTTATTATGCTGGTTTGAGTATTTACCAGGGTTTCTATGCAAGTATGGAAAAGTATGGAAGTAATTTGATCAATTTCCAGGTCTTAAAAAGTATGGTAAATAAAAGATAAAGTATGGAAAAATATTTAGGTTTCGAGACTATTACCACAGTAAAAAGAAATTAAGAACTGTTCAGGAACCCTGTTTTACCTAATGGGACCATGAGAGATATCCATAATACACAAATGTATCTGTATGTTCTGCTGTAGACTTCATACGTTGAGTGGTTTGTTAACATCATATTATGAAGTCTCGTTGGGTTTAATAGAATCCAATAAGTTTTTTTATAATGTAGACACTGCCTCTCTCTTCTCTGATACACCTTTCATTGTTGAGGACAGAGCGTTCCGTTATTTAACAAGTAATCCCAACTCTACCTTTTGCCATCTCAGCACAGACTTACCAGCAATGCTCTCATCTGTCAATGAGATTTTCTTGTATATAATAGCAGCTGGAAAGCACCCCTCCATCAGTTCATCCCCTTCTCCTCTTCCCTCTGCGCCTCAATGTCTCTCAGGACCATAACTGCGTGTGGAGCCAGCTGCGACCTGCATAATAAAACATAATAACCACAGAGTAGTATCTCCTCACGAGCAGCCAGCGTTACCTTATCCTGACCGTGCTGCACCCCCTGCTAAATCAGCCCAAAACAATGGCCCCAAGCCTGCAGCCGTCTCCAGGGAGTCTCTCTGTATGGGAGGTTTTGTTTTTCCAACAAAAGACCTTAATGCCCCATAAAGGATGTTTATGGGGTTTACACAGGATAATGGCCATGGTTATTAGAGGAGAACTTCCGCAAAATACAGCAGTTGTGGTCAGGCCGGCTGTCCTCTCACACACAATTTTCGAGAAGCGCTTCATCATTATAATTGGAGAAACGGGGGAGAGTTGGGAATAGTGTGAGACATGGGGTTAAAAGTGTCGAGTCAGAGCAAGGCAGAGGTGACAGCGAAGGGAAAGAGAGGCAAAGCACTTGTGGCAAATCAGGGCTGATGGATGAGTTTACAGCGGCGACTAGAAAGGTAAAGAGAAGTCACATGTCACGCTGAATCTGTTTCATACAGACAGAAGCAAGACGTGCACGGGTAGGAGGGAAAGGGAAGAGGGTTTACAGTAAAAGAGGGAAGATACACTGTGAAGCTGAAAAACAAAGAAGAAAGAGCTGGTGGGAGAAATCTGAAAATTTAAAAACAAAAGTTTGAGATAAAGTAAAAAGGGGAAAAGTTTGAAAGAAACCGCAGCTGTCCAGAAAGCAGACAATTTTTCTCTTCAGTGTGAAAAAGTAATGGAATACAATATGTTCTCAGCTGTGGAAAAACTATGTAGCTGTAACAATGAAAGACAAAAACGAGGAGGAAAAGGATGAAGGCTTCTCCCTTTGTTCATTTGAGTGTGATAGAAATGAGAAGCGAGTTTATTCCACATTCACAGAGAGAGCTGGTGCTTATTAGGAGGACTGGCGAGCTGAGAGGAAGGCAGCCGAGCTTGGCCTGAGGGGAGAGAGGGCGAAAAAAAAAAGAGAGGAACCTTTAAGCCACGCCCCCCCCAAAAGAAAAGCGCAGCAGAGGTCCTGCTGGGTAAAAAAAACAGCTTTGGGTCAACTAGAGATCATTGTTTTTTTGTTAGGCGGTGAAGTGATGAGAGCCGAGGTAAAGAAAAGAAACAGAGGAGATGAGCCTGTAAAGACTTTTATCCTCCTGCTCTTCTGAAGTGCCGCTGAGCCCTGAGCCCTCAACACAGCCACACAGGGTTCACTAGAAGGATCCAAACCCGTGCACACAAACTCACCAGGGCCTCTTCTTTGGGATTTCGCTATGATGTGCCTGAGGCCAGTTACAAAAGTGCCTGGATGCACACACACGAACCCAAACACACACACACGCAGCACTTGGTTTACACTCGGGAACAGGAGCTACGTTTTGTTTTATTGCCGCTGGCCTCCAGTACTCTGTGAATACTTAAACATAGAGAGAATGAGTCCTGTTGTATGTGGGAGTCGAGACTTTGAGGAATTCTTCAATCTGTATTCTCACCTCAATCCCCCTATCTCTCTTTTTTTTGGTTTCTTTTTCAGAGAGCAACATCACCGTGTCTTTGTCCACAAACTCCTCCGAGGTCCTAGAGGGTGATGTGATCCAACTGACTTGCTTGATCCAGACCACTTCAGGCCCCCTCTCCGTTTCCTGGCAGTGGACCGACAAGGAGGAGAGCGGACCAGCTCAGGAGGTGGCCTCTCTGGATCGAGATGGCACAGTGTGGCCCAGTCCGGTTTATAAAGAGCGCTCCAGCTACGGGGAGATCCGTGTGGAGAAAGCGGGGGCTGATACTTTCACTCTGTCTGTGTATAACGCCTTACCTGGGGACGAGGGACAGTACAGCTGCATCGCCACCGAGTGGATTCAGACTGGGACAGAACCAGAGCTCAACTGGGAGAAGATTGGAGAGAGGTCAGCAACAAAGACGGTCACCGTGAAGACTGTTGGTGAGTGACTGCAGCTGGATTTTTAGCCATAACTATTGTAGTTTAAGTTTAAAAGTGTTTCTAATTTTTAAGGATTAGTAAGTAAATTTGAACCTGTCAAATACATAATCATTCAGTCATTAAGTCATACAGTCTTACACCTGAAGGCTGAAACATACAGGATGCGTATTTGGAGCGTGGCAGCAGCGTCATGTTCCACGCAGCAAATAGGTTGCCATTCTAATCAATGCTGTAAAGCATACAGGACGCATATTGTCTTCGTCGAAGCGTTGTATCGAGAGCAGCACTGCTATAGATACACGACGAGTCTATTGTTGCTGCTCTACGCTTCCAACACGCTTCAATCCACACGGAGAAGATCGTTCTAGACAGGAAGTCAAGCACGAAAACAGCGTATGTTATCTGGTATTTCAAAATTAAACACCATATGCGAACTCCCAACTGTGTATCAGTGTGTGTAGATGAGACTACCTGGTTATGGATTTATCAGTAACACAGAACAACCCGATGGTCAATCCCTGATCTATGTGGACCCCAACAGGACTTTTAACTTTTTGTGGCAGTTTAGGCTTTAGTATCCTACCTATAACGTGAAACAAACATAAAAGTTCTGGCGCTATCTGGCACTTTTTTATTTTGAAAAAATCCTTTCATGTGGCAGCAAAAGCCGTTCGGTTATTGCTTATAAAGTTTAGACAACAAATCCCTTGCAACTTTTACTGTACATCATGAAGCATCGTCTGCTCATTTTTATGTTGGTGCTGATCTTGACTGCATATGAGCAGACTTTAACGGACCGCCCATATGAACGGCTGGGAAGACTGCAGCAATTAAATAATGTATTAATACACGCACATCGCAAGAGATGCTCTTCAGTTAGACGGTCATATCCCAAAAGACGACAGGCAATAATTTCTAACTCCACGTTTGTCTCCTGCCAGACATTAGCCGCACTTTGATAACTTTGCCTCAGACCAAAACAGGATATGACATGTAAAACTGAGCGCTTTCTGCGATTGGTGCAGTCCGAGACCACCCCTACCAGGCGAATCGGAGAGCGGTTGTCTAGTCCACACCAGAGTTCGAGGCTAGCGTTCACACCAACCAAAACGAACCGCACCAAGGAGGTAACCGCTCCAGGGTTCATTTTAACTGGACTAAACAAGGTTGGTGTGAATGCGACCATAGAAAATGAAACATACTGGATTCTGTGTATCAATATGAACACTGTCTTTCCAGCTCTTCTTATTAGCTTTGTTTAATTGGAACTGAACTTTTTGATTATACACTTTAAAAGCGCAAAAGTCACAAAAACTGCTCCACGACAATTTTAAACTGATTGAAATTTCTCTCTGTCACAGACAAAACAATGATGAGAGCATATGAAAGAGCACAATACAGACTTGTTTACCAAAGTCCAGAAGAGACGGCATAAAGCTGAGACAGACTGTGGTGTGAAGCAAATTAAAAATCAATGGAAAACGCTGCAGATGGGGGCTGCTCGGAGTTTAAAGCCCACAATAATAAAAGTCGATCTGACCCCCTGCTTTCCATGATTAAATGAAAGAAATTGTGCTTGGGCTGGAAGAGATGAGGAGCTCAGGGTTGAGAAACATCTCTTTTCTGCGTGTCACACAGCTGGTCTTACTGAATTTGAAGGTGCATGTGAATACTAGACCCCGTTATATCACATGTCATGTTAACGCTTGAACCGATATCTTTAATCATAGCGATTTCGATGAAGAAATATTTTCTATGTAAGTAGGGCTGTAAAGTCATAGTCAACTGGTCGACTTATTGGTCGATACGTGCTGAGTCAACCAAAACTCTGATTGGTCGACTCGATTTTTTTATGCGTCAATTTACAGTCTATCATAAATTTCATTAGGAGGAATGTACCAAGTGCTAATGGTGGTGTTTTCAGAGCACCCCCGTTTCACAGGTAAGAGCCTGTCTCAGAACATCCCCCTTATTTTCACCATTTTTGGATTCCCCCAGCCCGCTAAAGACCGGCTGGAGACAGGAAGATTGAAGACAATCCACGTTAATCAACGTCCTGTGATTTGCTGGACGTAATATTTGTTTAATTGCCTTCTTGTGCTGACATCAGAATATTTTCACACCGCCGAGTGGCGCTCCACCGAGTCGCGTCATCCCCCGCCGCAGAAGGGTTTGCCGTCAGACCCCCCTATTAGTCGACTCTTAGTCGAAATTTTGAGGCTTTTAGTCGACCAAGAATTTCTTTGGTTGATCACAGCCCTACATGTAAGCATGTGAAGCCAAAATACTTCCATAATGGGTGCTGACCATCGTGTAATAAATGGACAAAGTGTTAGTGACCCATTTGTATGTGAAGCTGAACCACAGTTGGGCCTTAATCCTCCTTGCAAATAGCGACAGTGTGCCTGCCTGTCAGTCAAGTCAGCTCTCCTTACTGTAATATCTTAAAAAACTGTAAAAATAAATAAATAAATAACTCCCAGAACTGTAAGTGAGAGTTTACAGAATAGAAATAACATCCAAGAGAGCTACACAACAGGGAGCTGAACACACTGATGGTCATCAGCAACAAAGGACCAAAATTAAAGCGCTCTTTGGCAGAGTGTGTGTGTGTGTGTGTGTGTGTGTGTGTGTGTGTGTGTGTGTGTGTGTGTGTGTGTGTGTGTGTGTGTGTGTGTGTGTGTGTGTGTGTGTGTGTGTGTGTGTGTCCCAGCAGAGCTCATTGTAGGTTTAGAAATTTTGTATCATGCTGATTATTGTTTGTCCTGCTGCTGTAAAATTAAACACACTAAAGGTTTATATCAAGCTGCAGAAAATGTCCTACTTCTGTCAGCTGTTTAGTGTAAATATTAATACGTTTTTTTTTAGCATAAATGCATACAGAACATATCTGGGGCTGTCCTCGTGGAGATCCTCTTCCTGGCAGGGTGCTGTGTCAACACAAATACACACCAAAATCAAAGAGAGACACACGGTTAGTGACTAGATAAAGACTGATGAACAGGACAAGTAACAAATGCAGTCCACACAGTAAAGTACTCCCCAGTTTATTCATGCATCACACAAGGGAAAGAGCTATTTAGACACACGTACACAAACCTACACACCACCTGCCACACGTCAAGAACAGTGCTACCGTGACACCCGTCATAGATGCACACACACCCAAATGGATTAGGCAGAATTATTAGAATGGAAATGCAGCAGCAATGTGTTTCACAGTCTGTGGCTCTCCTCTGTCAGTGCTGAGTTAAGCTGAACATCCAACGTACGGGCAGAGGAAGCCACTGGAGCGGAGCAGTGAGGAGCTGGCAGGCCAGGAGAACCTCGCTCAACACACACATATACACACATATGCACATACACACACAGCTGGCGGATTAGCTCCCTGCAGCAGCACACAGCAGTGCTGCAAAGAAGAGATGTCAGTTTTTAAGTGGCCATTTGTTAAGTTCGGGCAACAACAGAAACATTAGTTTGAGGAACAAGGGACGCATTATGCAAATCAGGCGCAAAAGAAGTCTGAAGCTGCTCTTCTCTCCTCAGTTACTCTCCTCGACATCTCCTCTTCCTCTCCTCCATGCTTGTTGATCAAAGGATTTTTCTTAGTGGTTGCTGTTGTGTGACGGTCAATGCCTGTGTTTTACTTCTTCTCGGGTTTGTTGTTGCGCCTCGTTTTTCTCACTTTAGCTTCCAAGTTAAAGTTTTTATTGGATCCAAACCTGCCACTTTTGATTTCTCGTCTTCTTTCTTCTCTTTTCAAACTTTTGCCTGACTTCCCGAGTTCTTGTACCTTGCTAATTAGAGAAAACTTGATGTACGCTAATTGTTCCTTCGTTTATGTCATAGTCTTCTCTATTATGGGACTCCCTGTGCTCGCTGATAAGACCCAAAGGGGATAGGAGATGGTTATTCTGTGTGAGAGAGAGTGTATTCTAGTTGCCACACCGCAGATAAAGAAGCTCAGTCAAGAGACTTGTTTTCCACTGATTGGTTTAAGGGGCCCTCTGGGTGTTTGGGGTTACTACTGAGCACTATTGGGAAGCGGGTGTAGCGGATACACAAGGCTGAGACTCCCACCGGACCACACGGTTTGTACAGTGAAAGAAAAATTATTGTTACCTGACAAATAAAAGACAAAGTTGTTTTTGGAAAAGGATCCCAGTAAAATCCACTTTTCTGTCACACATGCTGGCTGACAGTGAAGGAAATGGGTAGTTGAAAGACAGGCGAACGGAGATGAGGGATAGAGCGAGAGGGGAGAGTTATTGTCTATTAGAGAATTATGGTCCCGGGCAGCTGTCCCCGCAGTAGCCAAGCCAAGACAGAAAGCCATTGATTACACACCCTGAAGGACACTGGAGGGGGTTGATGGCTGTCGGAGGAAGAGCAAAGGAGAGGGACGGAGAGAGAGAAGCGACAGAGCTGATGACAAGAACAAAATGGAGAAATCTGCAAAGTCTCAAGGAGCGGGGGGGATCTGATCCAGCAAAAATCATCAACACCTCTTGATTTCTGATTCCTTTTTTTTCTCCGTCTGTCACACTCACAGCTCCATCACTCAGATTCATTGAAATGGCTTAAAATAGGCGCAGCAGGAACATGTTATTTTACATCCCTCTCTCTCTCTCTCTCTCTCTCTCTCTTTCTCTCTCTCTCTCTCTCTCTCTTTCTTTCTGTCTCTGTGCCTCCTTCTTTATCCCCTCTTGCTTTCTGTGGTGGATGCATCTTGGCAATAACATATGGAGTAGGGCGAACGTTTTTAGCTTAATGAGGATAGTTTAGACTTGGCAGGGAGTTGGGCGTAGATCGAACACCGGCGCTTAGAGAAAATCTCTCCCCTGGGTTTTCTTTGTTGCATCACCCATTAATTTTGAGGCACGCTCTCCCTGAAAAACACACAAACTAATACTTAAGCAGAGGGAGGTATATTCATACACTTACACATGCGTGAGCTAAGTGGCTAACTGTTGGCGCAGAGGCCAGGGAAGAGGCTGCCGCACAAAGGAGTAGGAGCACTTTCTGTAAATAGTGTGTGTATTTGTTCCAGCAGGGGGGCTTTGTTCCTTTGGGCAGCCGTGCTTTAAAAGGAAAGTTGCTTCCTGGGACAGAATATGAACTGCCACACCATTTGCAGAGCTTTTAGAGAACAGACTCGATCACACGCCCAGGCTCTGTTGTGCTTTTACCAGCAATCAGCAGCACTTTCTTTGAAGGCTCATCATTAGTCAAATAAAAAGCCCATTTGACAATCTGTCCTCCCTAACATCTTCTCTCTCTTCTTTTTCATACATTTAGAGTCCTCCTTCATGGTGTCGGCTGTTTCCAGGACGCCATCCGTCACCTTTGGAGACTCATTTGACCTCCTTTGCCTGGTCAAGCCTCGCCACAACCCCCGTGTCCCCACCTCGGTTACCTGGCGCTTCATGCCGGCCGGTGCAGAATCAGGCGAAGAGGAGGATCAGGGAGAGTTCAAAGACCTGGTGACTTTCACCCGTGAGGGCACACTGCAGTGGGGGGAGCAGCTGCTGGGGCTGGGCACACGCACAACGGTCGACCGCTCGCACTCCAACACCAACTTCCGACTGTCGGTGACCCAGGCAGGGAGACGCGAGGCTGGCAAGTACCAGTGCACCGCCGTGCTTTGGAGGAGGAATTACGACAACAGCTGGAGCAGAGTGGCCAACCGCACCTCCAACCTGCTCGGCATCAGTGTCCTACAGCCAGGTAAAGCTGCGTGGCTGCTTGCCAGACGCACACACACACACACACACACACCTAATTGGAGCAGACACAGACGAGCACACAAACAAGGAAAAACACAGAATCACACTCACACACATGCTCACATCTAGTGAATTCAGTGGAGCTTAGAGGATTTCTGGCAGCTCTAATTGCTCTAAGTCTCTGGTTTTAGCCACTAATTGGAGTGTGTGTGAGTGTGAGAGTGTGTGTGTGTGTGTGTGTGTGTGTGTGTGTGTGCGCAGGGCAGGGTGGAGTCTCCTAATGGAGCGCACGGAATGGATTGCTAAATATCCCACAGGAAGAGGAAAAAACGAGTGAAAGGGGTAAAAAAAGGAAGCAAAGCATGGAGACGGAGAGTGAGGGAGTGATAAAGGGAGAGAGAGGGATCTGTCCTTGAACCTCTTTCCTCAGTGGAGGCATTAAACTGTCTACGCCGCCCTCATTGGTCCTTTGTGCTTCATACACACACACACACAGAAAAACTCAGTCAGACTCGGCCCAATTAGAGCCTCAACAACAAACACACACACAGACGTAGACAAACACACACTGGCCCAATTTAGCCCAGTCTGGTTGTACCTCAACAGTGTGATACTTCATTTATCCAGGTAGACGTGCCCGAGGCAAATACTCATCCTGTTGATAAGAAAAGAAAGAACTCACCGTTGTATCTTTGAAAGCAATCCAGCGAAGCATCCTGGTACCTGAAGTACCAACATGGTCCAGATTTTGTTGGATTTGGCAGGAGAAATACGAGAACAGTGTGAGTGTGGGGGAGGAAAAGTAGGGGGTTGAACTTCTGAAATGACAATGTTTGTAACATTACACTCGTGATCATGAGTGGATTAGATTTAGACTCACAGAAGTTTTCTTTCTTCTCCTCCTTGCAGGCAGGCTCGGTGTTCAGGTGAGGATAAGTAAGAGACTTTATTGAGTCCAGAGTCAGACCGCGGTGATCAATATCTTTCTCAAAGTGAGCCAGCCGAATGTAGCCACATGTACAGTATAGATAGTCTCTAATTCCCCGCTGCTATTGATTCAGATAAACACACACAAGAATGCAAACGGTCCTAAACAGACTCTCACACACATTCAGAAGCAGCACAGTTCAGACAGTGCGCTTCTTGCCTGACTGATTCTGCTCTGACCTTATGCATTCACGCAGAACGCACAGCGTCCCCGGACCCTTCAGGAGGTATTTGAAAATCGACTTATCATCCTGAATGCTCATTTACCTCCTCGCTAGGTGCAGTTTACATTGTTTATCCTCAACAAGAAAAGTCTTAAAGGCACACTCACACACATATACTCACTCACATACACACACACACACACATTTTGCAGTGGAATAAATACTTCTATGGTCCTCCTCCCACTCTATTTCCTCACCCTGTCTCCATGACAGAGTGATCAGTTACCTTGGTAATGCCATCAGTAACTGTGACGATGTGATCAGTCGCTGACCGAAAGCCAATCAGTTACCATAACGGCGCGATCATTCTGTGTGTAAGGGCACTATCTCACAGGGGAGAGAGTGTGAGTAATTCCTTCATCTTATTGGTTACTGAGGCCCGGCTCAGGCTTGTTCATGCCGAGTTTGTCTCTTTATTTTTTTTATGGAGGGGGGGGTTGTGCAGAGCAGACCTTCATTTAGAAAGATGATTCATTTGTCAGAATGTAGGACGTCTGTCTTTGCCTCACGCCTTTCCTCCCCATCTGCTTTCCTTTTCCCTAAATGTTAACCACTCCTGGCTAAACGAGCGGCTGGCATTTTTGCAGCTCCTCTTGCTCTCTCAAAAGAAGAAGTGGGATAAAGGGGGGTGTGTGTGTAATGAGGTGTGAGCAAACACAGCACCTGACCAGATTCATTATTGAGAGACTTTAAATTGTGCTTTCAAAAGGCACCTGCTCAATATGTATGAGCCGCTTCACCAGCATTATGTGTGCATATGTACATGCGTGTGAGCATGACTCAAGTTCCTGCATGACTGCTCTTGCGCCCCATGTTTCTTCTGATGTTCCTCTGAGAGCTTTCATATGCTTACTCTGCATACGTACAGAAGGCCACCTCAACCCTGACACTAAAGCAGAAGTGTTTCCTCAGCTTCCTTATGCACCATAAACCATATTCCCACATCGGCCATCTACTTATAACATCATGCTCAAGGTGGGAAACACAAAATGTTTATTTTCTTTAGGGCTGCTGCAAGTTACCAGTAATGACTGTCACCGTCCACATTCAAAATATGTAGATATTGGTATCCTGCTAAAAATAAGCATACTGTAAATTTATACTGGTCCTTTCTGGGGTGCATTGGCTGCGTTATCACAGACAACATCTCGGTACTATTTAGTAGCAGCTCATTCCCCTTGTAATAACCCCCGTACCCCATAAAACTGTTGTTCAGGACTGCTTACTGGTGCTTTCTACCCATTCGGCTACTGCAATAACCGTTGTTCTAGCCTACATGCAACATTTTTGTTCTCATTCATGAAACGCTTAAATCGGGGACATTTTCATGTTGGCGACCGCTTCTTTCTCTAGTTATACCAACTTTAGTAACAAAGGCAGGATAGCAATATACAGCAGTCTGAGGAGCAATAAAAAAACCTCAACCAAAACGCCACTCTATAGCCACAAATAATGTTCAGAACAGCACCTAACTTCATCAAGAGAACATATAGGGTCCCAGCCATAGTTCTAGCCATCAAACATCTTTTTATCTTTGCCTAATTTCTTTAGCAAAGGGACTAAACACAACTCACCTACTCTCTTCCAGCAGCCGCTTGTTTGTAGCGAGACCTCGGGCCAGTCCATTACGGACTGCTGCGTGGGGTGACGCAGCTCAATGAAGAACATTTATGATAATTTCCTCATGGAAATGCAATCAGACCGAGACACTAAGGCAGAAGAACTACCGCGTCTGCAGTGCAAAATGATTAATATGATGATTATTACTTCAAGGAAATGATAAAGTATTGATCATAAAAGTTCTTTCTTGAGCTGCGTCACCCCGCAGCAGTCCATAATGGACTGGCCTGAGGTCTCGCTCACAAACAAGCAGCTGCTGGAAGAGAGTAGGTGAGTTGTGTTTAGTCTCTTTGCTAAAGAAAATAGGAAACGTTAAAAAGATGTTTGGTGGCTAGTACTATGGCTGGGACCCTATATGTACTGTTGATGAAGTTAGGTGCTGCACTGAGCATTATTTGTGGCTTTTTGGTTGAGGTTTGTTTATGGCTTCTCAGACCACTGTGTATTGCTTTCCTGCGGTCGTTACTAAAGTTGGTATAACTAGAGAAGCAAGCGGTCGGCAACATTCATCTCTTGAGGGGGTGTGTTTGACCCTAAATTCATTTTACGCTGGAATATCCCTTTAAGACCATAGGTGTAATGGTTTAAGTTGTGACTTTGTCTACTTGTGACTTTTGGTCAAATGCTTATGTATTTGTCATAGTAACAGGGTTGCCACATTCTGCCACTCCTTCAACTGCTGTCTGCCTGCACAGTACATAAACATCATATCATTTAATTTGGCTAATTAGCATAATATTGAAATTAACACTAATTGTTGTAGAATTGTTCACCAGGAAGTGGCTGAATACTAACATGAGCTGTGCTCTGTTTTTAGCATCTGGACGTTTTTATACAAACTACTACAACCTGGAACTCTAAATTAATGCATAATGACAATTTGAGTTTTCTACCCTGATGTCACAAAACAATGGCTGCTGTGTAAATTTGATCTACTACACCTCCATGTTGAATTCAGAGGGTGGACAAGTATGCGTGCAGCACATAAGAAAGTCTGCAAAAGAGCGTGGACTGATGCTCCTCCTCATTAAATTATTGCAGAGCTTCAAAAGCTGAGAATGAAACTGCATCAGATGTAGAGCCCTTGATCCAACATCCATGGGTGTTAGATCAGCAGAAGCTGAAAGAAAAAAAAGTTGGATGTAGATAAAAGAAAACCAACCCCACACAGAAGCCGGTCAGCATGACGTTTTTTTGTCAAACCAGTGAGGTGCCTGTAGCTCACCCAGGCCTACTTCCTGCTCCAGATTGTGTTAGAAGCGCTCTGCTCGTGTTGGAGTCCCAGGGGTCATATCAGCAGAGTTCACCACACACATCCAAGATTTTAATGTTCATTGTGAGGGCAACCCTGTGCAGCAGTTTGGTCTGAATTACCCACTACAGGCTTCCTGCTGAGAACAGCCTACTGCACACACAGGAGCACAAACATGTACACAAGAGCATGGAGAACATGGATACACACTGTGAGGAGCAGGAGGAGGAGGAGGAGGAGGAGGGGCTTACATCCCCGGGGCAAAAGTGTAATTATCTTATGCTAGTGCACAATTCAATATTAGCCCTCACAGCTGAGGGAATCCACAAAACACACAAAAAACACACACTAAACAACAACAACAACACACATACAGTGGCAGTGATATTAGATTCCACCTGATTGAGTTTTCTCTTTTTCTGTTTCTGAAATGCAATAATGGCAAACACATGTTCAGCATGGCAGATCACCAGGGAAGCCTCTGCCTCTACGACACAATCTAATATCATCCCCTCATAACTCAAACCACTCACACACACACACGAAAACACACTCTTCATCATCTCTTCCAGTACACACACACACACTCTCACACACACACATAGAGAAAAAAACTAATTATGCTGAATCTTCCCTAATGGAACCGGAGTTTAGATTAATGATGGTTTTGGGAGTTCAATACGTTTTTCTCATCATTAGAGTGTGAGTATGTGCACTTTTCGTGCACGTGTGCGTGTGCGCCTGGCACGAGGAGTGGGATATTAAGACCGTCTGGTTATTGGCTGAGCTGGAATGATGATGGTGATGATGGAGGGGAAAAAGGGGGGGTGTTCCATTTAGAGTTTCAGCTCATCCCTCCCCGCACACCTACGCTCAGCTGGCTACCTTTCACTCACATGATCAAACATCACGACGCAGGGAAGAATCCCTTCACTTTTTTTTTTATTCTCGTATTCTTACCCGCGCTCTTGTCTTCTGCTTTGTGGTTTTGCTTTGAGTTAGAGAATAAATGTGTCTCCTACTTTCTCCGGCTTAATCTGGTCCCTCCTCATGAGCTCTGCCTGTCCCTGAATGTTCTTCAGGGTATCTTCCCATTTAATTTGGGCTGGCACTAGCAGATGCTGCATGTGCTCTCCTTTCATGCCAGCGAAGCACTTGCCACCCAGACGTTATTGATAGCAGAGGCACCCGCTGCGGTGATGGGAGATTCCTGCTTATCAGGGCATGGATAGGAGCTGTCTATCTTCATTAAGGCCTCGCCGATCACCCTCGTGTCCTCCTTTCTCTCCCTTTCTCTCTTTTTCAATCTCAGCTCTTCCCGCAGTTTGTTCTCACTCTCCCCATAACTCTCTTTTAATGTCTTCTTTCCCCTTCACTCTCACTTAGCCGCATGTTCCCCCTCCCCGCACGCCCCCAGCTTCTTCTTCTTCACTCTTGTGATTTTTCAATATTTTATAATTCCCTGCTGCTGCCCCCCTCCTTCTCCTCTTCATCATCCGCATAATTCTCTCCATTATGTTTACATTTTTCTTCAAACAGCTTCTTCACTATTGTCAGTGTTTCATAAATGATAAGGCTATTTCAGCTCTGCTCCCTCACACACACACACAAAAGCAGCTTTATCGTGGTGTTGTTGCTGAAGGTGTCGGGGTTGTAAATGTTTCCACTGCCCTGTTTTACAGCAGCAGAGGATACAGTTTGGTTTTCGCCCACAGGCTCACCCGAGGCAGGACCCCTGTGCATGGGCTCTCTGTATGACTCCAACACTTAGTGTGATCCTCCTACATACACTTTATACAAGTCATACACCCAAATTCAGAGGGCGCGTGCTGTCTTTAAGTCAGAACACTCGGGGTCGCACTGGGTGATGAATGAGGAGCCTTTGAGGGGTGCGCTGAAACAGAAAATAATTTCATAAACCGGCTTGATTAATCATGTCTGAGTCCAGCACTCAAGGTCAGACTCCTTCCCTGTGTCTTCTTCCTCGCACACATTTTTCTGTCAAACCCGATCCGATCCAGGCCTCATTTCCCTGTTCTCTCCGATCTGTAAACACAATGTGATCTCTGTATTGTGTTCCTCTCATGCACCTGTGTGCGTGTGTGCATGTCTGTGTTTGCACGAGCTCGTGTGTCCTGCTGCTGCTGTAATTGAAGTCGTAAGTCAGCGCTAGCTATTGTGCTGCTGCCCCCCATGTAAATCAGAGGCTAATAGTAGGAGCAGAACAAGAGGAGGCTGAGCAATGTTGCCTTCTGAATACAGACACACACACATAAACACACACACACACACACACACGCCAACCTCTGGCCCCCGTGCACTGAATGACCACTCTTCCCTGTCTTTTAATGAGTGTAATGTGTTTTATGCTTATTGGCAGACCCCCCCCTTCAAGCACGCACAGGCGCACAGTTCAATCTGATATGTCTTTATGCTCTTCCCTCTGTGCCTGCGTCTTTTTAGGGCTATTAATCTCCCAGAGTTCCCCTGCCCTGACCCTCCCACTGCCTCACCCCCCTCCCTTTTGTGCATCCGTTTTACTGTCGGGGCAGCCTGCGTCCAGCAATCACTCTCCCAGACAGGCAGGCAGGCAGGCAGGAAGAGGGAAAGTGCCGCAAGTGCATCAGTGTGTTCCTACTGATGGTGTAGAATAGAGATTATATTTGTGGAGGTTGTGTGTGTGTGTGCATTTGTGTGTGTGTGTGGGGCTTGTTTTAGTGTGTTCAAGGCTGCACAGATCCCATAATTAGCCCATTCTTAATGTTATTAAAAAGGGAGTTGCAGAGGGGAGGAATGAGGAGTGGTAATATCCCTCTGACACAATGGGATCACAGATACATCACAGTCATTAGCATAGAAATTAGGCTCCCAGTTAGACAGAGGAGCTACTTTTCAGCCAGGGGAACCCCATCCTTCATCGCCTCAGACTTACAGCCCCACTCTGATCTATGTCCCCCATGACAGGGGTCCAGACGGGTTCTGGGATGTGCAGCACTTTGTGCGCGTGTATATCTTTCTGCTGCACAGTAGTCGCAGATGTTGCCAAGAATTATCGAGCCGTTCTGGGGATCGGGGCGTGTCTAAAGCTTCCAGTCCTGACATGCTCGGGGTCTTGGCCGTTGGATTAGCCCAGGGCTGTGCTAATGCTAACGCTAAAGGCGGAGCAGGCAGCCTTTAAGACTATAAGTCCTCTAGAGTGGAGCTTGAGAGACTGCTTGCTGCTTTTTCTGAAATCCCCCCAGGAGCATGTCCTTACTTTCTGTCTTTTACATCTCTCTCATCTTCTCCAGGCACCCTCCCTCTCTCTCTCTCTCTCTCTCTCTCTCTCTCTCTCTCTCTCTCTATCTCATTTCCCTGCACTCTGTTGGGAGGTGAATATCTTTACAATTTTGGTGATACATCCCTTAACTCTGCCACTTTTCCCTCGCTTTAAAAAATCCCACCCACCCCTCTTTTTCTCTCTACCTTTCTACTTTTAGTCACCCCTCTCATCTCTTTATGTCTCTTTATTCTCTCCACTACCGCTCAATCCAGCCTCATTGAAATAAGTGGAAGCATTACATCTGTGGCCCAGTGGAAAGGTTGTCAGCTCGGTGGTCATTAAGTACATATTAGACTATTTCCAAAAAGGCTGAAAACGCACCAGCATCTCTGCTGTGTGCACTTAATTTAGGCCTCATTCATATTCATAAACCCGCAGGTGAGGCTGCTGAATATTCATGTAAACGTCAGGTGATTAGCGTGATCAAGAGAGGATAGATCATGCTAACACGGGAGGCAAGGAAGAGGGGATCATTGGTCAAAACAAAGGCTGTGATGAAGCAGATGTTTCAACATCTAATGCAGTCTTGTATTAAACCGCTTCACCTGGAGCAGCGGCGTTAAACAGAGACGGAAAATGAATAGAATTTCCTCTGTTGCCGAAGAATAAAGCATGACACTCTTTGATTCACAATCGCAGGCTGTATTCTCCTCCTCTCAACGCTCGGCCGAGCCGTTTCCAAGCTCCTTTGATGTTATCCTTAACAATTTTTTACAAGCCTGTGTGTGCGTGAGCTGAGGTTTGTGTGTGCACTGACTTGTCACAGACGCATCCTTAGCTGTACTCTTCTCCCTTCCCCTAAGACTCCAAACTTTCATCTCTCGCTCCTTCATAAACAACTCTTGTGTAGTAGTTCAGTTTTTCGGGGTGCTCTGGGTGCACTTAGAGATCTTCTTCCTCATCAAAACTGGGCTCGTGTTTGTAGCCTTTGTGTGCTTATGTCCGCTGATAGATAAAAAGAAAACAGTCTCTCAGCTTTGCAGTTTTTGCAGCCAATAAATGAGACAAATTGGGCACACATGAGAAGGGGGTTAGACGTGGGTTCAATGGGCCAATTACAGAGTGTTTTGTGTGGGTTTTTGTGTCTTTGCTGGACATGCGGTGTCGACACATTAAATTTGAGCTGCCAAAACACAACTTCTTTCAGCGCTTAGGTGGGTTTGTCTGTTAACATCTTCCCTCCATGAGAAAACAGAGTGTTTTTCTGCATTTACAGCTCAGAAATAGAACTTTTAATTAATCTTTTCATGCAAACAAAAGCCTCTTGTTTAATCGCTCTTTTCTCACTGGAACATAAGATCAGCAAGGTCCTCCATACTGTGCTGATCCTGGAGACAAGGTTGCCCTGGAAACCACAGCAGCAGGTGAAATGTATGAGAGGCTGTCAACATTTTTATGCCTCCAAGTGCTTCCAAATTAGCAGTGAGTGTTTATCTCCAACCTGATTATACAGAGAGAGAAAAACAAACTGACCGTTTCATTTCTATCGGAGGCCAGATTTGACTGGCACCTGAACTAATGCAGAGCAGCAAGAACAACTGTTTCCAATTACGGGTTTGTCTTACTTTGTGGATTCACCCATGAGGCTTATCATAGAAACACACAGAGGCAAAAGAACATGTGATTGCACTTACAAAAGGTATAGACACGCAAACACTGCTCGTACTGCGTGTGCATGTCGAGTCTTGCCATGTATGATTGAAAAGGCTCCCCATGTTGGCTCTCTTCCCACGGCATATCGAACACAGCCTCATCAATAGCTCGTTTCTAAAAGCACCGCATGCTGAAAGTACACGGTAAAAGATTTTTAGTCTGTTTCTGCTGCTTGCGTCTGCAGATGCATTGATGTAACTGTGCGCAGCCTGGCTGTGTACTGTAGCTGCAGTCAGAAACCTCACTCTCAGCGGGAATGGACACACGTCAAAGGATGTGACAGGCCGGTCTGTGAAGTCGCTGTTCTCTGGATTCTGCAGAGACTTTGGGGTCGTTTTGGGACATAAAACAACTCTAACTCTTTGCTGTATTTCTCTTCTGTCTCTCTGCCCTTTGCTTTCCGCTTTTATTAGTCTGTCTTTCTCTGCTTGAGCAAGTTCTTAGTTATAATAACTTGTAATAGCTCATGATGCAGCCCAATAAAGCTTGAATAATTAGCCTATTTTAGCTCTGAAAAGACATTTCTGTAAACACTGGTGTATGGCAACAGGCTTTTTCAGCCCGTGTTAGTTTTTTTTTCTCCTGGCTGCAGATTTCAAACTTCAAATGGTAAGCAGCAGAGAATTGCTTTGTCCTGTGCCAATCCAATCCTGCATGGTTCCACTTCAGGAGGTTCAGAGGTAATTCTCCTGGAAAAAAAGGAAAAAAAAAAAGATTGCCAGGATTCCGCAGGGCTCTGCGGTAATTCCGGATGGAGACATTTTCGTCAGGCTTCCTACCAAGAATTCTCTAGTGGGAAGTGAGGCAACTATGATGACTAATTTGAGATGCTAGCTCAGGATATCTTTGCACAACGGCATGGTCCGACGGTGCCTTGCAGTAGGGCATCCTTTAAATGCAACCATGTGCTATTATATGTAAAGAGTGAATATGTAGAATGACAAATGGGGATTATTTGAGCATGCACAGTAATCTGCGGATGAGGGTGAGGTTTATTTGAGCAGATGGCTGAGACCCTAGGCAGTCTATCAGTCTGTCAGTCATAGAGGAGCCGAGCAGGAGAAACCGGGGTGCATGAAGTTTGAAGAAAGAGGGTTTTTTTATGGTGCGAAATAAAATTTAGAAATTTAAACAGGTCAGATTTATGTCAGTATATAAGTCAGAGAACAAACTTTGCAAATATAAAGCGTTTGAAGATTTATTTTCCTATTGATTCTCCTCAGCGTACTTTTAAAAGTTCAACCATCGACACAGAAGCATCACAAAAACCATGCTGAGAAGATTCAGCCAATATAGAAACTGCACCTGAAGTCCTTTGACAGTCTGATGTAATTGTAAGAAAACAGGAGTAAAAGAAACTCAACATAACATGCTTTCATTTATTTAATACTATAGGTAAGAAAGAATGTATAGTGAGCAGTATAACCACCTGCTCAGTGGGCATTATACCTCTTATTAACTTAACTAAAGATATAAACAAATTAACAAAAATTATTTGGTAACACTATCTCTATAACGCATTATAAATATGTATAATGCATTATAATCACGTTATAGCACCGTATAACTATAGTTATAAACACTCTTAAATGACCATAATGCTTTACAGCAATAATCATAACACATTATAAAGCATTTTATCATGACTTACAAGGTCAGGTATTATAATGTGTTATATCTGTTAACAACTCACTGACAGTGCCTACATAGATAATGCAATGCAACTGTTAACGCATTATACATATATTTATCATGCGTTAAAGAGAAAGGCGTCAAATAAAGTGTTACCAAATATTTTAAGATGGTCCAATTGACTCAAAAATGATTTATCTGTAGCAAAGTAAAGTCTGTTTGAAACAGCTCTCATCACAGGGCAAGGTCACAAAAAAATAAAAAAAGAGAAATATGATAATACATTGTAATAATAATAACAATAAAATGTAAAAAAAGGTATTAAATCATATGGTACAGTTAAAAAATGTCCCTAACACTGCTGCTTCTGGTTCAAGCTGCTTTGTAGGGTTTGGCAACTCAGAGATGCACTCACCATCCCTGCCTCTGGTGCGTGGATTGCAGGACAGGAGATTGCTTCACTCTTCCCTATCAGCAGCGCTCAGTAGCTTCAGGTTTCTCCCTCCACAGCTGTGCCCGCTGACTGTCATTATTCTCCGACTCTCAAGGCCTGCCTGAGATGGAAATTAACATTTCTTGCCACAGTGTCACAGCCAGCGATGAAATATGCCGAAGCACTTTTCACAGATTGATTTGATAGGTTGTCCTTAGCCTGGCTTTCATCGTTATGAATTAATAATTATTGTTTGCATTTTTTGATTCAAGTACTGAAAGCAGCCTGGTCATAAATAAGAAAGCAGAGTAATAAACAACACTAAATACTTCAGCTGTTTATGTGTTACCAGAGTCTGTAAATTAAAATCAACAGATTGCTTCAAAAGTGCATTTCATGGGCTTTTTGTGCAAATATTTATTTTTAAAGTGTCTCGTGGGAGATCATATGCTGTTGAGTCACCTGACATGTGTGTCATTCTGACAGATCTGACACCCATCAGCTCTCAGATCCAAAAATAGAGGATCCCACTCAAAATGGCAAACTGGCACTCTGCAGTTGCATGGCTGCTGCTGAGATCAATTAAGGGAATTTGTTTCCCCAATATGGGCTCAGCCAACAAACAGCTCTTGGCTCTCTGTCAGCGTGTCAACACTAGAAAGTGCCACCAATCAAAATGCTTATTGTTCAGGGTGAGGATTGTTGTTGCTGATAGGGATGGTGTGCACTGGATCTGTCAGTTCCAGTCAGATTTCTCATTTTATTCCAGCTGTGGGCTATTTGTTGGAGTGCAAGTGAAGACTCCCGTGATTGTGGTTGCTTGAGTTGAATCTTGCATATCTGTTTATGATCTCGCTTGTGTTGTTGGCTGAGTCATTTCTAAGAATGTTAAATGTAAGATACAGATGGTTCAATGGCATGAAGGACTGCAGTAATCCTCCTCCTGAGCTTTTTTCCTGCACGGCCCTGGTCGCAGTCACACCTGATGTATCTGCAGCTAATCCCGTCCCAAAACCGATGTCCCTGAAAGTGAATCCTGTCACAGCTCTCAGCTGCTTCCTAACATCTCAGTCACACTTCTCCATCATCTCCTTCCTCTCCTATCTGCTCTCTTCCTGCCCTTGTTTGACTTTCTAAATGAGTTCCTCCTTCTCCTCCCTCTTTTTTTCTGGCAGACTGACAAACTCTTTTTTTTATCTTGTATCTTTCCTAATTATATCCAAAGCCCCATGTTACAATCCACCACCCTCTTCTTCACCTATGCCTCTTTTCTGCTCTTCTCTGTATCCTACATTTCCGCATTGATACCAACAGACATCCCATTCTCTTGGCTTTGATTTTCCTGACATTTCCTCCTCCTTTCTCTTTCCAGCGTGCGTCTTTCTTTCCCTTTGTCACCTGCTTTACCCGCCCACGCACCACTATCTTTTCCTGCCCTGCTGCCACCAGAAATAAACCCAGCTACAGGTCGTCTGTCACAAAACAGAAATTGCATTGTGTACCTGTCACCGGCGCTCACTTTTCCCTGCACCCAAAGGAATGACTGTCTCCTCTTTCTCCTTCCCCCTCCCTCTTTTCCTGATTTCCTTTCAGAGAGCAAGCTCCGAGTGCAAAAGACCAACCAGTCCCAGGTGTATTTGGAGGACAGCCGAGTCAGGATCAATTGCTCCATTGCCTCCCAGACCAGCCGGGATTCCCAGCACGCAGTGCTTTGGTATGTGAGGCGAGCGACCGGGTCAGAAGCAGATGAGCTCCTGCTGAGGATTGAAAGATCGGGGGCCTTTGAATACGGCGCCTATGCAGAGGAGGAGAGACTGCGACGTAGAGTCCAGGCGGAGAGGCTGTCACCCCGCCTGTATGTGCTGACGCTGAACCGGGCGGAGAACAGCGACTCTGGAACGTACTACTGCCTGGTAGAGGAGTGGCTGAGTGACCCAGATGGAGCCTGGTATCGAGTCTCCAGGGAGTCATCGGGGTTCACACAGGTTCTGGTCAAACAGCCAGGTGAGCAAAGATCAAAGCTGTTGTTTCTGTATCAGAAAGCTTATTTGTTCCCTTGAACAGGAGACAGCAGCTGCCACTTTAGCCACACATGCTGCCCTTTAATACACCAGTTTAAACACTGTCAACCCAAGCCCTGGTCCAAATAGTGCAGGCTCCTCTCCCACATGATCTGCTCAAGGCCGCCCCGCTTTCATGAACTTACACCTGCCCCAGGCAGAACTCAGGTGGCAAAAAATTGGGTTGAAGTGATGCCAGCTGTCATATGCAATGCCAGAAGGCAGAGTCAGGCCCAGACGGGGGATCTAATCCTCTTGTCTATTACTCAAAAACTTCCAAAGCGCTCAAAACCATGATGTACCGTCTGCCACCCAAGCACTGACATCCCACCCCAGGACAGTTTCACTCCTTTATTTTTATCCTTCAATGACTGAACCCTCCTCTCAAGCCCTCCTCCACAGCAGAACCTCATGCCCTCAATTACAACTAAATAATAACAATCCATCGGCCCTTGATTTTAACCTTTTCTGTGAACCCTCTTAAAACAAAAGCGAAGGGTGACTTTTCAAATATCTCTGAGAGCAGTGTACCTTTATCAGGTGTCCTCTTTAAAATGCAGAGTGAAATCCCTGACTCAGCGCTTGTCTAATCGAACGATAGAACAGTCTGGTCTTCAGCGAGAAGGGCAGGGAAAATGCTGATTTTTTAAAATGTATATGTAAACAGTGACACTATTAAAGCAGTTACAAAGAAATCAGTGAGTTTATCCACCGTGAGTTTGACCTGAGTGTCTGACTCTCTTTAGTTTCTCTTTTAACTCAGAAAGTTAACACTCCTGGGTTATACATATTAAATAACTCTTTACTTTTAATGATATATGACCTTGTACATACATGATGAATAGTATATGTTGTATAAACACTGTAGATATTCATAAAGTGCTAAAAAATGCATTCATTCAGGAAGTCATCCAGAAATGCTCCCATCAGGAAGAGAATATGAGGGGAGACGTTTGCCAGCATTCGCCTTTTCCTCGGTTCCCCTGCTGTCTTTCCTCCTTCTCATTTTGTTTTAACAAGAACACTGATCCAAACTATGTGTGAAAGGTGCACAAGCAGGCCAGGTCCTAACTGCTCGTTTTTTTTTCACCCGCAGCAAAACTGGGTCATTGTACCAGCCCTGAAGGGCTGTAACATGCCCAGACAGACACACAAGCCTCAGGGTGGGATTCAGCCACACTGAGAAGCTGAATACTGGTGATAGCTGTGGGCAGCGCTGAGGGGGTCATTTATTTTGCCCTTTGTTTGCAAGCTTCGAAAGTTTGTTGTCCCTTTCCCGTGTTACTTGGAGTTCAGCTGTGGGCTGGAGCTAGCATTTATTTGGATTATTTAATAATGCTTATTATCAACTCCATTTTTGTGTGTTTGGATTCTAAGAAAATAATGAAATTGCCGGCCCAATTTCCCAAAGGCCAAGCTGACATCTTTGATTTGCTTGTTTTGTCTGATCAACAGTTCAGAACAGAATAATAATGAGATAATCATAATTCCAGTCAAAGAAAATCAGACAATCCCAAATTCACTTTTGAGAAGCTTGAGCTGGAAAATGTTTGGTTGAAAAAGTATTTTAAATAGTAAGTCAACCAAAACTGATGCAGATTCATGTTCAACCGATTACTTTATTGACTCTTGAATCGGAGTTGGTCCAAATAGATTCTTAAGAAGCTGCCATCAACGCTAATTTGACCAAAATGTTGACTTAGGTGTGAGCATAATCAGTGTTTTCTTTCTCTACCTTGTCTCTGCAGATGTCCGACTACAAGTGGAGGAAATGGAGGCTAACGTCACAGTAGAAGAGTCCAGTTCTATCCGACTGGGCTGCAGCATTCCTTCCCAGTCAACCCGAGACTCCCGTTTCTCCGTGTCCTGGTACGTGGAGCGTTCAGAAGAGGACGATGAAGATGTGGAACAGCCAAGTGATGAAGAGCGAGAGCGAGAATGTGTGTTCTCCATCGGACATGACGCCATCTTTGGGAATGGAAACTGCAGCCCCAGAGAGGAGGCGGGGCCAAATTCCCGCCTGCAGTTTATGAGGACGACCCCGGAACTGTACAGCCTGACCATTCAGGGGGCACGGCCGACAGATGCGGGCCGATACTACTGTCACGTGGAAGAGTGGCTACTTAATCCTCGCAATGCATGGTACCGCCTGGCCACAAATAACTCTGGATTTACCATCGTTAATGTTCTGCAACAAGGTAAGTCTTTAAGTATGATACTGTCAATTTTGCACCAGAGAGGCTTATAACTGAATGCGGCTATGCCTTAGGAGACGTGTCATATCATATTGTGTCATATTGTATTGTATCGCGTCGTGTCGTATTGTATTGTATCGTATCGTATCGTGTTGTATTGTATTTTATCGTATCGTATCGTGTTGTATCGTACCGTATCGTATCGTGTTGTATTGTATCGTATCATATCGTATCGTGTTGTATTGTATCGTATCATATCGTATCGTGTTGTATCGTATCGTATCGTGTTGTATTGTATTTTATCGTATCGTATCGTGTTGTATCGTACCGTATCGTATCGTGTTGTATTGTATCGTATCATATCGTATCGTGTTGTATCGTATCGTGTTGTATTGTATTGTATTGTATCGTATTGTATAGTATCGTGTCGTATTGTATCATATCGTATCTTAACGTATCGTATCGTAACATATCATAATGAATTGTATCCTATTGTTCAAATTGGTATTTGTGTTGGCCTTAAAATTCCCATCCAAACAGATGTTGGATCTTAGCTCTCATCTGTGTTGACAACCAGATGCAGCCATTCATAAAAATCTGTAGTTTTCTTCTGTAATCGTCTGTCTAGAAACTTAAATGTGTGCCTTTTCTTTTCCCATAGTGTCCAGCGTCAAGTCAGTCGTCTGCTCCAACGACGCCCTCTTCTACTTTGTCTTCTTCTACCCCTTCCCCATCTTCGGCGTCCTCCTCATAGCTTTGCTGCTTGTGCGCTACAAGAGTCGCAACAACAGCAAGAGCCAAGAAGGCAAAAACGGCGCTCCCCTCCTGTGGATTAAAGAACCACACCTCAGCTACTCTCCTACCTGTCTGGATCCGCCTGCACTCAGCCTGCACCCCGGATCTGTCGATTAAGCGAGGACCTGACCCACCTCTGTCTCGCGAATGTCGCGGATCTAGCCAACAGAATGCCAGGGAGCGGACGTGGACTCCACTTTCAGACTTTACTGTCGTTCACTGCTGTGTTGAATTAGTTGATCAGTTTGAAAAAATCCTACCCTGGTGGCTGCCTGTTTTATGTTACAAACTTTTGTGTGTGTGTGTGGGTTTGAATGAGCGAGTGTGAACTAGATTGGGTGTGCAATACTAGCATGGTCAATCGTGTGAGTGCAAATAGATGGGCGAGATAGAATAACAAGCCTCTCTCCTCTTTGTTTTCTGTGAAACTCATAGCTGCGTTTTCTTTTTATTACTCTAAATATCTGTCTATTTTTCAAAAGAAAACAAAAAAATGCGCACATGAGATCATTGGCCAACCTGGGAAGAACATTTAAGAGAAGGAACTCTATAATCCACTCCGGCTGTGAGCGGATGCCAAAAAAACTCTCCGCACTGATCCAAGAGCAGCCACAGCCTGGCCCACTATGCTGGTTGCCATAGTGATTCTCTGCGCCCACTGACTCTGTAGCTGAGGACTTGGTTGCCAGCCTGCATAGAGACAAAGGCAAGGACACACAAGTCTGTGTCCTGAAGTGAGGATGTGTGTGTGTTTGTGTGTGTGTTGGCCCACCTGCCTCCACAATGAATTTGCCTTGGCAGACAGAAACAGGTCCTCGTGTGCCACTTAAACACTGCCAGACACTCTGGCCTTAGTGAGAGACCGCCCTGCTCTTCTCTTCTACCCTCCTCCTCCTCCTCCTCCTCCTCCTCTTTCTCGAGCGAGCAGAGGAAAAGAGGGAGGAACATCCCCGATGATGGAGGATAAATGAACAGTGCTCTCCTGCTGAAGTTATACATACTTTCACATTAGAGAATTTTCTTTTTTGGTGCCAAGATTTTTTCCACACTGTCCTCTGCAGCGACTATTTGAAGTTTCAAAGAGACGAGAGGAAAGCTGATTGGTTTGAAGGCAGACTGTAAATATGTCTGCTTACCTCCTGCTGTGGCTTTATGGGCCTTTTTGGGCAAAAGGGCAATTTCACATGCAGTCATATTGAATCAGTGGGGTTGTCCTGCTCAAGACGACACACAGTAGGGGGGTTGATGACTGAAATTAAATTCTTGCACATTTCTTTAAGTTGCCCAGTGAGACTACTCCGTCCTGTCTTTAGAAGTTATTAGAGCTCAAAAAGATGCTCATTAATTAAGAAAGAAGACTTTTGGTTTGTTAGAAGCCCCAATGAGGATTAGAAATGTGTAGATGTGTTGAGAACATTGTTACCTGCACATTATAAAAAAAAAAACAGATTTAATGAGTGTGGGCACATGTTTGACTTTTGTGTTTATTTTAAAGATTTTCTATTTATTGTTTTATACAACTTTGCATAGCTTTGTAAATTTTTTTTCTTTTGCTTTGAAATTCTCTAAGAACTGTGCTGCTTGTGTTGCCAGGCAACTGCACCAAGCAGATTATGTCAATAGCCTGTGTGTTGGCAATGTGGTAGAAGTAGAAATGCTAGATTTGTCCTGCGCATTGCAGTCTGTAGCATTTCATACCAGATTGTCAAGTTTGGTCAGTGTCAAAACACTGTATATCTATACCTATAATGGCAAATTACTGTGGCTTTAATTGTACAATAGATGAACAGACGAGTCACAAAAATCAATTCACTTAATGCTTTTCGCTTGAGTCGCATTTATTTAGTGAAATGTGATGTAACACCAACTTAGGATGTTTGATCTAAGACGGCCGCAGCTGAACTGTTAACACCGTCTTCAACCACAGATTCTGGCTGAAAGCTTTTGTCTTCGGCTCCCCCCCTGACGCAAGGCAGAAGGGTTGAAAATCTGTGTCACCTTCGCTGGAGCGCAACAGCCAGAGAGGTGAAAAATCATCTACCTGACCTGGGCTCATTAACCCTTTCACTGCCAGACTGAACATGGAAACTCTTGAACAAACCTGACTTTGTTGTCTCAATCGTGTCAACATGTATATTGCATGACAATACCGCAGGAGGAATTTTGATGTTTTGTAGAACTTTGAACTCTTTGAGCATTGTGTTTGTGTGACAGAGCAGTGCCCAAACACCCGACTTCCTGAGCCAAGAGTCAACACAAAGACACCCCCCTGCCCCACCTCCCATCCCCAAACCCCCTATCGACGACGTGATCTGACTGACACCTCCCTGTGAGCCTGTGAAGTTATCTATTTCCAGAATGGGTGTTGTGGAGATTGTGTTTGATATTATTGCTCATATATGTCTTTTTAATGCTTTGCTTTTATGCAGCACTCCATTAAACAGATTTATGTCAAAAAAAGTACGTAGCTGATACTGACACAGCCCACTAAATTATGAGTTTTTACAACCGTCTTCACCATATTTAAGGTAGGCAGTCCACTTTGAGTCAACACACTTTTTCAGGGAGAGGAAGGCTGGTGCTATTAACCAAATATACATGGCGGCCATTTTCTTGTAACGTCTCACTCAGGGTGGGTCGTTAGCATGTTTAGCTGCTTTAATCCACATTGTAAGTCATATAAATACTGTGAATCTGACAAACGTTCATTTTTTCACCACTAATAAGCACCTAGAAAGACAACAGGTAGAATACCCAGAGACATTGTGCTACATTGCATATTAAAAAATGTTTTTAATAGGTTTCTGTTTATACACTTGGGAGACATACACTATATGAAAGCTTAAAATTAATTTGCACCATGAGTATATTTGTAAGGTAAAACTTTCAGGTTAATCTAAACTAACATTACATACATTGTGCTTTCTATACAGTGGTTTTAATGTTACTGTATCATTAATGCTGGCATTAGTGAAACAGTAATATCACATTATTTTAATGTTTGACCAAGATACCAGTTACCTTATTAGCTAACCACTTATGTAGCACTAAAACTTAATTTATTGTTGTCATCATCAAGCCATCTAAAAATACAACCTCAAATACAGGCAGCATCCCAAGTTTAGTATCTTTCTTTTTACAAAGGAGATTGATGGTATCTAAGTGAGATCTTTTGCGCGTTTTGATATTTTCTTAAAAACTCTTTTAGACACAGCTCAGGTCTCACCCTGAGCTCAACATCCCAGGATAGTGGCCGCCATGTGAATATTGGAAATGTGATGCATGTGCAGCAAATGCTGCTACAATCAAACTGTACTAAGTCTTCATAGAAGAGATGGCGACGCGTGTTTGATAAAAGACAAACGCAAGCAGAGAGTAGAAAGTACCAGGCAAGAGCAGCACATCTTTGTGGCAGAATATTACCGTAAATGAGGCAACATTTCAATAAGTCAGCTGTTTGCTATATGTAAGAAAGGAATGAAATAAAAACTGCACCCATGATTAGAAATATGTACAGAATTTCCATTTTCAGTCAGTCCAAAAAAGTATTTAAAAAAGCATTTTCTTGTTCGTAAATATGTGCTGAAATTGGATAGTAGTATGCACTGGATGTATATATGTACAAAAAATGTGCATCACTGGGAATAATGGAAAGAAGTGAATCTGTAAATAGTTTATTTTTGATCTCACTCAAGAATCACAGCCCTGCAAAGAACTTGGTGGGTGAAATCTTGCCTCATTAAATAGCAATATTCAGTGTTTGCACTGCCTCTCTTTTTCATTACAGTTTTTAGGCTCCTGTTGTTATATGATGTGATGCTAGTGCCAGTCTAAGGAGTTTATGTGAAAACTAAAAAGCCCTTCTGTAAATTTTAGGCTGAGTACCATGACGAGAAGTGGGAGTTACTGTATCTGAATGATGTTACATGAACTAGAGTAATAGTTTCATATCTTTATAACTTACATTTCATTGAATGAAATTGTTATATTGACCTAATTTCAGTTCTTCATAAGGGAGGAAAAACCTGCAGGAGCGTGTTTGCGGGCTGAATGATTGCCTTTCCTAAATCTTGAACATTCCCAGAGATGCAGGTTGTGAAGACGGTGCCACTGAGCAGCTGCTGCAGCTTCAGTGTGTAAATCACATAATCCTAGATTTAATTTGTGTAAAATTCATTTCATCTCTCCAGACTTGAAGCCAGGAAGTGCAGGGGATGGCCGCAGTGTGTTTGACGTCACAGCGCTGCTGTCAGCATTGAAGCTGTGTGGAAAAATTTCAAAAATGGTGGCGTTTTTTTGTAATAACATTTATACAATCCATGGCCGCCTTCCAGGATTCCTCCAGACGTTTGGACAGTGTTGTAGCTGGTTTTGAGGGCTGCATGTTTTTGGCTGTGTGCTGGCACCAGATTTAGGTGTAAAATAGTTTGTGGTGATGTTTTCAGTTCAGCCAGTGATGCTTTCTTTTCAGTGATGTATTTTTATATGACCATGGTTCGTTTTGTTTGTTTTATTTAACTTTCCTTTCTTACTTTATCGAATAGTTGCCATCGTGACCATTATTGAAAAGGCACTTTGCTATTGTCAGTTTACTGCAATAAAATACTTTAAGTGCATCTTCCTGTTTTGCTTTCAACATGTATTTAGAGATTATTAAAACAACATATCGATCCGGTGTCCTCAAAACAACCATGATTTACTGAACACTGCATGCAGCCTTTTCAACCATCTAGTTATGCTTTAACCCAAGGTTAATGCCCTGCAGACAGCATGTTTTTGTGAAGGCTGCATGGGACATTGACCTGTGAGGACCTCAACAGGGGGTCTACATGCTCTGTTTGGTGCGTTTGTGTACGTGTGTTTTTGAGCGAGCAGGAGAGAAGGTTTGGGTCAGCATGTCAGAGGATAAATGATGCTTCGAAGGCTGCTGCAGGTTAAGCAGGCACTTTTTTTGACAACCTCAGCAAATCACATCTCACCGTCCATAACTCATTCATTGCAGATGGACTTGCTCACTCTCTCTTATGCGCACACAAACTCCCAAACAGTAAACTCAGCTCAGTCCAGTCCTTTCATGAACTTCACTCTGACTCTCTCTTGCATGAATTCACATTAACTCATATCGATGTGCACATACCCAATGAGGCCAAGAACAAACACTGCCACCAGTTCCATAAATCATGGTGACACAGGGAAGAAAAGGACTCATAGTGAGAAAAAGAATCAGGTTGCTGTTCAGTGTGGACACACTAGATCATCTCCCTTGGTTCCGTGGTGTGTGCAAGAAAAATTTTTTGGTCAACTCTTGACAAAACAATCCGCCGTGACTGAAAGAGCCCCCCCACACTCACAAGATCTATTGATGCTGCTGGTGCCGATAGCAGGCGCACTGATACCGCTCGTGTTATTGTCAGCCAGCTCCATCACAACTTCACAGGATGCAAAAAACACTGAATCCGTTGCCTTTGAGCGCTATATTCCTGTCCCACTTTCACCACCATTTTTTTTCTTCTGTTTCCATTTTCTCTTACGCACACCCTATGAGGAAAGATCTGTTTTGCATAAAAGTAAGCAAAGCTCACAAATCCATAGTCCCCGCCTTAGCTGAGTATTCAGACACCAGAGGGCACACATGGGCAGACAGTACTTAACGATCCAGAGCAGCAGGGCAGCATTCAGGCAAATAGATTATGATTTATGACTAGTGAGAGAAGGAGCGTTGAAAAGAATGCAGAGATGGGACACTTGGATGCATGATAACAAGGACAGAAAGAAAAATCCATTAAGATTAGTGAGGATCAGAAGCATACAGGTGTGGATATCAGAGGGAAATGTTACTTAAATATAAAATGTGTGCTTGCTAATGCACAACACTTGCCTGTTTGCAAGAAAGACGTGTTTTTCAAGGCATAAGGAAGCAAACATTAACAGCTTGTGGAGTGTGACTGGTCTTTTCAGGCCTGTATACAGCTTGTTCACTCACCTCTGTATGATACCAGCCTGCCTTATGTGTTGTGACTCACTATGATGTAAGTATGAGTCGATGAGAACAGCGAGAAGTCTTGTCAATACATGGACTGTGTAGGTACTTGCTGGCTTCTACATAAATGTAAGTGAGTAATAAAAGTAGTAGGGGAACAGATGTACCACCTGTACTGCTGAAAATGGCTCAACAACTTACAACTGATGTATCAGCAGTGTTCAGATTTCTCTCGGGCAGTGCCATCTGTGTGAATCTGCTGGAAGAAAGGATCGATTGTTGTATTAAGAGCTTGTTAGTTGAGACTCTTTATTGGAAAACTGCGAAGACTTGGCTGGAAACTCCCGAGCAAATCACATGATTCATGTGCTGCACAAAAAAACACTGGAAAACAAAAACAGCTGATGTTCCCACGTCATTCATTATGCAGTTGAAACATGCACAAATTTCACAAACACACAAAGTGACATGCACAGAAATATCCTCACCTCATCCATTTTTGATAAACACTTAAATCCTGTGTGTGTGTGTGTGTGTGTGTGTGTGTGTGTGTGTGTGTGTGTGTGTGTGTGTGTGTGTGTGTGTGTGTGTGTGTGCGTGTGTGTGTGTGTGCGCTGCCATTAGCTCTGCCAAAGTAGTAAACTGATGCTAAGGTTGCTACTGAGGCAGGGCTCCCCTGGGATCTCTGCGTTTAGTCTTTACTCTCAGAGGCCCAGTGAAAGCCTGGAGATCCAGTCAGATGTGGAGCTAATTAGCTGTTGCAGACTTTCATACTTGTATTTGTTTTAGCCAGACTTTAAATTAACATTTAGATACCTTATAGGTGTGTGGACTTAGCTAAAAAAAATGTTTAATTTAATAGAAAGATTTTACTACCTTGTTCTGACCCCGCTTGTCAACCTGAATTTTGAGCTCCACCAGTGCATGCAGCACTTTCTTCAATCCAAGGGTGGGTTGTACCAGAGGGAGTTAAACATGTAGCTTCAGTGAACAGAAGTAGATGAAAGGAAGATACTAGTCCTGAGGCCCTTTTAAACAAGACTAATGAGAGTCAACAGCTTTCTGCTGGGTGAGGCTCTACTTTGGCTCAGCTTTAAGCAACATGCTAACATACCCGCTAACATGCAAATGTTTAACAGTTGTGTTTACCTTGTCTAACAAATTTGCTAAGTGGGTGACCATTTAACCCAAACAAGATCAGCCAAAAAGATCAAGCAAGACCGAGCCATGACTGAGATCAGAGTTTAGAAACTGTGACTCAAAAGAGTTGGGTCTTTTGGCGAGATCAGATTCAGACTTTTGGTATATTTAATTCAAAACTGACATAAACTATCACAAATGTAGCATGGCTGTCTATAAGGTTGGCTTCATTCAGAGTGTCTTGGATTTAGAGTTACTTAGGGTGACCATATTCTGACTTCCGAAAAAGAGGACACAACTTTGCGGGGGCGGAGTCACAGAGTCGCACCTAGTTAATTTTGATCTAACTCAGTAAGTCCACGTGACACAAAATGAAAACTTACATACAAAACCTCTGACATTTGAAGAATCTTCTAAACTTCTCCGGACAAACAGTCCCCAAAAAAGAGGACATGTTCGGGTAAAAGAGGACGTATGGTCACCCTAGAGTTACTTTATCTATATTTACAAGTGCTGACCTTCGTTTCTTTGATTTTTATCTCAGTCAAGTTGGGACTTTATAGACAGAGACACATGAAAGAAAATGTATAATTACCATTTGTGAGAATAAACTAGTAAAACCACAGCAGTACTGTATATACACCCATAGGCAGTTTACAAAGCTGTATAGTAACTGAAGGCTGAGACGCAGCTGCCCTGTGACACTACATTGCCTCTGTGAATCAGAGCTAACTTATCTATCAGCTGTACAGTATATACATGCTTCTGTACAGTCGCCCACCTTGCTGCAGGGCAAAACTGAGATTTGTGTAATGTTGTACCAAGCAAGTTGTTCTTTTAATTGTTAATACAGCTCTGCACACTCGATCAGATGAGGGCTTTATGCATAAGTAAAGGTGGTAACAACAGCGAGCTAATCAGAGATGTGCATCTTGTTCTCCTGTGGGATGCCAAGTAATTATGAATGAGCAGGAGCAGGCAAAGCGGGTTCACTAATGTGCCTTTAGTGCTGAAGATGAGAAGCAGAAACATATAATTCTACTAGATATATAATGATCCCAGAAAGGGGGGAAGGGTGAGTCATGAAGGCAAAGAGAATACATCAGGGACTAGATGGTACAAAATAAATGGCATCTGAAAGTGCAAGAGATGGAGAAATAAGGGAGGTGGAAATGTAAAAAATATGTTCTCTTGGGACGAACAGCTACTTCAAACACTATTTGGATGAGCGCGTTGAATATTTGACAGCATATAATATACAAAGACTCCTCAGTGAGTCTTTTTTTCATGATCGTGGATTAGGTTGGGAAATGGTTTCAGAATACATCTTGGTGTCAAATCTAGCTGCTCCCTGGAGTTGTTTGTGATCCAGTAGACATGAAGTAGACCCCGTGGTCCATGAAGATGGCCTTTGGGGAGACCTGCTGTTTGATAATCTGACCCCTTTCACTGTGTGGTTGTACACCCTGTGATACTGTTGAAGTTTGCACTTGCCTCTGCCAGGGACAGAGATCTTCCCTCACGGCACCGCTCTGAAGATCAAAAGCTACACATGATGGCTGTCTGACTCATATTTGGTGTAAAATCCTTTCTACTTTCAATTCACTCACTCGGTAGCCATTTTTCTCTGACGGCGTGGAGGGTGAGGAGCTCAGATCTGTTCAAATGCAGAGCTGCTGTATTGTGAGTTACACATTTTATGACTGGAGTTGAAGAAATGGTTATTAATTCATCATCTCTCATCTGATTAGCACCTGAAAAGTTCAGGAAGTGTCTTTTTGGCATCTACAAGTGGAAACCTTTGCATTTAACTAAAAGCTCCTGTTACACTATTCAACAGGCTGATGTTTGCATTTAATTCAAACATTAGATTTTTTTATTTTTTGATGGTATTAATAGCACTTTCAGTTGCTGCTCAATAAAGAGGATAGTTGTTTATGATTCCCTACATGAGGAAAAAAGCAGAGCCTCCCGCTCCGTGGGGATAAAGTGAGAATAAACTGGCTATCGTGTGAATGCTGCTCTGTGCTTGAGCTCTGTGAGTATTCATTTGTACATTTGTTTGTACATGCACAGGTCTCTCAGAGGTAATCAAGAGGAAAAGGTCAAGCACAGATGGATATCTAGCCATTTTACCTCCCTCATCCTGACTCACCTCTTTTATTCCTGCATTTCACCACAAATAATGCGACCTGTGGATGAGGTTGTCATGGCACCAGAGAGATTGAAGTCTCTCCAGGCTGACATTGATGTATAAGTTAGGGCCCAGTATGGGGGATGGATACGTGTCTCTCTCTCCTCTACCTCTGTGCACTGAGTCTATGGTTGTTCCTGTCGCTGCTGCTCAAATTTAGAATTTCTTAATAAAAAATAAGCACATGGTGTGTAAACAGAGCAACATAATCTTGGGAGGGAAGCTGTCAATTAGCTGATAATGAGACTCCAACACGGTTTAAGGAATGTGGAGCATGTGTAGGTGCTGACTACTCCCTCACACTGAATTGTGTCCCTGTCTTTGCGCAGCAGCACTGACACTGACATGCAAAACGGCTGTCATCCTCTGTTAGAGAGGAAATCGGTCACCGGAGATTCCCCTGTGATGAACAAACACTCAGTTTGCGCTCAAACTGTCTTACAACATATAAATGCTCTCGAGGACCCCCTATGTACACATATAAGATGATCCGGTGAGCAAAAAAACAACAACATTATTTGCCATTATATGATATGTGACGGTGAAATGAAAATACAGATTTTTGGCATCAATATTTCAGCAAGACTGTGAATTGCCTCCAAGACATGTGCTGCATTATTGAGAGCGAGCTGCTTGGAGTTTGAAGTATGTCATGGGTGATTCCTGTTGACAGGAGAAATTCTTTGAGTAGACAAAGACATGAGAGATAATGTAGACACCTCTTTAGTCTTTTCTGGGAGTCCTCGGGAAAAGGGTTCTACATTTCACTCCGGTTCAGTAAATATTATATTGATTCCTGTTAAAGCAATCCAACTCTCAAATGTGCATCCCATCGGATTTCAACAAAACGGTCAGAGGCACCAATCCTTCAAGATTCACTTCAGTACAACTGACAGGAGGTTAAATATTCAATGTAAAAAGCTGGAGTTTGAACTTCACTGTGAGGATTCACACAGACAGACTCTACTGTATAGCAGCACTCGAGCTGAGTCCCATTCTTAGCTGCAGAGCCAGTAATGCTCTTCAAACTGTGGATGCTGAATGTATGACAGATTAAAGCTATTTCTGTTTCATTTCCAGAGCTGTTTAAAATGTATTCATGCTTACAAATTTATAATATAGGCTTACAATTTAATCATATAATTTCTTGTACTGACTTGGAACCCCCCCAATTGTCAGGGATGTCAGTGCAAACTCGCCATCTAGTGTTTGAAAGATGAAACAGTGGTGAATACCAGTGAGAGCTTGATGAGGGTCTTAAGTCAGAAGTGTGATGCAAAAGTACTGAACCATAAAATGAAAAGTTTAAACCCTGAATTTCAAGTAAAAGAACTGATGAAGTCGCTGAATTCAATGTAATAGATAAGATGATTAAATTGTAATTATTCATGACTTTTTAAACAACATTTACATCTTTTAAAGTGTGCTAATATGTTGTTTTTTGGTATTCAACAGTTGGGCCCAAAAGGCAAAACAGTAAACACATACACAGAACTTCCAAACAAAGTCAACAAACATCAATTTAAGCAATTTCCTCTGGCCATGTCAAATTGCATGCAAACGTTTTGGTCAAAAGTGGCCCTTATGAGGGTGCGCAAGACTCCTCTCGTGACACTGAGGCCGTGGAGCTGATATGGCCATGACAAATTGCTAAAATTGAGGTTAGACATTTGTCCTGAAGATCTGTGCGTGTGCTACCGATTTACCTTCAGGTCGTCAACGTCAGTATTTACAGAGAGCCTTTAAGTGATGCAGTTAGTCATAGAGGAGCTTGTTCCTGTGTTTAAAGTTTGTCCTGCAGTTTTATCTGCAGACACTCTTAAATATGTTTACTGTTTCACATCTTAGCTTACTTTAGTTTGTCCAGACAGTTGCTTATATTGTGGCAGTTTTGAAATGTAGCAGAGGACCGAAACAAAATACAAAGAAAATAAAGAAAAAAAGACATTTAGCAATAAGATTCAGAGGACCCTTTTACCAGAGGTTGTAGTAGAGGAGGAGATAAGCAAAAGGTTGCTTTGTCTAAGGAGGGCCCAAAATTGACACAAACTCAAAGTTCAGCACAGGAGCTCTAACAGCAGAAGATCAGTGAGCTAACTTATGTAATGATTTATATTTGTTGACTTTTAGGAGTCTGAAAACTTGTTTTTAAAATCACAGTTTGAACTTGAGTTCCACAGTTGCCTTTATTTGATTCTGGATCATCTGGAAAACCAAATCCTGTATCAGAATGTAAATATCATTGTAGCTCAGCAGTGCATCTAATTCAAAAAAAAAAAACAGTACCAAAGAGCCAAAATTTTTTGAGTTACGACCAAAGATTGAGAAAAAGTCAGAAAACAAGTTTGCAAATCTAGAGATTTTCTACACACAGTGCTGACTGGACATTTTTAAAGCATAATTAACATATTCTTAAACTTAAGAGTGAAAACCAAACATAATTCAGGAATGTTTTAGGACCAGATCACAGCATAACCTCAGCTCCTGTCCTTATCCAGGCTGTGATGAGGGTTAACTGCTCAGAGAAGGGATTGATGCAGAACAGAGTGAAGTCCAAAAAGTTCTGTAGAGGCACGGTGCAGCTTCACTCACATCAAAGTAGTCTCACTTCAGCTTATGACACACGGTCATCCTCTGCTCTGACTCTGACCTCCGACCTCTGCTTTAGTTATAGAAAAGTCTGAGTCCATTCGGCTGGCTGCTGGGTTGTGATTCTGGGACAGACATGATGATCCACACATCTTAGCGGTCCAGCGAGCGTTTCTGGATTGCTTCTGCCACCACGGTGCGCAGGAGAGAGATGACAGAGCGGGGGTCGTCACTGCCGATCACAGCGCTGCCGGACACTATCATGTTTGCTCCAGCCTGCAGCAGACAACAAACACATTTACAGCAAGTTAAAAACTCACAAAACTGGATTTTTCCTAACAGACGGATGTAAATTTGTTTGCATTCCTCACCTCTGCACACTTGTGAATAGTGTCAGGGCCGACACCTCCATCTACTTCGATGTCTAAAGAAGGAAACTGACTCCTCAGCCAGCTCACCTGGGTCACATGCAAGGAAGTGAAAATTATAACATGAGCAAAAAGTTTTTAAAAAGTGTAAAACAAATTCTGAAGCTTGGTTTATATTGTGAGGTTCAGAATTAGAAATACTTTAATAATCCCCAGGGGGAAATTGCTTTTTGTCACAGTAACTCCAGTGCAAATAAAGTAGAAAGAGGAGATAAATAATAGATAAAACAAGTAAAATAAGTAAAAACACAAGTATGTACACTATATACAACACAAAATAGTAGCATAGTATGCATGTAAACAGTAAGCAGAGACCAGGTAAAGACTCCTGTCTGAAAGTGTCAGAGTCTCTGAGTGAGGAGCCAAAAAGTCTGATGACCATCAGCAGGAAAGATTTCCCGTGGCGCTCCGTGGTGCATCATGGAGCGAGGAGTCTTCTGTTAAAAGGTGCTCCTCTGCGGGACCAGTTCACTGTGGAGAGGGTGGGAGACATTGACAGTTCCTATTTACCTTAGGCATCATATCCTCCATGAACTTCTGTCCTCCAAAACCAGGTTCAACGGTCATCACCAGAGCCATATCAATGTGGTTCGCCCAGGGTGCCAGCTCTTCAACAGTAGTTCCAGGCTTTATGGCTAAACCCACCTACAAAACATACACACTGTCAGCACATAAACATACCAAATACAATCTGCACTCGTAGCACATGCCAAACTTGTATTTCCTTTTCCTTCTCTGCAGGATCATTTCCTCACCTTCATGCCACTCTCTCTTATTTCCTTGATGAGGTTTCCGGGGTTGGTGGTAGCCTCCAGGTGGAATGTGTACTGGCTGGCTCCTGCAGCAGCCATGGGTTTCACCCACTGCTCTGGCCGAGACACCATCATGTGCATGTCTGCAACATTAACAGGGACACTTCTATCACAGCTGCTGCACTCATGAGTCAAATGAATGGGAAAGTGTTTGGGGATCCTGATCATTCACTTACCAAAAAAGGGGTCTTGGCCTACTGACTTTCTCAGGCACTCTACCATGGGATGTCCAAACGTGATGTTTGGGACAAAATGTCTAGACAGAAACAAACAGACCTTAAACTTCCTGCTGTGATGAAATATTCTCATCTTGCATAAACACCTCTTGCATACATAGAGGACGGAGGAGTCTGCTGATTTAGAAGGTTTAACTATATGAGGTCAAGAAAGTCTCCTTATGAATACGCTTTATCCGATAAATACTGTAAGTATACAGATAAGCTTATCACATGCTGGTTTAGCCTGTTGGTGTTAGCCAACTTTAGCTCTGAGGCAGTAAACTTCCCATTGACTTGCTAATCGTTAGCATGCTAACTCAGCTAACTATCAAACTAGAGACAAACTGACCCGTCCATGACATCCAGGTGAAGATAATCCGCCCCACACTCCATCATCCGCACACACTCTCTGCCCAAACACGACAGGTTACTGCTCAGGATGGACGGACCGATCTTCGCCATGTAAGCCATGCTGCTGTTCACTTGATGCTGTTACTGTCTGTGCAGACTGGCGACCAACAACACGTTAAGTTCACTTCAACATTAGAAACAACTTCCGCTAATGGATTTCAAAATAAGATGCCAAAAAAAGGTATATTATTGTTAGTATCTGGCACCACTGCTGTGAGCTCGTTTAACTGTAGTCATCCTTTTTTGTTTGTTTGTTTTGTTTTTGTTTTTTGTTTGTTTCGTTGTTGTTGTTGTTGTTGTGTTGTTTTGTTTTTTTTTTTTTGTTTTTTTGTTTTGTTTTGTTTCGTATTGGTTGTTTTTTTTATTGTTTTTTTTTTTGTTTTGTCTCTTTTCGTTTTGTTGTTGTTGTGTTTTTGTTTTGTTTCGTTTTTTTAGATCAAGCTATGATCTATACCCCTCTAAATATGTATATATATGTACTTTGCAATTGTCCATTTATAGTTGTGGAGTGCATTTTGCATTTTTCCGGTTCGTTTTGGGATCCCTTGGATTTTCATTCATTTTCATTCATTCATCAGCTCGGTGAAATTATTCGAGTGGAACTTTTATTTTGTGTTTACGTTACTGAAGTTTTCCTGTAATTTTGTTTTGAAGGAAAATTATTTTCATTTCCGGTTACACTATATGCACCTGTAGATTAACTTAACAAATCCTTAGGCTTCTGTACTGGCCCCACACTTCCGCCTTCACTTTTTGACGCTAGATGACGCAAAACTCATGTCAGTAATGAGCCCTCAGCCCAGATGGACAGTGTGGTGTCACCACAGGGATGAAGGTGTCATAGAACCTTCCTCGATACTACAATACCCAACTGCACACTTAAAAATAGCTACATAAATCCAAGTTGTTATTGACACTTATCACAAGTTTAAAACCATCTGTTTTGCACTGTAGGTTACAGGACACTTTGTCCTAATAAAATACATAATTTTGCTGTTGTGTCTTTTATAAAAGTATTTCCGGGTGTAAAAACGACATTTTTAAAAATCAATTTCCACTTCAAATGATCCAGCAGCATGCTCCCTGCTTTTATTTCCTCGCTGTATTTGGCTCTTTATTAAAGTTTAAACGTCATCTGGGAGTTCCATCTGCCATCTGTCTCTGGCATTGTGCTGTGCCATTGCTGAGAAACGACTACGCCTTAAAATGAGCCCAGAACATCAGATAAATGTCATACAGAGAAGACCGATGGTTTAATCACAACAGGGGTGGCATTAATTTTGCATTCGGTGGCACAAAGGTACAGGCATTCAATGATACAAAGCTGTTTGGGCTTTTAAGAAATAGGTTTATTGATTCAAGCTTTCGGTGGATGGAGAGCAGGTTGGCCTGCAGGGTTGCTTTTGTGTGCCAAAGATCTGTGATGAATCTATTTCTCAAAGCAAGAGAAAACCACTCATAGGAATGAAAGTATACCAAGACCAGAACGTTAGAAACGCCTTTACAGTGCCATTTTGACAGATGCCAACTTCAAAATAGATGCTCAATAAAAAGACTTTACAGATATGGAGTTATAAAGTATCATTTAGTGAAGGCAAAGTGCTTATTTTAGATGATATTTTAGAAGTTTAAGTGAGACCAAGATAACATAACACCTACAAAATCCTAAAGGCATCTTATAAAATACCTCTGCTGTGTCTTTTCTGCACAAAAGCCCCTGTTGTCCCGATGTTAGTCTGATTTGTTTGTCACCTTCATCTACTTGGATAGCTAGCTAAAATGCAAGGAATGCTTTTTTGGATTCGAGCAGAAGTTGTTGTGATTTATCAGAAGCAGATGGCTGAGGTTTTTTAAAAAGCCTCCGCAGCGCTCTGCTGAGCCTCAGCCCGCAGAGCCACACTCATATACCCAGATTGGCCAAACACCATTTGACATTTATGAGTTTTACCCACGTTTTGCATTACTGCGGCTGTGAAGGAAACTCTGGTGGCACGGTGCACTCCAGGCCGTCGGGAGGATGATATATGCGGTTTGTGAGTGGGGTTGAGGCCAAATAAGTTGGCGTCACAAAGAAAGTGGGGCCTCTGGAGTCTCAGAGTTTGACTGTCATTTTGTGGACCAAAGCCAAAGCTGCAGAGCTTCATACGTCCATGCAAAAAGCCTTGGTGGTGAGTGACTCAGTGAAAATCATCCTCTTAAACGCCTCAGTTTAACCAATAACTTGCGCAAAATGAACATTGTTGAGTGGTCAAATAATCTATTTCCAGAGGTCACACACCAGCCCTTTCCGTTTCTCCCTGCAGAGAAGTCGTTCTTTTTCCTGCAGCCGACACTTGGACACATTATTCTACCTTTACTGTAAACAGCTCCAACAGCAGGCAGCTCATTTCAGTCAGACACAGGCTTCTGCTCACTGCAGCTCCCCATTAAAGACACATTTTTTAAAAAATGGTTTAGTGGAGGAGGACTAGCTCAGGAATGTTATGAGGACTCATTCTTAAGGATACTGTCAAGCTGTTCACTATTGCTACTTATAACCAGCACATTCCCATTTGAAATAGTATATTACAATACCAATAACATATTGTCACATAAACTGACATGTGAATGCAAATAGTGAAAAGCACACAGCGACAATGATGCTGGATAAATATGGGTTTGTTTGATACATAGGTTTATTGTGCATAATGAAAGAAATGAAGCCACTCAGTTTAGATCTTGCTGCTCTGTCATCTTATTTAACTAGAAGTACAGATTGGGACCCTCTACATTTATTGGCAAGACTTTCACTGTATAATTCAGTGATCAAAATCCTTAACTGTGTGAAATGTACCGTTCATGTCATACTTGTCGATGGTGTTCACAGCCTGTGGTGCTAATGAGCCTGTGGATGAAAGATTTCTCGTTACATGCGTTCCTGCATCTCAGTCATCTGTGAAGACAATTAAAAAATTTCTTTTTTCTGTCCAGAGGTCGAAGCCTAATCAATCCCATTCCTGGTTTACTAATCAGTGAGCACATGTGTCTAAAATGGATTTGTATTTTGTCAAATCGAGTCAACTTTGTCCATAAAGCCCATTTTAAGACAAGCCAAGCTTGACCAATGAAAAACACAGGAATAATTGAGAGTGTGTAAGGTTTAGGGCATTTTATTGTGGTGGGGTAACTTGTTCCACAGTTTGGGGACCACTTCCAAGAAGGTGAGATGGTTTTCAGTCTGGACTTAGGGACCACAAGAGGCATATTTCAGAGACCTTGGGGGGGTGTAGACATGGAGGAGGTAAGAGATGTGCTGAGTTGCTTTTCCGTTTGAAGGTTTAAAACAGACAATTATATCTTAAAATCAATCTTATAATGGACAGGGAACCATTGTCATTTTGGAGAAATTGTAGAGCAACAGTGAGGCCTGGCTAACACCAACATCAAGTGCACTACAACAGTCCAAATAGACAGACATAAGCACGAGGTCCAAACCCAATGATCTCAGTCTTGTAAATTTTGAAAAAATTCAGGACCTCCAGACTTTGATGTCCTTGAGGCTTTCCAGTAAGGGTGTATCATCTGCATGTAAGTGGAAAGAGACGCCCTGTTTTTAAGAATCACTGCCAGGAGAAGGAGGTGAAGTGCAAGCAGTATGGGCCCAAAGATAACCTTGGGATACACCTCACAGCAGTAGAGTAGAGGACAATATCAAGTTTGACTACAAAACTTCTCTAACAGAAGAGACTGAGGCAAATGAAGTGCTGTCTACTTATTAATTTCACACTGATCAAGGTGAGAAATGAGAGCTGTGTGATCAACTGTATCATAAATAGCTGTTAGATCAAAAAGCATTAAAATGGCAGAATTTGGCAAAATGGCAGTCAATAAAAGATCATTAAAAGCTTGTAAAAGGGCAGACTCTGCACTGTGAAGAGCTTCAAACCAGACTGGAAAATTCAAGAACGTCATGCTTATCTATAATGTATTACTTGAAAATAGTGAAACCTGTTAGGATTATCATGTTTTCATGTTCCAAGGACAAAGATAACACTTATTTAAAATATTCAGAGTTTGTGGTTGCCAAACTTGAAATTACTGCTTAAGTTTCCAGTATTTAAAATTGATACTTGTTTTCTTGTTAAAATGGCAGAATTCCACCCGAAAAGGATCAGATTTATCCGCTGGGTCGGCTGCATTAGCAGTTTTGTGTTCTTGGAGTTTCATTTTTAGCCCTCACAGTTGGCAAAACAGCAGATATGCACCAGCAGGTATTCAACATGTTTGAGCTTGTTTTAAAGTGCAGCACTGAAAAAGCATAACTTAATCATCAGCCTCATGTATAACAATAGTTAATCTGTGGTGGAAACAGCAGGTTGATTACATTGGCTGTAGGCAAGAATTCCTGTGTGTGCTTTGAGTGCTCTTCAAGATGTGTACATTTGCATTCGGCAGTTTTTGAACTGCAACCGCTGATAAATTGAGTTTATGTGACCTTTGACCTTTAGCATAGGACACAGGAAGAAGAATGAGGACTGACTGCGCTGATCTGCTCTGTGTTTTCCTGTGCAGTATCTGATAATTAAAGACTTGGTGCACCTCCAAACTTTTGATGTATGATCCTGATTGAAACCTCCCCCCTGTTTCCCTCCAGCAGTTGACTCTAGCCTCCTGAGCAAACAGACAGCGGTAAACCGGCTTCTTGTGATGGTCGGAAGGAGAGTGTGGAGCGTGTGTCCCTGCAGCTTACTCCCTTCCTGAGCTTTATGTCAGCGTGGTCGGGGTCCAAAAGTGGAAAGGGAAAGGTGGGGTTGGTGAAATCTCCCTCTACTATAGGTCAGTGCTCCCAATCAAGTTTGTTTTCCTGCTCATAGGGGAGAGCACATGTCCCTTCAGAGTAGAATCTGACCAACTTTGATGACCGGATATCCAGAAAGATGGGAAGTACGATTGGAAACAAGCACAGCAGGAATGCCTCTAGATCTCTTATCTGATTCTGTATGTTGCACAGAGAGCTGGTCCAAACTGATGTCTGTGTACAGATGGATGATCCTTTATCCACCTCCTTTCCTTCTTTACAAGTGATTTTAAGGGCAACAACATTTGAAACACACAGCTACCCAAAACCAGAAGACATCCAACTCACTGATAAAAAATGGTGATCCCTTAGGTTAGCATAGTCAAAAGTAAACCCACCTCTTCTGTCAGTTTAAAGCTGACATTCATAGTTATAGGAAGCCAAAGGACTTAACCGATAGTGACTTTGTTAGTTCTCCTTAAATGTGCTAACCTGGTGCAAACAGCACCATTAAAGCTGCAACCTCTTTGTTTACAGAGCTGTAAATCATGGTATTATACCCACTTTTAGCACCAACTTGCTTATCAATTCAAGGCTTTTATAAATACAAGTGTCTAAACAATTGTCTGGATGTCATAGTTTGACTGACCAACTTCTCAGCTATTAACATGGAGAAGGCAGGCTACACAACCCCTAAACAGCCAGTGCAGGTCTGTCAGTAGAGAGAGCTCTAAATAGTTTGGCTTCACCTCTGTGGAGTCATATCGTCCATCATTTAATTGTTACTGTAACTAAGATTTTTGTGTACTTTAACTTTCCTAAATAGTTTTAAAATCACTACTTTTACCTTTACCAAAGTATTTTCTCTGAAAGTATTGTACTTTGTCACATTTTGGAAACATCAGTCTCTTCGTAAAATAGCACTTAACAGAATAGAAATGTTCCACCAACCAAAAGCCATCTGATTGAATGATGTCTACAAAGCCAAAAAACTCAAATCTTACCAAATAAACTTGTCTCATGGGGTCAAAATACCCCATAAAACATAATATAAGCAACATTTATCTGGCACATCCTAATATAAAACTTATTTTAAGACATTTAAACCCTTTTTTAAAATAAAATCTTTGAAATAAGGATTACATTTCATTTCAAGAAACCTCTCAAAATTTTGCTGCATTTGGAGCCTGTTTTTTACTCATTACAATTAAATTCTTTTTGGCTCATCATAACCAGTTTCTATGCACAGCAGCTTTTGCCTGAGTGTACAGGGACCATGTAAAATGCAATAATGACAAAAGATACTGCAAAAATATTTGATAAGTCAACTGGGATAAACACTGGTGGCACAAATTTCAAACCTGTCAAACATCTGTTTGTTTCTCTGTGAGCGAGCATGTTTCCATGTCTGTGTGTGACTTGACCAAACAGCTGAACTTGGAGTTGAGTTACAGCTGACCATATAGTGACCTACACACTATTTACACCCCTTTAAGTGAAACGTTTGCTCTTTGCAGACAAGGTTAAACTTATCCCTTCTTTCAGAGTAGATCTGGATGTTTCCTTTTCAGTAATATTTAACACTACATGCCATTCTCAGGCCATTTCCATTTGTCTTTTTATGTCTTTGCCTCGCCTTCCTTAACCTGGCTGTTATCAACCATGAAACTACCATCAATAAACCACCGGATAAAAGTCCAGTCTGCCTCTCAAGGTTAAAGATTAAAGATTCAAACAATTTTATATTTCTGTTTATCTCAGGGAAGTAATGGAACATCTGAAGGAAACATCTCCCACTAACAGACCCAAAGTCTGATAGTAAGTACACCAGTGGATCTAAAGTTACTCCTTCATTGCTTTCAGTGCCGCTGAAGAAAAAAAATCAGCCATCTTTCAGGTTAGTTTGGGTTTCAATTTGACTTTTCAACAGCTGTTTTAAATGTGTTTAGCCATGCTTGTTGCAGATGCTCACTGAATGCCATACTAAAGCCTCTCATTATGTCCTCACAGGAAATGCAGCACCCACAAATGAGTCATTGTGGCGCGTAGACCGGTAATCATTAACTACAATAAACTGCGGCTTCTGTGGCAGGAAAACCAAACCTGAGGTCTTCATTTAAGTGACTTGGACAGACCTGATTTGTTCGTTGTTAGTGAATGTTGTGTACCATAAGGCATCACTGGAGAACATAAAATTTGATTTAAAAATGGTGAAATGGTCCTTTATCATACATGAATGGTGATGTGTCCTCAATGAGCCACCATTCATCAGATTACTTGGTTTTATGACACTGATTTAAACAGCAGAAAATCTATTAATGTCACGGTATGTATTCTCCGACTTGACCTCAGCTTTATGAACCCTGACCGCAGCACACTTCAGAGCATTAGTGACCACCACAAAACAATTATTGCCAACAAAAAGCCCCTCCAGGGAGAAAAGGACCCTTCCAACAGTCATAACCCAGAGCTTTATGAGGACAAAGTGTCACATCAAAAGAGCAGACTTGTGACCACTCAAGGCGGCAGTGACATTTCCAAAAGATGGTGTGTACTATAAAAGGATAAAAACGCCCTTTTTCTGTGTGTGTGTATTTTTGCGATTTAATATCAGAATCCCACTGAGTTGGTCTATGTGAGCAAAGCTTACCTCCCAGCTTTATCAAAGTCTAATCCGCCTGATTTAATCTTTAATATCTGAAGACTGTGGATGCAGGAGGGCTGCTAGAGGAAGAAAAAAAAAGTTTAATATTTTCTCCCAACATGTGCTCTGCAAGCACAGAGGATTGGTTTATTAAAATGGAAAATCCAGTTCTAATAATATTGCATCTTGAGATCAGTCAGAGAGATGTTTAATACCTTTTATTTTATGAGCTTTTTCCTACTAAGTGATGTAATCTTTATTTAGTATTTTGTACTTTCAGCCTGATTGAAAACAGTTTGATTAAATGACCTACATCCCCATTATTTCTCAGCAGCTTTTTCCTGTTCAAACACTTTGGATTTTTTCATAGCAGTGTTATAAAAGCTTAAGCAAATCTGAAAACATTTCCTAGAATAGAGCATTAGTCCAAACTCTTAGGAAAGTATCCACAGTATTCAGGAAGAGCAGTGAGTCATGAGGTTTCATAAGAGTTTAATGTGCTGGAACATCAGCTGCAGAGCTTTACTCAGCTGTGGGGAGAAAAAAAACAACATGGAGGACACTCTCTGGCACTGCGCGCCACTCTCCTTTGGATTTAATAAATTCGTCCAGCTAAAAAAGTGAGAACTCTCATCATCACCATCACATGTTCCAAGTGGGACCATGAATCCTGACCCCATCTGCTGACTTTCAACAGCTGTTGGACCCACTGTGGGGAGAGCTCGACCATCAGGCAGCAGCATCAACAAATTCTCCAAAATCCTTGCAGTGACGAGTCTTCTGGGGTTTTTTGACTAAAATATAGGTAACAAGAGTTCATACAGAGGTAGTCACAAACGTACAAGTTAAAATATAAGAAACATAACCGTACTAAGTCTCCATGAAATCCTCTTTTCCTGTGTTGGAGGCCAGAAGTTCCTCCTAACAGAGTCTGGCCTGGATTACGCTCCAGGGAGGGGAGCAGTCAGGACAGAAGAGAGCAAACAAGATTTCTACAGACTTTCAGAAGTTATTTATTCACTACTGATAATTAACAGAACTAGAGATTTAAAGCTCCTGCAAGGAATTTATAGATTGTGTCAGTTTTAGGACCCTTAGTGGACAAAACAGTCTTCACTTATCTTGTCTTCTATTGTTAATTATAGGGTCTTCTTTCACACTTTTTTCAACCCTGCTGAGTTTGACAAGTAAATGTTTCATTTTTATGAATATTTTATGTGAAAACTGGCTGTTTCTCCTGCTGCTTGGCTGACACTTATCCTCGCGCACATGTTTCAGGCGTTGAATATATTAAAATATCAATCATCGGTCTTGTTTCTGATGTTCTTGTTTGCTTTTATATATCACAAAAAGGCGTCAGTGCGAATGTGGTTATCCAAAGTCTCCTACTGAGCAGCTGCTCAAGTTAGCGATAAGCTGTATTTACACGTCACGGTGTGGATGTCTCTGTTGCTTTGTCCACAGTCCTGTTGTAAACATGACCCTGCAGCGCCCACAGCAGGGTTTTGATGTCATGTTTTCCCCTTCAAGACCCCCATGTATGACAAGGGAGACTACACACTGTGAAAGACAGGCTGGGGCAGAACTCCTGGAAATTTCCAGAGTGCAGATAATGTCACTTAATGTCAGAGCATGCTGATGCATTAGTACTCCGGCTCTTCAATTCTCACAGCAAATGTCAGATACTCACCAGAGAAAGTAGAAGCTCTTTCTGAGATTATTTAAGAGACATGATGGAGTCTTTTGGATCAGAGAAGTCAACAGGAAGGATTTTGATCCAGGGGGAGACTTCACTGGTTGCTCATATTCTACTCTGAATGGGATAAAGAAAGGATAAGAGTGGGTCTGATCTTAGAAGATGGGACCATATTTAATCTTGATATTTGGTCTTTTTGGATATGATAAAGAATATAGTCTAAATCAGCTCTTTTTGTAAAGCATCACGACAGATTGATTGACATCTTCATTTTTGTTTTTATTATAACCACACCATTCTGTTGATACCACCTGGGCTGCAGCTGAAATATTGCTACCATGTTCATAAGACTGCACTCACAGAAATTCTTGATTGACGTATCAAGTTGGTAACCAGCTGCTTTTGCACAGCTTGACTTCCTCCATCATAATTAGCGAGGATAGTTGACGAATGATACACAAGGTGTGCTGAATTTGCTTCATATTACAGCCCAGGGTCCCTTCTAGTTCTAAAAAACAAGATAACGAAGGCCACAATGCGAGTAAGATCAGATCAAAACCTCTTTTGCTATCAACACACTTCACACTCAAGCCTCAAAGGGATATCCCAGCATAAAATTAATTTAGGGTCAAACACACCGTAACGCAGAGTTAGACACCCCGTTGAGAGATGAATGTTGCCAACCGCTTGCTTCTCTAGTTACACCAACTTTAGTAACAACCACAGATAGCAATACAGAGAGCCACATTCTCAACTTCATCAACAGTACATATAGGGTCCCAGCCACAGCACTAGCCATCAAACATCTTTTTAGCTTTACCTGATTTCTTAAGCAAAGAGACTAAACACAACTCACCTACTCTCTCCCAGCAGCTGCTTGTTTGTAGCGAGACCTCGGGCGAGTCCATCAACTGTAGTGGGGGGGCGCAGCTCAAGGAAGAACATTAATGATCATTACTTTATTATTTCCTTAAAATAATCATCATATTAATCATTTTGCACTGCAGACGCGGTAGTTCTTCTGCCTTAGCGTCTTGGTCTGATTGCATTTCCATGAGGAAATAATCATAAATGTTCTTCCTTGAGCTGCGTCACCCCGCTGCAGTTGATGGACTCACCCAGGGTCTTGCTACAAACAAGTGGCTGCTGGAAGAGAGTGGTTGAGTTGTGTTAAGTCTCTTTGCTAAAAGCTAGTGCTATGGCTGGAAGCCTATATATACTGTTGATGAAGTTAGGTGCTGTTCTGAGCATTATT